TCAGTGCCAAATGGAAGAGAGCAGAAAGGAAAGGGAAAGTCGCCTGGCACAAAGAAGGGGACCAGAGCGAAGAAAACCTCTCTGTCATTGTTATTTCGCTTCAGTTCTTTAGCCAGAGCTGCAGCCATACGTATACGAGTGTCTATAGAGCTCCTTTATCAAATACTGGTCATGCACAATCAGCTGCCGCAAACGGTGGGGGCGACGGCAGCACGAACTCGATGGAAATGGCAATGGCGACGGCGACGGCGAAGGCGACTGGGGGCACTGACAAAGGAACATGACAACTATTTTTGAACAAGAAAGGACGCATAGTTTTCTGTCTCCGTCTCCGTCTCCGACTGCCTCTCGCCGTCCACTTGACAGCAATTGAATCAAATTTATTGTCTGCATCCGACGCCATGCAGTTTCCACTCATCCTCGGAATCCTCGGAATCCTCGGCACCCTGTGCACCCCAGCTCTTTTGTGAGTCTGGCATGTAGCGTCACGTCCTGTCTTTACGAGGATCAAGTGCACACTGTATGACGGCCAATCGCTTCCAAATGGAAAAATGACAAAATTAAATACAAATGTGATTTGCGCGTGGGTTCCGCCACAAGTTTCGCTCCAACAATACGAACCTTCAATAGTCGGAAGATGGAATATCAGTGGCAGTCACGGAAATAGAAATAATGGAGCCAAGAGGCAGAAATTAAACGAACTTGAGTGCACTCTCATGTGATGAGAGGCTGAGGAGCGAAGAACAGATTTTGAATTAATCGAAAATGGTACTGGAAGATGACATCGAAGAAGGAAACATAAAAGGTAGTTCCTCTCACCCAAGAACAAGTAGAAGTAGAAGAGATACCAAGCTTCAGCCCCTATCAAGTAGATGGCCTTGAATGGGGGGCAAGCTTTTCGCTCTATTTGCCTTTGTTTGCTTTCAATTTCCTATGGGGCTGGCCGTGAAAAATGCTTTCTCACTTGGCCCCACTTCAAACGGGGATTTTCAGAGCGAGAGCTCCAACTGATTTAGACAGTTCTTTCTTTTGTGGATTTGTTTTATGCGGGATTTAATGGTTGTTAATTGGGCGACTAAACAGTTGAACTTGCTTTGTTACGTATTCCTCCGGAGTGGGAGTCGGGGAGAAGGGCGGACAGGAGCATGGTATGGTGTAGGCCAAAGGGCGAACTTTTAATTTGATTTACGCTCAGACCGCGCCGAGAACGTGCCTTGAATGCGTAATTAATGCTTGCAAAACGCTTTTATGCCAAAAATAAACCTCGCCGCAAAGTCCTCACTCAACAGCGATGCCACGGGCCACAAGGGAAGCTCTGTCCCCGGCAGACCCAAGACCCGGATAGGATCCTCTTCCTAAGCGATCCAACTGGAACTGTTTCTCCATCTGTTTTTGATAGGGGCCCTGTGCGAAAATATATTTCCGCTTGGGGTTCTGGAGAGAGAACCTGTGATTCTCCTCCTCCTTCCTTATGTGCGCGCCGTTTGACTTTTCACTTTGATCGACGGCAGACAGCTTTCAAATGGAAATTGATGACGACTGCCCCACTTCCTAGGAGTATGAACGGGGAGGTGTGGCTCGTTCATGTTCATGGGGTGCCGAAAATAATTTTTAAAACAATAAAAACGGTTTTGTCTTTAATAAACAGAAAGCGTGGCCAGGTCCGCATGTGCCGTATGCTGGAGGCCCACGGATATAAAAATAGGCAGACGGACAAACAAACAAATAGTTGGACGGATGGACAGACAGATGGATGGGCCATGGAGAGGCGTCCGCGTCTTTCGGCGCATATAAAAATACAGAATGATCTTATGGCTAACCTTAGACATTGGCCACACCTGCCGGACCGGCACTGGAAACGGCACTGCCACCGGAGCTCGAAGCCCCATGCAGCCTGAAGGTGGCAGAGGTGGTTGGGGCAGGGGGGAGGGCGCATCGCCAATCGGAGGCAGGCAACTTGATTGAATTGCCACAATTAGAAAGATTTCCTCAAGATTTTGTTTGGCTTTGTTTCGGTTACGATTTCCTCAGTGGCTGTCATGTCCGCATGTTTACACGGATGTTCCTCCTTTCGGATGCCAAATATTTGATTAATTTCATGGCGAAAATTCAAGAGAATATTATTCTCCTTAAAGCGGTCTCTGTGCCGTTTCAGATGCTTTCACTGAGACTTGAGGCAAGATTTAAGCGGCTCCCTACATCCGCCGCCAGTCACTGAGATATAGAATCATTTCCTATCGATTAGGATTCGTGTTTGGGTTGGGTTTGGGTTGGGGCTCTGGCTGTGGCTGTGGCCTGCAGCTACGACAATGGCCGCACTTACAACTAACAAACTGAAATAGCAAAAGCTTTTTGGCTGCCCCAAATTACAGGCGCACACAGAGATAGACTCACAGCAAAGGCGTATAAATCTGTGCGGCACAAGTATCTCGTAACCGGGTGTGGAGTGTATAGCACTCATCACCCCCGGGCCGGGGTTCGGGTACGGGGTTCTCTGACGTCAGAGCCAGTTTCGACCGCATCGAAAATGGCCATTGAAATGTTACGTCGCCGCTGACGTTGACGTGGATTTGTCTCATGCACGAGTATGCGTGTGAGTGTGCGAATGAATGAGTGCTGAGTGCCGAGAGTGTACGAGTGAGTGGTGTGAGTGGTGTGGTTGGTGTGGTGTGGTGTGGTGCGAGTGTGAGTGTGAGCTGTAAGTGTGAGTAGTGTTTGGGTAGTGGTTCAGTTTATTGACATTCTACGGTGGGATTTTGTATTTGCTTTTGGACAGGCGGAAGGCCGAGTGGAATAAATGAACAATTGATGTTGCTTCACCTCACAATTTTCGGAAGCCTGGAAAAAATCTCGGATCCCTTAAGACTGCAAAGTGCATCACATATGTATGTTTGTACATATGTCTAATCATTGGCTACGCCCAACAGGAATGCAAGTAAATTTTCCACTCGTTTGTTGCCCTGGGTGACAGAACCATCATATGAGTAGAAAATAAATAATGAATGAATGGCAGTGACACATGTAACATATTTCGACAGCACTCGAAAGTCGGATAAATCAAAGACATGACAAAATATTGAAGGTATTTTGTCGCCTAATTGGAGTGCCACGCGCCGTCAAAGACAGAACCGAATCCAAATCGAAGCCAGAAGGAGACACACCCGGCGGGCCAAATTTATACCACCCATTTGGCCAAATACATACATATTCGGCATACAGAATCGGCATTGGTTCTGGGAACCACAGAATTGACTGCTAGGTATTTGGCCACAGGATCCGGTACAGTGAGCTCAAGAGCAACCTTAGAACCAGTAACATTGTTGTTTTCTTAAATTATCGTTACCAAAGATATCCCTACCATAATCAGGGCTTTATTCTTTAACAATCGAGCGTTCGTATTATAGCGAGAATCGCTTCTGAATGGCTCTGCCCCAAGTCTGATACACTGATAAAAAGAATGACCTCCAATTGTTGAAACGTTGTTCCACTCTTGAATTCGAGTTTTGCAGGAGCTGGCCATAGGTTTTCCTTTTTTCAGTGTCTATTCGTATGCCCTGATGTTTTTTTGTCAGTGCAGGAGCCACCAGCACTCCGCAGATGTGTGAATGTTATTGCTACACACAAAGGATGGCTGTCAGGCGCCATTATCACATGTTGCCGTCACTTTGTGAGCGGCGTTGTCGCTGTCGATGTCGTGGCTGTTGTGTTTGTAATGCACAGATATGCCAAAGGTCCCTTGTCTGAGTCCTTATCCTTATGCGCACGCATATCCGGATCCTATCCGCACTCACATTCGGACATATGCAAATTTCCCAATGGCCAAATGGCCAAATGGCCAAATGGCAAATGGTGAAAAGCAAATGCCAAGGCGGTCAAATTGTTTTCGCACATGAGCTCTATTTGCATCTCATTAACATGGGGGCCAGGCTCTAAAAAGCGGACAGCAAATAATCAAATAATAGACACTTTTGCCACGCGAACACTCACATAGACTCTCACAAAATGGCGTCACCAATAAACGTGAGAGTGTGTGTGTTTTTGTGTGTCTGTAGCGCCTTCCGTGCTCCATGTCATTTCTATTTCCGTTTTTCAATATGCCAACAGTGCCAACAGATAATTATTGCACTAAAAATTGTATGCTTCGTTTATTTTTTATTGCTGTTGTAATCCTGTGTGAATGGACGCTGCCACGCCCCGGGGCACGCCTGATGAGCATGTCCTTCTGTCCATACAATGATTGACATGTGCTTGTATGTGTGTCCACGTATTGGGTAGTGAATGTCAGAAATATTTTGATAAATTGTTTTACGACCATAATTTGTGCAACTTTTATCGCCCTTTTTTGTGATGGCTTTCCTATTAGTGTTTTATGTGCCGTAAAAGTAGCCAAACACATGCACTCAGAGAAATTTTGATCCCACCGAAACGAGTTTCTTGAACACGCCTAAGAATTAATTCAAATCAGGCCCAATTTAGATGGCCCTTACAATCAGTAGTGCCAAAAAAAGCACCAATACAATCTGGCAAACAGCTCAGACTGTTTCCTGTAATATATATTTAATTATTGGTTAATAAGCACGAAAATAAATATGGGAGTCCGAAGCTACTCGGAACTGAACAACTTTTTCTCAGTGCAGACACAACATTCATCATTATGCTGATAGTTGATAGAAGTGGCAACAAAATTGAATTAAATTATTTAGACGGCATATTCCTGAGAGCCTTACATTTTACGACAGCGCAAACAAGCCCCACAATCGTATTTATTCAACATTCAGCATTCAGCATTCAGTATTCTGCTGTACAGAAAATAATTTATGTTCTGTGCGTAACCTTTTGGAGGCCCGCGGCAAACAGGCGCTGGGGTGACGAGCGGGTTAGGCCCGTCCCAGACAGACTGGGTGACTGTTTACACTGCCGTGATGAGCCCCAAACATGGTCCCCGAAAGCGCCAGACGAATTATTTGGCTATTTATACGAATGCGAGTATGTTTACATACCTTTCGGGTGCTTCTTCTGCGTGGCTCTAAGGAAGAGGGAAGATAGGAGCCAGAGGAGCCAGAGGAGCAGGAGAGGAGCTCCTCCGAGTCAGTTGGGGGATCAGCAGGGTCCACTCGTCGGCCGGGGCTAGTGCATTCTGCAAAGAGATTAAGGCGGAGAAACTCATTCACTTTGAACGGAAGTTGTGGGGGAATTCTGCTTAGCAAATACGAATACATATACGAATACGTATATTTATACAGTCGGAAGATAATGCTCCGACCTTCTTGGGGCTCGCCAAACGTTGTGCTGTATGGCAGCAAACAAAGCCCGTAAATATTGTTCTTCAAACTCTTGACTTTTGCTGCTGGAATTAGACATAAGCCACTTGTGAAATAAGGCTTAAAATTGAGGTGAACAAGGTATTTAATTTTGAAAATTAACGGAATAATGGAATAATTTATTCAATTTGGGGTTTACTTGGGGTAAAAAGCACACAGAGCTCACAAGAAGTTAAGCCACCTCCTTGCATGTGAGTCCTTTCTGTTTCTATTCCCCATTTGTCCAATATATTTATTTTAATATATAGTTCCTTTCACAGCTTCCGCCTCAGCGCATTTCCCCCTGTAATTGAGTGCCATCCACAATGCGAAAGGCAAACTTTTTCTCCGGCAACGGAAAAGAATACCAGCAGCCAACGGAATATGTATGTGAATAGGTAAAATATGAAGGGACACTCGCAAAAATGGGGTAGAAGGTTACCAAAGATTGTTTTCCATAGTATGAAGAACGGGATGGGATCTTTCAAAATTCAGCATTTAATAGTGCAACTTTTACGTTCTCCTCAAAATTATTCCCCTTATTCATTAGATTATTGGACTTGCGTTTATGCCCCACTCTTTCTTCAGTGTACGTTTCATGTCTGCACATCAACATGTGCATTTGGGCGGCGGTTGAAGGATGAACTTTTGTGGCTCGGTCCCCTTAGGAAAACATGAAAATATGTTTTCGAAAATGAAAAACTGCCCGGCAAACTAAATACATACGAATACATATGTAGAGGAGAAAAGAAGAAAAGCTTGCGAAAATAATTTGCTTGTTTTTTAATGTGAAAAATTGAAATCACTTTCGGCTTCCACCAACTAAGCAACTGATCAAATTAAGAGGACAGAATTTTAATGAAGTTCCACAAGAAGCTCATTTGCAGCACGGGGCGTATGAGTAATGCATCAAATGTTTGGCTTCAACCAGGGGGGGAGCGTGGCGCACTTGGTCACATAAATATTGATCGAGCGAGGGTGGAGCCCTCCACAGCCACGGCCACATCCACATCCACATCCACTTGCAGATAAGTCTCTCCCATTAAATGCTCGTTAGTACTGGTACTCTCCAGTAGTCCCACTCTCTACCCTTCTCTGTCACCATGGCTATCGCCATCTCTATCTGTGGTCGCTCTGAGCAATGCAAATTATCAGTCGGCGCTCCTCTAATCAGCACACGGCAAACAAAAAACTGACATGAATGAAATTTACAGGGAACGAAAACGCGAAAGGGAGCAGCTTTGCTTGAATTTTCTTGTTTACTGGAGGGGCTTTCGTGAGTTTTTTTCGTATATCTTTCCACACCGCAGGCAAAGCAAAGTAAAGCACGATACAGTGCCACGCCCGTGGGCAAAGTTCTTGCCTCACTTACAGATTCGCGTGCCGCACAGTCAAACTGGCACGCACCCCCTTTCAGATAAAGTGAAGGTTCTGTTCTGCCCTTCGTATATTCGGGATTCTTGGGATCTGTGTTACATTTTTTTCGTCGAGCTCTTCGTGCGGCTATTTTCGTTGGCACTTTGTTTGCTTAGCGGGCTGTGCTGCGGCTTATCACATAATTTGAATAAAGTAGCTGCAATCTTGTGTCAGTTTATCGCAAATTAGACCGACAACGAACAGCGATCCAGATAAACACATCAACATCAGCCGCAGCCACAGCCGCAGCAGCAGTCGCAGCCACAGCCGCAGCCACAGCCGCAGCAGCAGTCGCAGCAGCAGTCGCACTAGCAAAGTGCCCCAAAGGGGGAAGTGGAGTGGGGCCGGTGTAGGAGATTCAGTTGAATGTAATGTGATTTGCCACAGGACTACACATTTGCAGTTGTCCCCAACCGAACGAAAACTTTTAATGTTTTTTGAATCAAGCATACGCGGTGGTGTCTGCAGTTTTAGCGTAGAGTTTGCTTCATTAAAAATGATTTTACATGGAAAATTGGCCCCTAAACTATATCTTGTCTGATCAAAAGATTTGATTTTCCGTGGAAAAGGCCAACGAAACCAAAACCATGAAAGCTAAGCAAATCCCGAGGTTTGTGATATTTCGCTGAATTCAGTGGGCCAAATGGGAGTTAAAATGGACCATACGCTGTGGTGTTTATAGTCTGAGGTAACAATATAATTTGATTTCCCATGGAAAAGTGTCCGTCCATTAACCAAGAGCAAGCTATAAACTCTGAAAGCCAACATACGCCATGGTAGCCTTTTCCCTTCCATCACGGCGAACACGTCGTGGTGTCTGCAGTTCTTTTTTTCGATTTCCATCACGCTGAAAAATACCTTTTAATGCCGGAAAATCGAATTATGCATGTGTGCGAAAAGTGACGAGGAAAGGGGCACAGTGCAAAGGTTGCAACGATGGATGGGCAAATATAATTGAATTAGTCGCAAATTGCAGGACGTGCATCTTGCTCTGCCTGCCGGCACCTGTCTGCTCTCGTTTTTCGCTTTCCGTTTCCCTCTTTCTCCAACCTCTTCACATCTATACCGACCGTTGGGGGGTGTTGAGTAAATTTCTTGACACTTTTAATTATGAAAATTGTGTTAGTCAATCTGACAAAGACCACCTCCCGTTCGGCGGATGAAAGACATCCCTCGAGCAGATCGCCATGGAAATGCTTTTGGGCAGCTTTCCATCAATCTACCCATCAAAAAATGTGAATAATTAGCCGAATGAAACTGTTCACTATGGGAAATAAACACATCTAAAACGATTTAAGGCATATAGAAAACGAATATAAACCCGACAGGGGAGCATCATAAATTTACTGAGAATGGGAATGGAAATGGGCCGGTCTGGCCGTGACGGGAGCTGGGTAGGGCAGGGGGCTAAAGACTGCCCAAAGACGCAATCGGAATTTCCACGAAAGGCGTTTAATTGGAAAGCAGTTTTTGCCCTCTGGCCATCGAGTATGAACAGCAAGATCAAATCAAATATTTGGCGGCACACGAATCTGCTGCCGTCTCACTGACTGATTGACTATCCGGCGGACTGACTGTCGGCTGTCTGTGTGTGTCGGAAAATTGTTGAAAATTTCCCCACAGTCGTACCACAGAGATCTGCTTGTGAATGTCGAAATTTATTTGCTGCTTAACGGAATGCACTGGCCAGGTTAATAAAATAGCTTGACGCGGCCCCTGAATATTTATTGAAATTTCCCCCGTCCCCCTGACATTCTCAATTCTGTTTTGCTGGTGCTCTGTTTTGTTGTACTTTATGTCATAATTTTCCTGGCTTTTCCAATGGCTTTTCTGGCCCAATGTTTACTCTGTTGCTTAATGCTCTTTTGGCTGTTCAGAGTCTGAAGAAATGGGTGTACGTGTTGGGGATTGCTGCGGCACAAAATTTACATATTCGGGGTCCTCCCCCTCTGCCAGGGGGTTAATTTTCTTACCTCTGGCTGTTGGCTTTTCCTCTTGTTGCTGCCGCTGTTATTGCTGTTTTTATTTAAATTATTATTGCAGCATGCTGCTTACTCTTATGGCCGCTACTGTAGCTCTTTTCATACGTTTTTCTAGCATATTTTGCTGCGCAGTTCCTTTCGAGTAACAACAATGTATTCACGTTAATTTACGGCACATGGCAAATGTTTAACAGATTTTGTTTCAACTAATTTCGGGCCTGTAATTTATGTCACATATTTTTGCACACTTAAAGCAGTTCTTCTTGATCTAGCACTCGCGCACTTTGCATTGTACTGCACTGTTTGTTTTGTTTTTATTATTTCTACATTTACTACAAAAATATATTTGTTTCTCGTATTTTATTAATGTTTTATTAACTCTTTTGCTGGTGCTTTTGTTGTTGGCTCTGGGGAGAAATGAGACTTTTTGGGGCAGGAGCTTTCTCTGGGTTGCTTTCGCCGGCAGTTCCACTTTCGAACGGAGCGTATGGATGCCACTGTGGCGCCTTTTATACTCAGGCGAGGTCTCGCTCTCGCTTTTCGCTCTCTTTGGCTCTCTTTCAGTTTGTGGATTTCGTTTTGGCTGTGCGGGAGAACAGGCGTCCCACCCATTGTTATCAAGTTGCTGCTGCTGCTGCTGCTGCTGCTGTTGATGTTGCTGTCTCTCGCTCGCTCTCTTTCGCTGACTCAACTGTAGCCGCGACTCTCTTTGTGGATGCTGTCTGTGGAGTGGCGTGCATGGAAATGGACTGCAGTTTTCTTATCACCAGTTCTGCTTATGCTTATGACGTCACTGAGCAGGCATCAGACTTGAACTCCCATTTTGGTCGAATTGCACGTGTTTAATTCTGTTATTTCTGTGTGTGTGTGTGTGTGTGTGTGTGTGTGTGTATGTTTTTGAGTGTCTTTGTGTGCGCTTTGCCCATAAATTAGCCAAGGAACAGTTTGTGCTTTTCCTGATTTCTTCTCGGACTATTGTTCTCCCGCTTCTTCCCCAATTTCCGCTCTATGTTTATTTTCACATTTCTCTCAGAAACGCTTTTTGCCTTGGGAATGGGTTCCACCTTCGCCCGCCGCCACCGCTGGTCTGCTTGTTCTTGCTGATTGTCTTTGTTATTGTTATACCCTTCCCGCAGAGGTGTCATCTTTTTGGTCCCCTTTTGCAGGCAATCATTTAGGGAAGCAACTCCCTCAATCTATCCGTTTGTTGTGCAGACGGCCGTGCAGACGCCAAAAAGAGTCCGACCGTAGGGTATCCAATGCTGCGGTCCCCGGTGTTACCCTTCTTCCTGTTTCGCATTGTTATTGTTGCTGTTCCTTTTACTGCTACATTTGCTATTGTTCTTTGTATCATTGTGTGTGTGTATTACAATCTGGATCTGTGTTGGTGTTGCCCTCGTTTGCATTTAGCTTTCTGTTGATTTATCTCAAATGGCGCATAACTTGGAGTCCAACCGGGATCCGCTCCGTTCCGCTCAGCTCTGCTCCGAAATTTAATATTAATAAATATTTGCAGGATAACTTTCGACGCATACAGTAATGTTCGGTACTATTTAGGATTACATCAAATTGCAATTCTCTTCAATCGTATATTAAGCACCGCACAGCCCACGGAAATTAAAGTAATTCAAGGCCTCAAAAAAAGATTCCCTATAGAGATGATTCTGATTACATTTTTCCGAGGGTTTCGCTTGCATTTAATTTCCATTATAATATATATTGAGTCTTGTTTTAGAGATGAAAATGTTGTTTTTTGTGTTGTTCAAAGCTCTGGTTCCCATCTTGACTTTATCAAAAATCACTAATCGAATTTACATTTAATCGAAGTACTTGCCTATGGAAGGAAGCTCCTCCTCAGTATTCATTTATTTCGAACATTTTCCAGCATCAAAATGTACGCCGATTTGACGGCGGTGGGAAGAGGCATGAGGGGAGTACAGGTTAAGGCAGAACAACCGTAGCATACCCAGTAATCGTAGAGGGCAAGGGTATATTGAAAGCGCCAGAAAGGATGTTCGACCACATAAAGTATGCATCTAAGTACATTTATCGGTACAAATATCGGCTAGAAGAAATAACTAAATCAACTTTTCAGCTTCTAAACTGTGGAAGCGGGTATTCCATAGTTGGAAGATCCGTTACAGGGTTTTCCCTTGTTTTATGTACTTATACAGAGTATGTTTCTTCTACTCTCCATTCCCATACTACGCCTTAAATTTGCGGCAATTTTTCAGCGTTTTACAGCAGATTGCCACTTCAGGCCAGCCTCTCCCCACCCTTCTTTCTCTCTATTCTGCCATAGAGATATTCTGTGAATCCACACGCACACACAAGCAAACGCACACTCACACAGCGACTGCCATGCAGGAGTCGTTGCCATTTTATCGTTTCCTACTTCAGGCAGCCGCCATCTTCCCGCTGGGCCAGAAATTGGATCTGAACTCATCCGAAACCCAACTGCTCTACTGCTGTTCCTCCGTCTGTTTTGGCTCGGCCGTGGCCGGATGGCCGTCTGCTCTGGTTTGGCTTTTATTTTTAGCAGTAGCATAATTTTTTATTGATTGGATTTCAGCGAAAATCACTTCCGGCCATAAATTTGTTATGCAGCCATCGGCTTTTCTCTGACTCTGACTCTGGCTCTGACTCTGCCTTTGACTTTCGCCGGCTACCCCCTGCAGAAGGAAACATTTCATGTTTTTACAAGAATACTTTGCGTTTTGATTTATTTTACGTTTGCGTCAATGTCAATCGAGTTTCGACTTGAAGATGGAGCGGAAGAGCGGAAGAGCGGCATACCGGAAAAGCGGAAAGGAGAAACAACGAAACAGCAGGGCGCTTGAAGGGATTGTTTGGCTCGAATTTGTTTGTTTAGCTTTCGCTGTGCCTCTGCACTAATGGCTTAAAAGGGGGGGGCTTAGAGGGCAAGACGGCAAATGGCCAAGAGTATTGATAAAGAAAATTTGCACATTGTTTGCATTACATTACATTCGTTTGTGTGCGTGTAGCCTTTGGGCAAAATCAAATACAAACACACGAGTATCCATCCCAACAAATTACTGGAAAATGTTATCAAAAAAGGAAGCGCTGCTGCTCCGTAATTTAATATTTCAATCAGAGAGCCTTGAGGTTAATGTCCTGCCCCATCAATGTCCTGGCTGCCAGGCCACGCGGCTTTGGGATAAGCCTTCATAGTGGGGCAGCAGGCAGCGCAAATGAACAGCAAAGACATGTCCATAACAACAGCTGCTAGACTCACACACAAACCCGCGAAGAGTCACACATACACACACCAGAGAGAGGAGACTCTGCTAAGAGAACAGTGACGTCACAAGCCAAGATACAAAGAGACGCAGAGAGTAGGCGGAAGTGCGCATGCGTTGGCCAGGACTCGCCGGACTTCCGGCCAGAGCAGCGACCATATGACATCATTGAAAACAAACCTCGGGCTTTGGTAATGAAATTATGCGTTTTTTCTGCAGCTGCTCTGTGAGTGTGTGTGTGTGTGTGGGGGATGGGGGGCGCAGGGGGGGGAAGGGAGAATAGTTTTTGGCTTCTGATGTGGCGCCTAGCCATTGTGCTGACGTCACCGACCCGACACGACTGTGCACTCGAATGTAAAATTGGCAAATAAATAGGATTTCACTTGAAGCGTTTGTTGCACACCGCACCCTCCTGCACCCTCCTGCACCCTCCTGCTCCTTGGTGTGGCACGAAACGAAGCCCTGCGCAGACCAGGATGACATAAGACGAGCAACACGCCCAGCGAAATCCCGGAGAGGTGCGGGGTCCCGGTCTAGGTCTCCTAGGGTCACCGCCACCAAAGACAATGATATTTCGATGGTTGGGGCGGCGGCCTAATTGAATCATAAGCCCGTGCAGCACCACTCACCGATTTACGTCAGCTGCAGCGGTTCCTTCAATAATCTCCATTCAAAATAGCCGGAAAGGGATATGAAACCTTAATGTTCGCCCATTTTTTGTGTTATTGTTTTACGCCCCATTACGCTCGCTTTAATGTTGGGTGCTGGGCGAATGTTGCAGCTACTCTCTCCGTAATCCCACAGGAGACCACGGGGCCCCCCCATCCAAGCCATAATTGTGTGACGTCAATGACTGAGTGGCGGTGCTCTGGCATGAAAGACCACTTTTTATAATTTTTTTTCATCTGTCTGTGTGCGTTAAATAATCCAAGGTGAATCCTATGAAGCCCAAATGGAAATAAGGCAGCCGATTGCCAAAAATCACCCAAACGAAAACACGTCCTTCGGTTCTGAATCAATACCAGGACGACCAAGACCAGGGATGCTCATCACAAAGAAGTACGACACCTTTAAGTCACCTCCGATTTTACCACAAAACTGTGAGGATGTTGCGGATCAGGAATATATCTTTTGACCTGTAAATAAATATTTAGGCGAGAAACAGGCACAAATAGGTATATATTTTGAAGCCGAAACTTAAGTTACGGCATATTGTAAGGTAACTGTAAACTCTGAATTGAAATTGCTTCCGTTCACGAATTTCAGTAGGACTAATGACCACTACTTGATTTTTTAATACATTTAACGAGAATTTAAAAAGTTTAAATGAAAAATAATTTTTTTTAATGGTAAATTTTTGGTATATTTACGGAAACATTAGAAAATTGAAAAGGTACAGCTGCGCCGAAAAAAATAGCACCAGGGGACTAATGTTTCTATATTGACGGATTTAGCTTAAACAATGGTTCTAATGAACGTTGTTAAGACTAATATGTAAACTTTAAGGTATAATTTATCGTATCCCAGAGCACTGGTATGATTTGCAAGCTCCAAATGAAAAAATTTGAAAAGAGAAGAATTTTATCAGAAATTTGGGCACCAACAAAAATAGCACCAATTTACAAGGAAATCGAAAAACTATAAAATACAAGGAAACTTTCCAAATTTTTTTGTAAAATATGTTACTTTAGTTGTATTTAAAGGTTGGCGTTTTGTTGTAAAACCTTTGACAGCAACAACAGCAGCTCAGCATATTGGCACTAAAGCTCACCTCATTTTCGCATCTTTTCCTTGGGATATTGATCCACGAACCATGCAGAATACCCCAAACATGTTTAATGTTCTTTGATTCCGCATTAGAAACATATTTTTTAGCTTGACCCAAAACATTAGCAATGGGGTTCAAGTCTGGAGACTGAACAGGCCAATCTATTGCACTAAGTGAATTGTGCTCGAACCACTTTCGAGCTCTCTTTCTAGATCGTTTTGGGTAATTTTCCTAATGGAAGACACAAAACAACTCTATTTCGTATTCTGCATAAAGCAGAATCACTGTTTCTTTGATATTGACATAGACGTGTTGATCCATAATGGGGTTGTGCCATGTACTGGATCACCTGCCTAGTACGAAAATCATGCCCATACGATTTTGCTTGCTTTTCTATGTCTAATGAATTTACATTTGAGTCTGGGGGTTATATTCTGCATTCGGTAATCGTTTCACACAAGAACAAGACCCTTTTACACCAAAAAATAAATTTTGGCTTTAGTCGGACCACAGGATGTTTATCCATTTTCCTTGGCCCAACTTTAGTACTATTTTGCATACCAAACTTTTTTTGCCCTATGCCTTCCCATGAGAAGTGGAATTTTCCTCGTACTACGAGTACCCATTTTACGTTCTTGTAAACAAGATCTAACTTTCCTGGTACTTGACGATTTTTTAAGATCCTTGGTTTAGCTCTGTGGCCGACTTAAATGGGTCCTCCTTGCTCTCACGAACCAGTATTTTTAGCAGAAATGGGAATATCGCGGCCTTTCTTGCACGTGATTCTTGTTGGAAACATATTTCTAAGGATTGCTAATCATTTCTTTTGAACAACCGACAATTTGCCCCACCTTAGCATAGGTCCTGCCTTCTGAAATAAAAGTTTTGATCCTTTGGCTTTTTTCTTCACTTTAGTGCTTTCCAAGACCCATAACTACTTAAATTTTGTAACTTTCTTGTCACAATCACCTAAAGCCACCGATTTTTAATTCAATCAAGAACTTAAAATATTAAGAAGCTCCGAAAAGTAGAAACTTTTACATAAAACAGTTACTGGTGCTATTTTTGTTGGTGCTCTATTTCGCTCCCCTTTCGCAAAATTGCCTAATGTTATAAGAACCGTTAGAATTGAGAGAGTAAGAACAATCCTCTCAGAGAGGAGACATATAAAGCTACATTATATTGCAGTAAAGTCCAGAAAATGTTGGACAGTGGTCTTGTTTTGAAGGAATAAAGACGGTCGTCCCTACCGGTGCTATTTTTTTCGGCGCCACTGTATATATTTTTGTAGACTTTTCAGAGTCAGCTTATATTTATTCAACCTGAATTATACACCACTTTTATGTATGCAAGTATGCATGTAATATATGTATTATACATATTTGTTTGTGGTTTGTTTACAGCCAAAAAGTATGCTACAAGCAATATAAATAGAATTCATGTATGTATTTATGTAAGAAGCAAGTAGAAATGCCATTTGCTTTTGTCACCGATCGCATATAAAATAGAAAGATCTAATGGTATTGTACGTGAGGCGGCAGAACAGCAGCAGAACACTTTCCCATCCTCTGAAGACTTGGCCGTGCGCGACCACTGCAATAGATACATCCTAAAAGTGATCCCTGTGCAAAACTATATCTTCGAAAAGAGGCTGTTAAGCTGTCAGCTACAAACATAAAATTATGATATAATAATAATAGAGTTGGATATTTATCATTTAAAATTGTGCACTTAGTTGTCATCTAACATTTAATACGATTTTGCTGAGGTTTTGACATACTACATTTCGAATAAACTTATTCCTTATGGTACGAACTCCATGGAAAAGTGGGGTAGAAATTTATTTAGATCATTGAGATTCCACGCATTCAAGAAAGAGGGAAATAAATTTTGAGCACTGCACAATTGATGTCGCAGGCCAACCAGTCTCGACGTTACGTTGTGGGGTCATGAATGGTTCATGCTGGAATACTCTTTGATTATATCATAAAAAGAACTAACAATGGAGAACGATTTTGCTGTTTTGTCAAATTTGCAGGCATCGACAGTGAAATTTTAAAGTAATTGTGAGGAAAATCGACTCAAAAGGAAGAACTTTGGATAACAATATTCAAAATCGCAGAAATCCATATCCGTTGAATTACACTCTTCGAGTTGTTGTAATTATTTGTAAAAATATTTGGCACTTGTAAATATTCTTATCTCTGCAATAAAATAGGATATCACCTTGAGAGTAAGACCCATCACGCACATTGAAGAAAGCCACTTGGACTAAGTTCAAACCAAAACTGTTTTCTCCTTAAAATATTGCATATAGAATACTAATCCAACTCTTTCAGTCGATAAAGCAATTCGATTGGGTCTATTGACGATGGGGTAGCTGTGGGTATAAGTTTTTCATGAAAAACGCTATAAAAAAAGTCGTTAGTTACATCTTTGCCCTTACTTTTATACCCATCAAACGAAAACTGATCGGGTGACCCGAATATTCGAAAAATCTTTTTACAAAAGTGCAAATAAAAATACTTAAACAACTTCTTCCCTCCCATTTGGGAAACTCCTCTGATAAGTGTCACCACCCGATGGTAGGGTATATCGTAAGATCAGCAGCAGCAGCAGCAGCGGCAGCGGCGGCGGCGTCGGCGACGAAGGCGACGAATGAACATCAACCAAGTGACCGACTCCGCCGAGAGTCTTGTCTTTGCGCTGGCGGCTAGCGTTCGTTGCCAGTTTCTTTTAACTCGTTCACGTCGTTGGTTGTGTCGGTTGCTTGTCGGTCGGCGTCGCTTGTGCTTTTTGTATGTGGTGTTCCACGCAGCCGCGCATCGTCGCTATAAGAAGGTGGTTCACGGCACTGGGAGATAATACAATATAGTATAGGAATAACAGAGCCGCCGATATGAAATTCTGACACGACTTCGTGCAGATCTCCAGAGCTGCGAAACTGCAATGTTGTGTGTGTGAAAAAAGTGCATTAAACAGCAATAACAAAAGGCGCAGCCAGAAAGATTGTGTGAGAGCCGCACGAAGAAAGAAAGAGGCGAAAGAAGGCGAAGAAGGCGGGGAGAGAGAAGTGCAGAAGCAGAAATTGGGAATAAACAAAAAGAAATTGCATAAGTTTGATTTTTGGCGTGCGCTTTGCTCATCTTCTGCTGCAATATTTGTGGGCTTTTCGTTTTATTTTGTCTGCCGTGGATTTTGGGTTTTGTTTTTCCCTCCAAAAAAAGACCACAGATGATAAAACAAAACGCTGCCAAAGAAGAGACAGAAATTAAAAAAAAAAAAAACTTTAAAATAGCTTTTGTCCGGGGCCTGGCGCGACGACGCATCGTCTGGCGGTATTTTACACAATTTTTTTAATCAACTCCATTCGACGGCGGCGTCTACTTGACCATTTGACTTTTTTCGAACAAGTTGTCGCCGCCGCGCCGCTCGTTTTGCATTCAAGTTTTCTCCGAGTGTCCGTCCAGTGTGGTGTACATATGTGTGCGTTTCTCTCTGTGTATTTGGCAATTGAAACCCAAACATTAATGCAATTGTTGCTAACCAATTTCTGTTTCACCGACTGTTAGCTTTTTTATGTGCAAAGCCGCCAAACATTTATGCAACGCGAGCAGAAACAATATCATCGGAAAAGGAACAACTTTGGTCACAGTTTAAAGTGCTCGGGTGAGGTAAGTTTTATTTAACAGATGGACGGACGGACGGATGGACGAACGGACGCAAAGCTATTAACATAAACCAATTACAACTAATTACAATCAAACGTATTAGTCGCCGCAAATCGTGCGCCCCACGGCGTCTATTGTGTCATTAAACCGATACGGAATTTGCATAAATTAGATAAGGATTACCAGCAAATAGAACATAGACGCAGAACAGAGACCCAGAGAACCAGACACAGGCGCAGACCGAAACCAATTTTATATTGTCCTGGCCTTTAATGGCACTCGTAAATGGAGAACAGGGCAAGCCGAACCTCGGGAATACCCTACCATCCACAGAGAGACCCTCGAGTGGGTGCCAAAAAGCATTTCAACAAATACCATATGTAGTACAAATTTCAACAATTTCAATGGCAAATAAATTGAAATTAAGTTGGTCTGGAATTTATTTTGATATTACATCGTGCTGGTGGATTTCATTCTTCACAGGAAACCCGATGCGACCTGCGATTGGCCAATCATTCAACTGATGACTTAATTCCGCGAAGCCTGTTTCGGGTTTTTGCATAATCATATATAGAAATTCCTGTCACACCGAATAATCGAACACATTCTGCTGTCCAGCCACCAAATTGGGGACTTGCGAAGAGACATCCGACCCAATTGGTAGTGGCACGTCAGGTGGAAGTAATTCATTAGCTCAGAACCATTCGAGCAGCCCCTCCATATTGGGTGTAAATTGATTCATCGAATGGATATGTTTGACTAGGTTTATTCCTCGCCCTGCCTCCCACTCCCACTAAGTTTCTTGCATTAATTGCTCAACTAAGCGTCATCGAAAGCCCCTAACAAGTTTGTCTCTCTAGCGAAACCTGTTGAATGGAACAAAGCAGAGAAAGAAATGGGAAATCCATTAAAAGTAAATTTTGAACAAATACTAAATACATACGCAAACACAGCTGCTAAAAAAAATAAGCTGAAATTGGATAATATCTAATGCTGCGAGGCCACTGGCTCTTCTTCCGTGGCTGCTATTTCTAGATACATCTGGCGTATAGTGGGTGGGGTGGGGTGGCTCTGTATGCACCATTTAAAACTTTATTTGGAAATTTGTTTGTCTGTCGTTAAATGGTTTTCCAACTGTTCCATTTACGGCTGAACCTCCTCCGAACGATGGCTGACAATCAATCATCGCATTTCACGATGAATGCATGAGTATTACGACACAAGGCGCATCTCTGGCAAATATAAGCATCTATAAATAGAAAAGAGAGACGAAGACAGAGAGAGACGAAGAGAGAAAGAGAGAGACAAAAGCCAGATGGCTTACAGCAAAACAGTTGTGGGTGGGTGTTACTTTGGCCAAATTAATGAGGCAACAAACTCAAATAATTAATATACAAATGCGGTCATTGACAATGCACAGACACCCAACCCATCCTCCACCTCCGCTCTTTCTGCCCGTTCGTAAAACTGTAATTAATATTTCATTCAAAGCCGACCAGCGCACACATTATTAAAAGTAGGCAAATAAATATTTCAATTTCATGATGCGGTTTTAGCATTTCATTGCTCAATGGAAACCACAAATAAATGAGATGTGCCATGAGGTGACCGATGGCCGGGGACACGGACACCATTTGGCTACTGTTACTGCCACTGCCACAGCCGTTGTGATGGTGTGGGAGAAACCCCAACAAACCCCACCCAATGACAGTAGATCAGATCTAGACCCAAACTCATCTTTGTCACGATCTCAAGATTATTTAACAGCTTGTGGAATTCGCAGAGCGTCCATAAGTGAAAGGTTCGTCGAACCGGAATTGCCAGCGGGCCAAAACACAGATAAACCAGTCAGAGTCAGGAGTGATAAGCATGGACGGAAAGAACCTGGTTCCAAAACATGTTTCCAAGCGAAATTCAAATTTGAAACAAACATTTTAAATACAAACGAAAATAATTTAAATAAAGAGCTCGCCGGATTCTTGGGTCCGGCTAATGAAGGCCTCAGATCCGGCGCAGAATCCAGCCCAAGTACAGCTGTGACGTGCCAGAGGGCTGACAAATGATCGCTTTCTTGGCATGTCTGATCATTTATTCAGATTTTGTAATCTACGACTGTCTGGGGGGAATTAAGCTGGGCAGGACAGATATGCGCCAGGCATAATTTATTAGTGTTTGGTTTTCCTTTTACTTTTTTTCAGTTGTTCTCCAATCAAGAAAAAAGAATGTCCGAACTGAAACAAAACACTCGAAGTTCCATCCAGCCATCCAGCCATTAGTATTCGTATAATCGAGTTTGGATCGAAGTCTGGAGTCGAGACTGCGACCGAGACCGACACCGAGACCCATTAAAATCGTATTAATACTCGCATAAGAGAAGGAAAAAAGCAAACGCATTGAGCTGGCGAATTAAATGGTAATTTTTCAAGTTCATGGCATCCGGTGACATCGATATATCAGCTTTCAATTGATTTAAATTGTCTTAATTGTTTCAATTTGGACCACGGCGCCGCACAATGGCCGAACAATGAACGGCAGCGGACAGACTTGAACCCAAAACCCACTATTACGATTATGGGTCCATCATAATTTCCATCATAATGGCGCTCTCTGGCCAAGTGCCATAAACCCGTTTTTGAGCACATTAACATGCCGCAGGCCCAGCGAACGAATACACGAGCTGGAAAATAAAATCACGCAAATGCAAATGCAAATGAAAATGGAAATGCATATATTGAGGCATTTGCTGTAAATTGTTGCAAGATTTGCACTTGTGGCGGGGCGCCGCATCAGCATGCAGGCCGAACAAATGCAACACTAATTGGCAGCCGACTGGTTTGCTCTTGTCCAATTTTCGGGTTTCCCGCTTTCCATTGTCTGCATTTAATATGTAATTCTCCGCCTGCCCAAAAAGTCACGGATGTCCGGCCCCACCGCCACCGCCACCGCCCCCACCACACACTGAATGATTGCCTTGCACAACATTTCAAGTTCAGAGTCGACGAATTGCACTTGTTGCTGCCACACACTTGTTGCCACCGCTGACTCTGCCACTGCCACTGGCTCTACCACCACCACTGCCTCTGCTGTGATTCCGTTTTGACAGCTTATTTGTGTCAAAATGTCAAACGGTCACTCTGCCACGAATCACCATTGACCTTGACTGCTGACGAGATATGGATGCGAGCACGAATGGGATTATGCATATGAGTGTATTCAAATGGATACGGCTGGCACTGGCACTGGCACTGGCACTGGCACCTCTTCAAGCGTTTTGTTTTGCCTTCAACAGCAGCAGCACCGATGGACAATGCCAAAAGATATATGGGGAGCACCCTCCAGAGGCTATTGTAATAGTTGGGCATGAATATAGAAGCATTGTAGACCCTATAAAGATAATAAGCATCCACAGTCAAGACGCGACAGGTTTCAGATCAAAGAGGATACGTTTCCGAAGAGACTCTTGGACGAGAAATCCTTAAGACCCAGCAATTATGACTAACATCAAACTGTATCAAGAATATCAAGAAGCTATCAAGGAACGATGGGAACTAATCTGTTATCCTCGGGGCTTAACAGCCCTAAGTTCCTTAAGCCCCAAACTATGATTACATGTCTGGTTTGAGCTTTTGTGCTCGGAGACGAGGTCTCAACATGTTTTGGCAGCTTTGTACATGCTGTTTGCACACTTGCCTCAATCCTCAATCCTACCCAGCCCCGACGCCTTCCCTCCCCGCTTTACAATTGCCATGTGTCAAGTGGCGTGGGAGGCATGTGTGGCAAGTACATATGGATGGATACTCGTATGAATGTATCAGAGGAAACATGCCGCAAAGTCGCCCCAGCAGGCAACATTCATCTCAGGCCGCGTTTGTGCTGCTGAACATCGGTTTCAATGGCTCTTTGAGGGAAAAACTAGAGGAAAAACTAGTTTAAGCTGCCACTGCAAGTCCTCTCTTCTCCTCAAAAATGAGGATTTAGCTGTAAATGTTTCTCATTTTAGGAAAAAGTACTCGTCCAAGTCCCTGCCTCTGCTTCTTTGGCCTTATAACATTTTGAAAAGATACTTTTTAATCTAAACTATAATGAATTACTTTGGTGCAGGCCCTTGGAAGGAGGATTATTTTATGTATGAAATGTATGAAAATAAGGGAAAAATATTAATATAAAAAGTACAATGAAAGGGAAGAGATAGAGACTCATCTCTGAACTTCATAATCCATAACATCCATATAAAACCACAAAAGTATGTGTGTGCCACGGATGGATGGGAATCGCATAGAAGGTCGTTGTAAAAAACTCGAAAAAATACGAAATAATTACTTTGTGCTGTAGCTTTTCATGTTGATCCTCAAAAGTGAATACGGATTGACAATTTAAGCCGAAATAATTTCGGTTGCCAGGGAGCTCTCGGCGGAGAGTCGCCCGAAGAGAGCGAAAGTTGTGAAATTGGAAACGGCTGCAGCAGGAAAAACAACCAGATTAACTATAGCTCTGCTTTGAATAAGCCAAAGGAAAAGTGCAGAGGAAAGCGGGCAAAGGCGGGAGTATGGAAAAGTGTGAGTGGATGGGTGGGTGGGTGGTTGTGTGGTGGAGAGTGAGAGTGGGCGGGGCCGGGAGTGGCAGTGGGTAAGTCAAGAGCTTGCCGCTTCACTGCACCGCATGGCGGGATTAACTATGGCTGGAACTGGAGCCAAAGCTGCATACGGCAGTGGAGCACTCGAAAAGCGGAGTTCCTCTTCATATGCATCCGTAATTACAGAGCACACATACTCTCAGGCATGTGTAGTACGAGTATCTCTGAGTGGATGTATCGTAGTATCGGACCATTCTATTTTTGGGGCCAGAGCGCTTCTGCTTGTTATTCGACGAATTTTAGAGCGTCTCGCCGCTGACGGTCGCTGATGTTCAATGCGGCAAGAGCCAGACAAGGTTAATCGAAATCCAACGTTCTCCTCCGAATAATCAAACAAACAGCCAACAAACAACCTCTGGCTGATTACTGCAATCAATGAGGGGCAGAAGAAGAACAAAACTCAAGTGTTGTCTCTGGGGCACAAGGTCAGAGTTCGGCTTAGCATAAATTTACAGCTCGCAGCGTTATCTATTGTCAACACGAAAGACGCCATTCTACCCAGAGCAGTGCCCAGAAATACTATCCACAGACAGTGCCCCAATGTTCCACGGCTGTGGGCCATTTACATAATCTCTGACTGCTTCGACCGCCACTCGCCAGTGCCCGGCAGTTGCGATTTATTGGCCAGAAGAGTGGGTAACGCCTCCCGCCTCCCCATGCCTCCCCATGCCTCCCCCCGCCTCCTATGGCCTGCACTTAATTATGCTCGTTAAATTTTACAACTTATTCGAGCTGGACGGGGAGTACGGACCTACTCCGCTTCCGCTCACCTGCTCTCCTGCTGCCCTGCTGCCCAGCTGCCCAGCTCACTGGTTACCTAATTTATGCGCATTCATTTGATGGCTCACACTTGGCTAAATCACAATTTAATAGTACTCGCAGCACTCGGCTGCTGGGGAGATACTTTGTGGGGGGTGGAGAAATTATTTATCAATCAGCACGTGGCGTTTCGCAAGAGCTGTGGATGTTCTCCGCGAGTAGAAGAACCCTTAGATGCAACTATGCGAGAAGAAAGATCAACCAAAGCCTCCCTTCTGCCCCGATTTCAGTTCCAGTTCCAGTTGAAGGCTTTTTGCCAGGCCTCCAGAAGACCGCCAAAGGGCCTTAATTAGATAGCCGGCGTGGGTACAGGGCCTAATGCGTGTGCAATTAGCATTAACCCAGTGCGTTTTTACTGCCCTGAATTGCACTTATGAGGCGACATTAGTGCGACTCGGCGCGGCGGCCAGTGCAGGCATTAATTGCATTAATTGCCGCCAACCCACCGTAATCTGTGTTGCAAAATGTCTCTGGGAGAGCGACTGGCAACTAATTAGAGACTTTTGCGACAGGGCCCACCACAGATGGGGCAGTCTCAATGACAGGCGCCGACAATCGGAGTGGTTGTGGATTTGTGGCAGGTAGCGTGGGTGCAACGAGCCGTGAACTATCCAAAAGCTACTATCCCCTGGCCATGGAGGGCCGGGCACTTCACAACCTCTGGTTTAATGAAGAGTTGAGGGTAAAACGCGTTAAAATACTATAACTGGGGCCTGGACCCGCTCCAAAAGCGAGACGAACGCAGCTCTTGCACAAACATCTCGACTTGGGGCAACTGTGACCTTTTCGGCTAGTCAAAGCTGCTAAACCAACGCTAGGATATGGGATATATTGTACGATAAGTAAGCTCTTTGTTCAGTTTTTCTAAGAGCCTGGGGCTCCTCTCTTCTTGGAGTAGATCATTCAGATATCCCGAGACTGCTTTGTTTGGCAATCGATTGAGAGAAAACCTGAACAGAAAGCGTATTGTTTGAGCATTAGCTCTGCTTGTGGTTTTGTGTGGTTAATACCCTGCAAGATGGTAGGCCCTTCCCTTTCCGGAAGGGCTTGAAAAGACGAATTGATGTCCTTAAAAGTTTGAAAGATTCTATCTCCTGAGTGGTCTATAGGAATGACCGCAGCTATGTACTTTTCAGCAATACCCTAAAGGGTATTCAAAGCTTCGGCCAGGGCCGGCTAGCCTCTGGTTTTTTTAGCCAACTTGCGGCTTGAAGATGCAGCTTCAGCCAGCTGCAACCACATTTTGGCCGAGTCATTGTGTGTTAGGGCGGTATTTTCGGCCTTCTGCCTGCAGTTTTCCAGTTACGTGGCACACGGCAAATGCAGTTTGAAGTTGCCGCACGCCGGTCGGAGGCGTCGCCCGTCGCCCGTCGCTGATGATGGTGGTTTTTGCAGTCTAGTGCGGCGTAGGGCAGTGTAAATTAGCATCATTCAGTCGTTGGCAAAAGCTATTTCGCCATGCGACGGGAAAACAATGCAGATCCGCGATGTTTGTGGCTGTGGCTCGGCCGCCGCTGCCTCGTTTATGAAGATTTCTTTTCGGATCTGCTGGCCCCGCCTTGGGCAATCCAGTCCGCGTTTGTCGCTCGAGTCTTTTGTCCGGCCGTCGGCGGTGATGTATTCATGGCAAATCCGTCAAGGCAGACCTGGCACATGGCAACGCCAAGCGCCGCATTCAAATTCAGTCACCGGCTCCAGACCGAGATTCCGATTCCGACTCAAATTCCAATTCTGATCCGAATTCGTCTTCAGCATTTAGTGCCAGGCAATTGACTCATTAAAATATCAAAAGCCACCGCAGGCAGTCTGATTGAAGTGCTGAAACTATAAATAAAACCCTCACGTCTCACGTCTATACTCGTATTTTTATTCACATTTCCATAACTCGAGTGCTGCGGGCCACTCGAGCACTCAATTGTTTGGCCAGCAGGCCGCCATCGATTTCCAGTCAACAGCACAGCGTCTCTTCTCATCCGTATCAAAGTAAATTCTCTTACTAAAAAGTTTGTACAAATGAATGCAGAATTTGCATCGCAAAGACTATGATATGATATGATATGGAAAGCGAATCTGTGGCCCCCACAACAACTGCGTTTGGATTGCTTCACGTGAGAGGGATGGATGATTGTTTGTGTCATCATCACTTGCCCCCAGCCGACTTGACGGACTGCTCCAATTTGATATTGTCTGTCTGTGCGACTGCAATCAGCAGACCTTTCATGCCGCCTGCAACGGAAACCATCTGAGCGTTTGATGTTGCCAGCCGTCATTAATGGTTTTACACTGCAATTCAGCTCTGCCCTGCTGCTCCGCTTCTCCGCCTCCCTCTGAGAGGGGACAGAAGACTCCGAGTTGTCACTGTGGCCAACAGAACTAGAAAAACTCAACGCTCGATTGTCGGCATGACCGTGGCACACATGTGCACGGCACGGCCTGGCATGTCATCAGCACCATCGCCAGCACCAGCATATGGTAACACGATCAGCGACTAATCCGACATTACAACGAGCATTATGAGTGTGATTAAGGCTGCAGCTGCCACAGAAATCCATCAAATGAGGCGACCGCTCACCGCAGAGCTGGCAAGAAAACTCGCAACAAATGTTGTGCAAGAAAGTGGCAGTACAGAGGGCGGACTGACCTCAGGAAGGGGCATCTACACTAGGAAGGGTAAACATCTCAGAGTCCTGGGAGCTTATGTAAGTGCAGGCAGATTCCAGGGATTATTTCGGAGGTTAATGGAGTATAACTCGTACTTCTACTGGAACAGGAATTACATTACTCGTGGGAGTCTGAACCAGGCATTATTTTCCCCATCAACTGCCATCTCTGTGATTGCCCCACCAGCAACTGCAATCCCACTCGAATCTGCAGCCTGCACTTTGGCGCTATTTTGCGATAACGCGGAACATTATGCACGACGATGAGCTAACAGTAGAGTAGGGTCCCAGCCCCCAGCCCCCAGCCCCCATCCCCATCCACACCCCACTCCAAGTGGATGATGATGAAGCTGTCGGCACTGTAGCTGGTGTCCGTCCAGCACTTATCCATCGATCATGGACATAACGACCCACCGACCATGCAGCCTTTGAGAGAGAGTGCGAAGTCGGCTGGGGATGGGACCACAATTTGTTGGCATTTGGAAATGTTGCCTCATAAATTATTATTAGAGAAGACCGAGGCACTCCCCCGGGACTCTGGCACTCTCTCTCAGGCACCCGCTGGAAAATTATGCAATTGCGAAAACCCTTTTCGGCTAATTAATGCATAGTCATGAGCCGGGCAAAAACACTTTTGCATCCACCCAAAAGGCAACAAAATCAAATGGATTCTGTGCCAACAGGAAACCAGTTTCAGTCGCAGTCACAGCCCCAGTTCCAGGTCAACCTCCAGTTCCAGCTCCAGTTCCAGCGATGGTGGGGCCGAGCGGATGCATTCGTGTCGCTAATAGTAAAAAGCCGTAAACATAAAATTGTGCAAGCTGCTGGACGGAACGTACACAAATGATAATTGAATTCGCATTTCTGTTGCAGGCAACCACGGAGCCAGGGCTGCCACAGCCACAGCCACAGCCACAGCCACAGCCATGCCCATCTGCAAGAGCTCGGGGGCGACGGCGAGCAACAAGGCCCCCACAGACATATCCGCCGACCATGTGACGGAGGCGGCCCAGGTGAAGCGCACCCGGGAGCAGGCCTACTTCAACTCCTACGACTTTGATGCAATCGAGGTGCTGCCCTACGACGAGGACGATGGCGAGGTGGCTGGCAGATGCCGAAGCCGGAGCAGAAGCAGCAGCAGCAGCGGTCGCTACTCGGTGCCACACGATCCGGTTGGAGCCCCCAAGTTCGCCTACTTGCACCGCCTGGGGGCATTCTTTGGACGCCCCGGCGGGGCGGCGGCAGTCGGGGGAGCCACAGGAGCAGTTGCCGAGGGAACGCCTTCAGCTGCTGGCGGAATGGCCGCAGGATTGGTGGCGTCGTCTAGCAACGATAACTTTCTCCTCCCCCGAGCCATGCTCAAGTATCAGAGGTGAGTAGAGCCAAGAATAAAGCAAAGCAATTCTAGGAGTAATAGGATTATTCAAACGCTAAAATAACAGAGATACCCTTCAAGAATCTCTACCAAAGCAAGGGATTAGTTCTTTGTTCCCCTCGAGAGCAGCCGAACCCATAATTTCTCTCTGTGCATGCTCTGAGAGGCAGGCAATAAGCCCCGAATATGCTGCATAATGCATAATGTTGAAGGCTGCTTTCAACATTCCGATAACGACCTTGTGAGGAGGAACGAGAAGACCCCAAGACCCGTCAAGAGCATATCCCAAATCGTATTTGTTGGGCATGAAGTGCAACACTTCATGGCTCAATGAAGGTGCAACAGCAAGCAGCCACAGATATTTTGTAATGATGTTGTTCCACGGCAATTAGCAGGGCATTAAAGCGGCGATTACAATCACCGGCAGAGTGTGGCCCTAAATGGGGATTATGATTGCCAGAGATGGTTCTCGGTCACGACTCGAACAAATGAGGCAACCTGCAGATGACGCAGGGGCAGCAACAGCAGCAGCAGCAGAAACAGCAGCAGCAGCTATGTAAATTATGTCTGAAGTTCAAGTGGTTGCTGCTGCAGCAGCAGCAATGCGGTTTTTGGCGCCTGTTGTCAGCCTTCACCTCTTTTTCCTCTCCGAATGCATGTGGATTTTGTTGTTTCGGAGGAGCTGCCACTTGATGGCGGTCAGCAGCAGCAGCAGCAGCAGCAGCAGCAGTATTGCCACTGCCGAGGCAACAACTGCAGACAGCTGCAACAATTACGTTTATTAATTGAAACTAAAGAAGCCACCGGCTCAAGATCTTCGATTCGCTGAAGGTCAGCGCTTGAAGCCAGTTTGGGCTTCAAATATCTCTCAAAAATATACAATAAATACTTCAGGTTATACGTATAGTGTGTACAATATATAGAAACAGATGCCTAGAGTCGTGCCGCGTACTGACAGCCATTTCCATTAATTGGCAGATAGTTGGATTTGCAACTTGTTTTTTTATTTTTATTTAGTGTTTGGTCTGTCTCAGAATATGGTAATCATGATAAGGTACGCGTAGTAGCCGAATCAAGGAGAGAGCTGAACAAATGCCAAGAGTTTTCCCACCCAAGGTCAATGCAATTATATGCCGGCCGATACGTGGTGGGGTTTAACCCAAATTAGTCACTCCCCGAGCCCTTTCCCAATCCCCAGCTCGAGTCGAAAGACCATTGGCAGGCGGGCCGCGTCGGTGCTATAACTATTTTGATCAACAACTCACGTAGTAGATACAGTATGGTATGTATGTGCCACAGGCCTAGGGAGAGGCGAGGCACGAGTTTCGCACAGTAGCTCTTCGAATCCGACCTTCTCCAAATGCCGATTCCATTGTCCGATCGGCCATCATCGGTGCAGTTAGATCATAGTTAGCCATCAATTGTGGCGACGCTGAACGTCGATGATCGTCGCTGATCGTCGCTAATTTGTATTCAATATTTGAGCCATTGCCCGTCTAGGCCATAGTTATATCTGTAGTTTATGGCCCCAGCTATGCCAAGGTCAGCGTTTAGTCAATCCGTCCAATCCGACCGTCCACTCGCACGGCAAACATCCATCTCATCCCAATCAGCGATTCAATCGCTTTGATTGATGTGCAATTGATAGCCAGATATACGTACATACGATATACATATAAGAAGTTGCTGGATGGATGGTCGTTATTCGGGCACTGCAGCAAAACCAAGTCAGACCCCAAACTTGAGGCAAGTGTAATTTGTCTTGGCAACAAGTCAACAACAATTAGCGGCCACACAAAATTATTTACTAACGGCTGCGCCGTCCGTCTGTCCGTCTGTCCGTCCGTCCATCCGTCCGTCCGTCTGTCTGTCCGGCAGTGGGTTCCGTGCATGCAAACGAGGCTGAACATTTTAATTAACACAATTCGAACAAACAAAATAAACATATACTCGCACTATACAAAGATTGCAAAATATTTCATGCTCTTGCCGGGCCGATACGATGGAACCGAATCTGAGGCTAACCTTGCGCCTGCCTGCCGCCTGCCGCCTGCCGCCTGCCGCCTTCTGCTGCTGCTGCCAGCAAATTTGCAACGCATCGGTTAACATGCAACCAAATATCAGTCGAATGTGCAGAGAAACCCAAAAAAGAGCGACTGACCGACGAAAGCTATCAGTGTTTTGGGTGCGTAACGCACCGCGACCGAGCCATTCAAGAACAAACACCAATAGCCAGCAGCAGCGGCACGGCAACACGGCCAAAACCGTTATTGCGCAACTCTTTAGCATGGCCAAAAGCCAGGCGCTGACCTAGTGCCGATCGCACAGAGCACAGGGTGCATATATGTATGTATGTATGTAGAACCGATACTGGGGGCTTGTTAGCGATCGTAAGTGAGTTATTAAAGCATTGCCACTGGCGCCAGGCCACCGTAAGTACCGACTTATCAGTATACTGCCAAGATGAGGGTAATCTATCACCATTTGAACATCTTTCAAGACTAGAATCAATCTATCCAACATAAATCTAAAAAGAAAACACCAAAGAGTGACTGTAGATGATGTGAACGAAGCTTTTCATGTAGATTCTTCCAAGATATTGTTGAACAATCAGCAGAGCATTTCAGATCTCTTAAATAACCTGTGAACACATGCAGACCCAAGCAAATAATTTCTGTGGTCCCCAATCCCCAAGTCACGCTTCCTCCCCGCCATTCAATTCGAGTTTCCGCTGCATTTTCCTCTGATTTTCCATTACTCCTGTCGCGGTTCCACAACCACATCATCAGCCGCATTTCATGGTGCAACGAAAAGTTTGCTCAAACCCCAGACACACACACACACAAGCTCTTGAACAATCCGAGAAGTAGTTCGAAGCAGTAACTTTACAGTTAGGCAGAAAAAAGAGCGAACGCGAATGCGAATGCGAAGGCGAATGCGATTTGCAACAGTAACTGAAGCCGAAATCCTGTTTAGAACGAGTTTATTTCAATTGAAATCGAATTTGTATGTTGAATTTCTAAATTTGATATTTGTTTTTCGGCTGTGTGTCGCTTCTGTAGCTGTCAGAGCGGCCAGAACTAGAACCGGAACCGACGAACTCTAGGGATTCCTTGATGCTTTCTAGAAAATTTCAAGAACAATTTAACAAATAAATCCATGCTCTCAGCTATTAAAGCCATATAAATCTGACTGCATCGAGGCGGAGTTACCATTGGAACTCGAGTTTATAGGACATCCACCCTGAATATTCAAATATAATGCATCTATGATCATCTCTTGAGATCTGCCCAGTATTTGTGGGGGTACCAGCTAGTCGGAGCTCTTTCCTGATTTTCTTACAGATTTTTTTATGGTGGCTTTTTCGATCTGCCACTCGTCATTTGCATGCCCCCAAAAAACCAATGCGAGAGCTGAACAACTGCCAGAAAATGGAAAACTTCGGCAGAGCCACTAACCTAGTTAACCAGTTTTCGCTTTCTGTTTGCCAGCTTTGACGAAACGTAAACAAAACTGCAATTGCGAAAAACCAACAGCGAGCGAAACCACTTTCCAACGCGGGTTTTCCCTTTCATTGAAGCATTTTTCACTGATTTTCTTTTCCTGTCTCTCTGTTTCTGCAGTGCGGCGACAACTTCAATGCCATTGGCGACGCTCTCGAAGAATGGGACTGCGATTGGGAGTGGTAGTGGGAATGGTACTGGCAGCGGAATAGCACATAAAATGGGGCATGGAATCGGCCACGACAAGGCGCACGAGATGCCAGGGTCCACGACGGGAGTGGAGCGCAGCAAGAAGTGCTCGATTGCCTCCAATGTCAGCAGCACGCATTCCACGGACTCTGGACTCCCAGCCTCTGCAGCAGCCGCAGCGGCAGCAACAACATCAGCGACATCTGCAACATCCACAGCAGCAGCAGCAGCAGCAGCCGCAGCTGTTGGGAGTGGAGTCAGAGGAGGAGGTGGCTCGCATTATTCGACGGACAAAAGCGGCTCATCCGGTTATTACAGCTCCAATGTATGTTCCACTTATTCGCTGGACGAGCACATCTATTGCGAACCGGTCATAGACATCCTAGACGCCGCCGGAGAGGAGCAGGAGAAGATGAAGAGTGTGGCCGCCAGGCAGCGGCTGCGGCCGCAACTCCAGCTGCCGAGGAAAGTGGCCGCCAAAGATACAGCAGCCCCATTGCCATTGCCAGTGCCACCAGTGGCTGCTGCTGCTGCTGCTGGCACTGCAGCATCGGAAAAGTTGTCCACAGTGAAGAGCCAGCGCTTGGACATGCAAGATGCAGCCACCGGAGCTGCCATCGAAGAGTTCCATTCAGCAGGAGTCAACGACCTCGAGCAGACGGAAGAGGAGGAGGCGCACAAGCTGGAGCAGATGCTGCCGCTCTACAGCGACAAATTGCGCATCCTGGAGACGAGCATTGAGAACCTGGACCGCCACCTGAAGACCTTTCCCCGCCTGTTTGCCCAGGAGCAGATTGTGTCCTTCATGCAGTCGCCCGATGCCCCACCCCTGGCTCTGCCCCCACTCCCACACCCACTGGACATTAGCGAAAAGCTGAGGGTCTACAACCAGCTGCCGACCATCATGGAGCAGCAGCAGCAGCAACTGGTGGACGATTCTCTGCTGGACATCGATCTGGACGCCTTTCTGCTCGATCCGAAGCCCCCATCGCAATCCCAATCCCAGACCAATCTCAGCCGCAAGCCCAAGGCCAAGTCGGGGCGGGGAATCGACAATCCGAGCTTCCTCAGCGACGAGCAGCTGGAGGAGAACAACTACAAGTGTGCCAAATACATCAACTCCTGCCCGGAGGACGCCTACCGCGTGGAGAGCGAGGCAGCGGCCGGCCACGCCCCCGTCATCGAGGAGAGGTTTGTGAAGCGCTACGAGGACCAGCTGCACTTCCAGAGCACTCGCGAGCTCCTCGAAGACGTGCGCGACAAGATACGCCTCCTGTCGCGTGCCACGCCCTCGCCCTCGGCCACGCCCGCACCCACACGCACACCCCCGCCGGACATACCCAAGGAGCTGGAGGGCATGATCCACACGCTGAAGCAGGAGCTGGAGTCCTACCTGCAGCGCATGAACCAACACAGCGAGCAGGATCTGCGCCAGCTGTGCAGCGGCCTGGGCCGGCAGCAGCACGTGGTCCGCCTGCAGAACGCCCTGGAGCGGAGGCGAAGCTGCGCGGACCTGCTGCACCTGAACGCGTACGAGGCAGTGCACGATGGGGTCCTGATCTCGGCCAGCGGCCGGCCGCTCAGCGTCCGCGAGCAGACCATGACCATCCGCTGTGCCAGCGATCCGAACTTCAAAATGAAGCGAAAGTCCATCACCGAGATCTTCCCCACAGCCGAGTGCTACATCGAGACCACGTCCCTCTCTCGCAGTGCCACGCCCACGCCCACGCCCGCCTCGACGCCTCAGCTGGAGCTGGAGGCCCTTCATCCCCCGTCGCTGCCAGGCACCATGGTGGTGACCCAGATGCAGCGTAACCTCACCTTCCACAGGCCCATCCTCTCCGGCGCTGGCTCCAGCGGAGGTGCCAGCCAGGAGGACGCTCTGGGCGGGGGCTCCGGCGCCGGCAAGGGCGAGCGGGACAGCTTCGCCGAGTGGCACCGAAAGAAGCCGAGCATCTGGGAGATGTACTATGGCACCAACCGCCTGCACCAGTCGCTCCTCGGCAAGCAGCGGGGCGGAGGCGAACTAGTCATCAGCAGCCCCCAGCCCACGATGTCCTACGTGAGTATTGGGGAACATTTTGTAAATTCAACGGGTTTTCCTGGTAGCTGGAAAGCATCTCTTTGCATCTACGAGTCCCCTAACATAGTTCTCAAAAAACTTAAGCACTTTAGAGGACATCCCAACCAACAATCAAAGTTCCACGAATACTATTTCATTGCGAAATATTAGAAAATTAAAGTAATGAAGGCCGCTGCAATTGAATAAAGATAAAGTGGCCCCAATCAATATTTATTTGAGCATCAGAGCAGGGAGATTCGTGCGATCTCATTACAATTCCACGAAAAATTCACTCCACTCTGAGTCGTGTGAAGTAATTGATGAGAATTTAATTTGATTTTTATTTCAATTGAATTTGATGCCAACTTCCGTTCACTGAATTATTCATAGCGAGACAGAAAATCTACAGCGAAGGGAATTGAGTGAGGTTTGATTTTCTTGAACGATATCCTTCGTTATTTTGCGAATGCTTAGGTGTTTCTCTCCGAGCCTTTCTCGCTGAATGAGTGGTATTGCCTTTCATCATCATACAGACTCGTACGTATAAATATAATGATATAGAGTCGGCTTGGGTCAAGTGCGTTTCGAAATAATAGCCAAATGTAGATCAGCCGACCGGCGCCCCCCGCTGGCTTGCAGAGATAATTATGAGCTGGTCGGCGAACAAGGCGTATGATTAATGCCTTAGTCGGGCTAATTGCAGCCAAGCGGAGCTGCAACCCGAGGTCGGCCAGCCCCACGAAAATTGGATAAACTATCACAATAATTCACAGCCGATCGAACAGCGATTTGCATGAGCCAAGATGCGCTGCTCATTAGGCCCCCAATTCCGATACTGACTCAAATTCTGATTCCGAGCCAAGTGCAATTCAGCTGGGAGCCCCGGCAGCCGTTCGTGCAAACAGTTGTTCAACCTCATCCTTGGCCGCGATCCGAGCCATTTTGGTAGTGCTTCGTGAGCGTCTCCAGCTCTCGAACACCCCCGCACTGGTGGCGGCAAGAACAACATCGGCCCCCGGCGGATGTCGTAGCATTGACGCCACTCGCATACTCATCACCGGCACTCGCCGGGGGCTTTATTATGCGGCAGGCGACATGCGCGATAAGATCACCATAGTCGGAGCCCCTTCCATATGGCAATATGATTAATTGTGTGGCGTGCCACGGAGGCTACTGTTCCACACAGCGAGTGGTGGGGAGGGGGTTCTGGCCGTTTCGAAAGCCCCATAATTACATCTAATGTTGGATGCACCACTCGACGCGAAGCTGTTGCCTTGCTTCTGATTCTATGGCTCTTCAGTTAATGCCAGATTGAGTCATAAATCTCGATGATGCTCAGTCAAAACTGAATGAAAACTGAAAGCAAAGATAACTTTGTTTAATGGCAGGTCTGGTACACTGTAAATAAAAGCTTAGAGTTCTATGCTGTATATCATAGCTATCCCATGATAGGGACCTATCACTCAGGAACATTAGTTTGATCAGGTAGGCTTAGGGCGAATCGCGTTAATATCATTCAAGTCAAGCGACAGACCGCTACCAAGTTTGGTTTCCGTTCTACGGCCAAGTCAGTGATGCAATATCCGTAGCCGTGAATCGAATGTATCTCGGGCCAGCTTTGGGGCGCCATTCAAACGCACTCGAAACGCGAGACGCGAATCCAAATGAGTTTTCACTTTCAATAGCGCGCCGCTCGGGGCAGGGCTGCCGGCGAATCGCCATTCAATTAGGGTTTATTCACCTTAACAGCATTTTGCATTCACCGAGCGATCGGATCTATAATCTCTAGTGTGAGTGCTGGCCGGCTAGGCAGGCAGCGCACGACCGATTTGAACTTGGGGCCATTTTACTCGCGGTATTGGGCCATAGTGCGGATCAAACAGTTAAGCGACTCGACCACTGTACCAGTTAACCTTTAAATTCCGTTAAGCGGCCGCATCTTGCCCACTGACTGGTCACTTAATTGGCCATCGATTGTGTCCGCGATAACCAGAAAAAGGCATGCAACAAGTGGCAAGAGGCAGCAACAGCAACAGCGAGAGCGACAGCGACAGCGACAGAGGCTGCGGCATCGCAGCATCATAGCCAGGCCCAAACTCGAAACCGGTGCCAGTCGCACAGTTGCCCTACAACTCCGGTGACCTTTAAGGACGTTTGCTCGACTTAATGCAGCAGGAAAGGAAGATGCCGAAACGAGCTTCTCGCAAAACAGAAGCTGCCCCTCCGCCTGCGGACCCCCAAGCGCTCCCGCACCCTCCCTCCCTGGGGTGGCAGCTCGAAACTCGTCCCACGGCAAATGGCCGGCAGCGAAAACGAAAACAAGTTTACAGCCATGAATGCCAAAATGAAAATGAAAATGAAAACGAAAATGAAACTGCAAAACGAAAACAGAAAACAGAAAACCGAAATCGAAGCGGAGCGAAATGTAAGGCAACTGCGTCCCAAACTGGACGCTGCACGCGTTTGTGCGAGCATAGAAGTGCCTGCCACAAAGTGTTGCAATCGCCACCGGCGTCGCATTTGCTGCTGCTGCTGCACAGCCCCTGGCCGGTGGGCAGCAGCCTGTCCCGAACTGGGTTATGGCAATTTCCATTTGTTGCCAGCACCCGAACGCAGCCTGGCGCTGGTCTCAAGAGCAGGCCAAAACGTTTGGTCATGGATTTTGTCAACCTTCTTTGGACGGGTGCGGCGCCTTGCTCCGATTGCCATTTGCATTTGTCCGATGGCAGCCTTTTGGCCAGAAATTCGAGCTGGCTTTTTCATTGGCAGCCACGGGGGCCGAGGCTTATATAAACATAAGTGGGCTATCATGGCCCCGGCAGGGCATTACTTCCACGGAAGCTGTAGCTGTAGCTGGAGCTATAGCTGTGGCCGCGGCAGCGCCAATTATGTGATCAAATTTCCACCCATTACTCATACGCCGTGTTCAACCATTGAGAAAAGGCAGACATTAGTCGAGGCGACTGCCACAAATGTCTGAGATAATTATGCTGCCACTGGAATTTTGCAATTCTGCCACGCCCCAGCAATAGTTGCAGCAGCAGCAGCCGCCCCTGTGAGGTGAGTCAACTGGTGGACAGATATCCACCTGACGCCTCAGCTGCAACGCTTTTCCAATGCACTGCAAAGCAGAATGGCAGAAGAAAATTCATTTGCAATTGCATAAATGTTCCGCTCATGCTCTGCATAAAAACTAATTGAATTAAATCCCTGCTCGTGGACGTATTGCCACACTTCAGCCGAGTTAGCGAAGATCTGCTAAGTGGGGGAAACAAAACAAAACCCGTACAGATATCCCGCCTATGAAGACATTCACCTGGGGATGGATGGATCTCCGATTCGATCAGATCAGTTCAGTTCGGTTCGCTGCTGGCTGCAGAAAGCGTGGATCTGTGAAAAGTTGGCTGAAAAATGGTGAGCAGGCGCTGGAAAAATAAACGATCTTCACGTATATATTCTATACACTTGCAAGTTCCATTCAAATATCAAAACAATACTTTAAAATAACCTTTTAATAAGGAATTGATATACAATTAAAATTAATAGTATCCAAACGAAAAGATAAGTACTCTAAGGTACTAAAGATAATTACTCTTGGAGCTAGTGAGCTATGCTTCCTGTTCAAAACCTTTGTGGATCGTGAAAAGAAAAGGGAGAGATAATACCCAGAAAAATTAGCGCTCAACCCCACAACATATTCTTCAGAGATCTGTTGAGTATTTCGAGTGCAAAATTGCATAGGTACTCGTGGAGAATGCTGGAAAAAGTGTCAGAAATACCTCTTCATGTGATGCCTTTCAGAGGAGATAACACCAGATATTGTAGCTAATTATGGCATCGGATCAGAGATCTCCATGGCCGAGACGTGAGCAGAAATATGGATTCCCCCACAATCACCCTCGTTGAAAGACAGAGTGCAGGGGCGATCTGTTTGCGGACGTGTTAAAATGTAGTTTTCTCTCGGAGTAATTTGTCAAACCTGATGTACTCCATCTCTATCGCGTCGTGTTGGTAGTACAGCATAAAACTTGGCCAACTTCCAGCCAGAGACAGAGCCACAGCAACAGCCACAGCAAATGGCCGAAATGAGGGGATCGAGGGAAAAGGGGCGTTTTCAATGTCAGTGAAAAACGTGTGCGGCACATTAAACGATGCATTTTCTTCTCGGACTTAGCGCACACCCAAAAACATGGCCCCAAATATGGGGCGGCCGCGTATTTCAAGGCCGGCCAAAGCGGGAATTTACACCCTGTAGCCACCATCGCAAGATTTCTCATCGTTTTGCATATGTTAAGCGAATGTTGAGTTCGTCGTTTTTTATTTATTTTATTATTTAATTTATTATTTATTGCGTGTGCATGTGCGTGTGTGTGCGTCTGGCATCATTTGCAAATTAGCTTCGTCTGTGTTTTGGGCTGGGGCGGGCGTGAAAATCAATCAATTTATTCAATATTCATTCGTTCATTCATCCACATCGGGGCCCCCACTCTTCTCCTTCCCCATAACTTTTTCTTCTTCGTAACAATTGCACTTCATAAAGCCGTTACACACGAATACACACGCAGAGAGAGAGAGAAGGAGAGAGATGCAAATGGTGGAATGCGGTAACATCCATGCCGCGTCATCAGCGCCTATGTTGGTACCCTTTCAGACGATGCCAGCAAGGGTATTAAATGCCTCGGTCTTCGCAGCTGGTCTCCCCCTCTTGTTTATTTACCGATTACGTCTGTGCCTTTTCAAAGTACTTCGCCCGATAAACAGCACAGCAGAGGTAATAATACGTATGTATGCATGTGTATGCGTGCGTTTGTGTGTATTAGCAACAACACGACTTTGGACAGCATCACTAACCTCAGACAAGCATCAAAAGGGAGAGCAAAGAAGCCGGAAGGCAGCTAAATTTACCGCAAAGTGGTTTCATTTCAATTTCTCCTTTCCTACCGCCCGCCGTTCGTGAAAGAAAAAGAAATGATCACCCGAAACCGAAAACAATGCAGCCGTGTAGTGAAGCACAAAAAACCAGTCACAATCACAATAAAATGCAAAGAAATACGAAAAAAAAACACACAGTTTGCACAGATTTGGCAGGCCAACTACGGCTCAATTACACACACACACACCCGCACAGAGGCGCAAAAGACCTGAGTGTGAATGGTGTAAGTGTCGAAAGCACTTTAAAGTTTAAATACACACGAAATTACACTTGAATGCCCTTTTAATGACCGCATTGCGTATGCGCAGCTTTCACTCAGACGCGGAATATCTTCGGAATTCGATATGCGTCTGAAAACCAAAGTACATACATATGTAGATACATATGTACGTAAATTAGTCTTGATTACAGGATGTTGCCGTCCCTGGCCCCCTAATACTTCTGATGTAACTTTTACAGTGTTTCCACTCAGGAAGTTTCTTAATATGTGTCCCTGCCCCACCCTCAAGTGACGGCATTTTCGATATATCCATCTTATAGTGGAAGAGTTTTGCAGTTATGACCAGTTGATCCATGTGCCATTGCGAAGGATACCGGATTCTCAATCCCCCCTCCGTCAATGATGATTGCACCTGACTAAGTGAAATTTCCAACAGTGTTTCGTAACTTTTAACGTGTTTAGCGAGAATCAGCAAAAAGAAACAAAAACGACGACAGCAACAAAAACTGTTAACGCTGGGCTGTGTTTCATATGTGCTTTGCTCTTTTTTTCGCTGTTACTGAAAAGATTTCAAGGTTGTGTCGCTAAAAGAGAGATGCAAGACGGCGGCAATACAAAGAGGGAGCGAGAAAATGGAGATGCGAAGACAACAAAAAGCTCAGTGGGTCAGATTTTTGTGCGTTGAAGCCCTTTTTATTATTTATTGTAGTATGTCTGGGTGGTGCCACGCCACGCCTTGTTGGACTGCAAATATTTGCGATCGCGGAGATGCTTGTGCCATGAGTTATGGCTAAGCGTTTTGCGGCCGCACTTAGCCAATGACCTGAAAAATCACACAAATAAATCAGATGAGCCCCAATCTCCATTTACATATGCACACCACATAGGAACAAATGCAGTCAACGAATATGATCATGATCAATGTCAAAACAATCATTCAGGGTCCGGCGATGGTGATGGCCGACGATTTACATAAATAGAAACCGAAACCCGAAACGTTCATAACGTCAAAAATTAATGAACTTAATTGCGGGCCACACTAACTTTTTATATAATTTAATGAGAAAAAAGAAGGGGAGGATGTGAGGAATGCGAAAAAAAACAACGGGAAACACACATGTCCATACATCATACATGCATACATATATGCCTGCCGAATCCTAATCAAATTTATATTTTTTGTACTTACAGCCATCCTCACGACCCGAATCCGACTTTACGCTCGATCTGCCGCGCGCTGAGCAACTGCGATTGAAAATGGAAAAGGAGAAGAAATTCCGCCAAAGATGTCGCTTCATCACCACATTTCTAAGTCTGGTCTTCTTTCTGCTGACCGTCATGGTCGTCAGCTTGGTGTTGACCCGCGGCAAACGCATGTTCGGCAGCATGATCTGATGATATATTGTAAACGAACTAATTACAGTGCCAACAAAAACAAAAACAAATGTAACAAATGTTAGCGAAACTCAAATTTAATGTTAGTCCTAATGTTAGCTTCCTTCCTGGTCTGGCAGGACAGCCGCAGTATTGTTAATAAATTATTTATGTGATCTTAGTTGTTTAAGCCGCGAATGCATTTCTTTCTGTAAGCAAACAGAGCTGTCAACTGCATGTATGTATGTACTATCCCAACCTAGCGTTTGTCAAATTTACCATTAAGCTTATATAATTCGTAGAAGTTTTAAGTATAATTGTGCGTCTATGAGTCTTATGAGAGTGTCGAGAATAAACAGAATACCACAACCGATCTTTGTGCAGTACGTTTAATATAACATTTATTGGAGAAAGCATCCGTAGAACGAGATTGCCATGCTTTCAGCGCTTCAGCGTCTGTCTTCTACAATATATTCTTACAGACATATTCATATATCGTTAAAGTTATCACAAATGGTTTTGTTTTCTTTTGATTCGTTAAACTGGAACCAACTGTGGGAGAAAGTTACACAGAACTGAGTTGTTACCAAGTAGGGAATCAGGCAATTTGCATAGTTAGCTAACGACTAAGACGTAATTCTACAATGAGACCAGCTAAGAAGGCAAGTTTGCTGAGAAGTGTTGAGAATGGTGGGGCGACCAAATATCTGTTTGCGTGTTCTTGTGTTAGCTGTTTCATAATATGCGTATATTCTGGCGATTGACCTCGAACACGGTGTGGTCCTCCTCGTCGCTGTTGACATCCTCGATGGCCATGGGCAGTGGTGTTAGCTCTTGATTGGCCCTGTCGCCTTGTACCCCATATTTGCGCTCTGCTCGTGTTAATCGCATTCTATATAGGGAAATTTTCAGTTCAGTTTAATAAAATCATGTGCGCTGATAAGCCATCTTCTCTGACGGCCCCACTACTCACCGATAGACACGCAACACAAGTAGAAAAATGGCGGAACTTGTTATTGCGACCAGAACGTAGACGACGGCTTGTCCCGGAAAATCCATTTCATTGCCCATGCTAGAGTGCTCGATGCGAACATCCTCCACAGGCAAACTGGAGGATGGCGATAACTTGGGCTCGGCCCGAGATTTTTGGTCAGCTGGCCGCTCTGGCTCCTTGGGTTGTTCCTTCAAAGTTAGCACAGGCTTCTCAGCAATGATGACATCAGCATCCTTTTGTTTGGGCACGGGCACTGCATCATCTGACTTTACCGCTTTCGGAATTGCAGCCGGTGCACTTAGTTCCGATATCGGAACGGGCTTTGTGCCATTCGTGGATGCTGCCGACACTGCTGCGTCACTCTGCTGTTGCACCAACATCAGCACAAACAACCAGATGGCTGTGGCCGCGATGGAAGATCCCCGAAAGTGCATTTGTTCTTATCTTATTGTTATTCTATCGAAATTGGATTCAAGCAACTATGTCGTTTTAAAATTTCTGATGTTTTGATTTTGCTGTAACTTGTCAGTGCTGCCAAACCGACTGGAATCGCAAAGGTAAGGGGTTCATAAACCAAGTTCATGAACTACTGTTGTGGAATAATTAATATATTTTCGCTAAATGACAAAATATTAATGGAACGTTTTTTATAAATATACTATGTAAAAATTATGTATGTCATTACCTCTATAAAACGTATTTTACTATATCTTTCCGTTCTCAAAGGAAGCGATCCATAAGAACTGGATATACCAGGGATGGAATGCATATGTTATTTTTCAAAAAATGTCGTGAAAATGACAGAAAAATGAAGAAGAAGAACAGACCCTGGACGTGTCGGTGGCGGAGACCAAGACCAAGTGCATCTTCCGGGCCTTTCTCAATGGCTCCTATGTGCAGCAGATCGTGGACTCGGGTCTGATTGGGCCGGACGGCATCCGATGGTCCGATGCGGAGGTTCGTCTCATCGGCGCGTGCTCTTGTGGAAGGAGGTGGAGGAGCCCCGGTCCCTGGTCCTCGAGCCGCGCCGCGGCTACATGTACTGGACAGAGTCGCCTTCGGACTCCATACGGCGTGCCACGATGGACGGATCCGAGCTGCAAACCATCGTGGCGGGAGCCAACTATGCGGCCGGGCTCACATTCGACCAGGAGACGAGTCGCCTCTACTGGGCCACCCAGTCGCGGCCAGCGAAGATAGAGAGCGCCGACTGCGATGGCAAGAAGCGCCAGATACTGGTGGGCAGCGACACCGACGAGCCGTACGCGGTTTCCCTGTATCAGGACTACGTGTACTGGAGCGACTGGAACACCGGCGACATTGAGCGGGTGCACAAGACGACGGGCGAGAACCGCAGCCTCGTCCACTCGGGCATGACTTACATCACTTCGCTGCTTGTGTGCAACGACAAGCGACAGGTGGGGCTAATACGTGCAAGGTCAACAACGGGGGCTGCTCCCACCTGTGCCTGGCCCAGCCCGACAGACGGGGCATAACCTGTGCCTGCCCCACCCACTACCAGCTGGCCAAGAACGGGGTCTCCTGCATGAACTACATCATCTTCAGCCAGAGGAACAGCTTCGGCCAACTGCTGCCGAACACGACAGACTGCCCGAATGTGCCGCTGCCGGTGTCCGGCAAGAATATCCGAGCCGTGGACTATGATCCGATCTCGCATTACATTTACTGGGTAAGGAGGATCAGCAGAGGAGATTAGCAGCCCGGTATCCCCCAATATCCCTAATGCTTCTTTTACTTCCTCCAGATCGAAGACAGGAGTCACAGCATCAAGCGCTCTCTGGCAAATGGCACAAAGGTGAGCCTGTTGGCCAACTCCGGCCAGCCGTTCGACATTGCCATCGACATCATTGGGCGGCTGCTCTTCTGGACCTGCTCCTACTCCAACAGCATTAACGTGACCATCCGCACAATTGTGTTCCTAAAGCGTTGCCGTTTTTAGCTGCCTGGGTGAATCCGTAGGCGTCAACGATACTGGGGACTCGGAAAAGCCTAGCAAGACAAGACCGGAGTGGAACGGATCACTGTCAACGGAGAGCGTTGTTCCGTGGAGCTGCATCGTCTGTCGCAGTTCAAAGGACTGCCTGGACAAGTCGGATGAAGTGGGATGTCCCACATGCCGGGTGGATCAGTTCAGCTGCCAGTCCGGCGAGTGCTTCGATAAACTACTCAAACCGTTATGAACGTGTCCAGAACAATTGGTTGCGGTCATATTTTGATAATGATTTTACAGTTCGCGAGTTTGTTGCGGCATAACTTCGCTAGCTGTATTTATATTACTCGCAATAAATATTTACTCCGAAGAGCGAGTTTTTTGTTTTCACCATTGTCGATATATGTATAACGAGAGGGCTCGACGGCCTTATCACTCGCAATCAGCTTGACAAATATTGTGAGAATTCCAATAATTCTTAGCTTCAGTGTTGAAAGCAAACTGGAAAGAGCAACGTTTAAACATTATTATTGTTGAATTCTGGACTTTGAACATCTAGTCGAACGTTCAAATGGAAACTCCAAGTGATACAGCTGTTGCAGGCCCGTTTGTGGGAGCCATTGATGAGGGCGCCACCTCGGCCCGCTTCATAATATTGCGACTGTTTTTTTTTTGGTGAACTTAAGTAAGGACTAAAAACTAACCAATCTTGAAGAAAATTTATTCATCAACGGCCTTAAATTATATAGGGCAAAACTTAGGGTTTTAGTTAGCCAGAATTATTGAACGGAATCTCTAAATTGAGCAATATGAACAACTATCCTTTTTTGTTTTGACCTATTTCGCTAAAACCTTTCTTGTTTGACCATTTTCGCTAAAACCTTAGTTTACGCAAAATACAATAAAAACAAGTATTTAGAATAAGCCAGTTAAGTAGAAAATTATTCATTAATCGGATAAAATTATGTGGGCATGGCTAAATGTTCTATATAGCTGAGAATATTTCACGGAAGATCAAAAACGAGGAATATGTAAAATAGAACTTGAATTCAAGTATATTTTTAAAATAAGACGGTATATTTTGGTATATTTCTGAGGGTCGGACGGTATATTTTATCGATAAATCATTAGAAAAAAACAAAAATTGTTGTCATTGTGTTTTTTGTTGGAAAGTTCAGTTTCGTCGGAAATATTGTAGTAATAAAAATATATAAAGTAAAAAAACACACTGATTCTAATTTAGAATTACTGGATATCTGGTGACAGGTAAATATGTCGACCAATTGGTTATTTTGGGGTCCAACGCAATCCGCAATGAGAAATGTGAAAATGGCGAACAAGTGAAAAAGTGCTCCAAGGGGAAATCACGACGTCACAGAAAGAAAACGAAAATCGAGCTGTGCCCGACTCTTTCGACTAAAATTTACAGTTATCTTTAGGTTCTATAAGACTTTTTGGTTTTCATGCTCTTTTTTGTCTGCTTTCTTCATTTAATGCTAAAATTGGTTATGTGCATTGGTTTGCTTTGTGTGCTAGTGTGTGTGAGGTGGTTGCGCGCGTACATTCATGTGTATATGTATGTGCGAGTGCTTTTTAACCAGGAAGTTTACTGATTTTTAAGACGAGAGAACGGCACCCGATTGCAATAGGTAGAGGCGTGCTCGCCGCCCACTTGTTTATCCGACAGTAGATACTCTACCGCACTGTGATTCAAGGTTGGCTGTGTATGCTTTTCAGGGAAGGGAATGATTTTCTTTGTATCGTATTACACCTTGAGCATAATGTATGCGGGGGCAACACATGCACAAACGCACGCACGCACAAATACACTTGAACGTTCGTAAGTCTCTCTTTTGGCTACTTTTTTTTGTGGCTTTATGAATGTGTCATTGGATCAAAACGGTCGACCTTCGGTTTGATTTATTTATGTGGCTTGCATGTTGAAGCCAGGTCTGCTACAGTACATGTTCGTTTTATTTCCTTTCAGATCATATTCTTGAATCTCTAAATTTTGATCACCCTATTAGTCAAAATTCCGACCAAAGCACCTAGGACGAGAGCCGCCAAACGACGCCATCAGGATAACAATCCCTCGCCCCCGCTGTTGTCGTTGTCGTCGTCCGCGTCCTCTACAACAACAGCTGCCAGAAAAAATCCGCCACAACCGCAAGAGCAACAGGCCCAGCGGCAGTCTCCACAGAAAGAGGGTAAAGCGCACTTGCCACCCGCCACCACAGCAATGAGTCGTTCAGGCGCACAGACCACACAAAAGCCAGTCAATCTGGACGACATCTGGAGTGAGTTGGATGAAGGCATACGCCAGGTCTACGAACAAGAGAAGTCCCTGACCCGCACCCAGTACATGCGCTTCTACACACACGTCTATGACTACTGCACCAGTGTGAACGCAGCTCCAAGCGGCCGCAGCAATGGAAAGACTGGCGGAGCCCAACTGGTGGGCAAAAAGCTATACGATCGCCTGGAGCAGTTCCTCAAGACCTATCTTACCGAGCTGCTGGCCAAGTTCAGGGCAATTAGCGGCGAAGAGGTGCTCCTGTCGCGGTATACCAAGCAGTGGAACGCGTATCAGTTCTCCAGTATTGTATTGGATGGCATCTGCAACTACTTGAACCGCAACTGGGTGAAGCGCGAGTGCGAGGAGGGACAGAAGGGTATCTACAAAATCTACCGCCTGGCTCTGGTCGCCTGGAAGGGGCACCTGTTCCAGGTACTGAACGAGCCCGTCACCAAGGCCGTCCTCAAGTCCATTGAAGAGGAGCGCCAGGGCAAGCTGATCAACCGATCACTGGTGCGCGATGTGATCGAGTCCTATGTGGAATTAAGCTTTAATGAAGATGACTCCGACACGAACCAACAGAAGCTCTCCGTCTACAAGGACAACTTTGAGAGCAAATTCATAGCCGACACAGCCGCTTTCTACGAGAAAGAGTCCGATGCGTTCCTATCAAACAACACGGTGACTGAATATCTCAAGCACGTTGAGAATCGCCTGGAGGAGGAGAAACAACGCGTCCGTGGCCTGAACTCAAAGAACGGCCTTTCGTACCTGCACGATACCACAGCAGAGACTCTTAAGTCAACATGCGAGCAGGTATGCGAGTGCCGTCAGTCAATTCTGTTTGATTTAATTTGCTAAGTAATTTCCCCTTGTCGTACTGTTCTCTCAGGTTCTCATCGAGAAGCATCTCAAAATATTCCACACCGAGTTCCAGAATCTGTTGAACGCAGATCGAAATGATGACCTTAAGCGCATGTACTCTTTGGTTGCACTTTCACCGAAAAACCTGGCAGATCTGAAGACCATCCTCGAGCAGCACATACTGCATCAGGGCACCGAAGCCATTGTCAAGTGCTGCACCACCGATGCGTTAAACGATCCCAAGACATATGTCCAAACCATACTCGATGTACATAAAAAATATAATGCCCTCGTGCTGACGGCATTCAACAATGACAACGGATTTGTGGCCGCATTGGACAAGGCATGCGGAAAGTTCATCAATTCGAACGTGGTTACGGCTGCGAACACGGCCAGCAAATCGCCGGAACTGCTTGCCAAGTACTGCGATATTTTGCTAAAGAAATCATCCAAGAATCCCGAGGACAAGGAGCTCGAAGACAACCTGAACCAGGTGATGGTCGTATTTAAGTACATAGAGGATAAGGACGTCTTCCAGAAATACTACTCTAAGATGCTCGCAAAGCGTTTGGTGAACCACACATCAGCATCCGACGATGCCGAGGCCATGATGATCTCTAAGCTGAAGCAGACCTGTGGCTATGAGTACACGGTCAAGCTTCAGCGCATGTTCCAGGACATTGGCGTCTCCAAGGACCTCAACTCCAACTTTAAGGAGCACCTGCTGACGAACAATGTCGTATCCGAAATTGATTTCGGCATCGAGGTCCTCTCCTCCGGCTCGTGGCCCTTCCAGCTGAGCAACAACTTCCTGTTGCCGTCAGAGCTTGAGCGATCCGTACGTCAATTCAACGAATTCTATGCCGCCCGTCACTCCGGCCGCAAGCTGAACTGGCTGTATCAAATGTGCAAGGGAGAGCTGATCATGAACGTGAATCGCAACAACACGTCGACAGTGTACACCCTGCAAGCTAGTACCTTCCAGATGTCGGTGCTCTTACAGTTCAACGACCAGCTCAGCTTCACAGTCCAACAGCTGCTGGAAAACACCCAGACCCAGTTGGAAAGCTTGATTCAGGTAAACGTATAACTACATGATTCTGTCGAATGTATTCTGTAATCCACTAAATTCATTTTATGCTTGCACATTTAGGTTTTGCAAATATTGCTCAAGGCAAAGGTTTTGACGTCCACCGATAATGAGAACTCATTGACGCCCGAGTCAACTGTGGAGCTGTTCCTGGACTACAAGAATAAGAAGCGCCGCATTAACATAAACCAGCCTCTGAAGACTGAGCTTAAAGTGGAGCAGGAGACTGTACATAAACACATTGAGGAGGACCGTAAGCTGTTGATACAGGCCGCCATTGTGCGCATTATGAAGATGCGCAAGCGCCTCAACCACACCAATCTAATCTCCGAGGTGCTCAATCAGCTGTCGACGCGCTTTAAGCCCAAGGTGCCCGTCATTAAAAAGTGCATCGACATTCTGATTGAGAAGGAGTATTTGGAGCGCATGGAGGGACACAAAGACACATATAGTTATCTTGCCTAAGGTTATTTTAAATTTAAAACTGTACGCTGATTCATCAACGTCAACCATACAAAAAATATCATTATTGCTGTAGTACCCGCTCCGATCCCTCCCACCCTTCTGAACACCCAAATAAACTGCCGCCTCAATAATCAAACTACTAGCGAGATGAAAAATACTCCATCGACCGACTTGGATTTGCGGCTAGGGTCTGATCAGCTTCTGCTCGTTTTTTAAGGGCTTCCTGGAGGTGTTTTCTTTTTTAAATCAAATCGTTTTGTTTTAATTTACATTTACGTTACTCATAGTTCGATGTATTCATATTTTCATTCATTAATTATAAAACTTCGATGCAAACCAGTGTTTACCTTTGTGCTGGATTCTGTACGTTCACGGAGTGTCGGCTCCAGAGTCCTGCAGCTGCAACTTCTCATCCAGATTCATTCCGCTCGCTATGGCGTACACGGTGAAAGCAAACTTGGCCACCTGCAAAAGAACCAGAGTTGAGGTATGTTTCTTCCACGCCATGGACTCACATTGATGTTGGTGGCCAGATTGATTGTGAATATGTTCATGGCCGTGAACGTTATGGGCTGCTGCAGCTTCTGCAGAAACTGAAGGGCCGTGCTTTGGTAGCGCTTGTCCTGCATCCACCAAGCCGAGTGGAACAGGGAATCAGCCAGGTCATTGCAGTCGTCCACGATAGCGTTGCAGTAGAAACAGAGCGGAAAGGTCTGCAACAGCACAGCCATCACGTAGGTAACGATGCCAAAGCGGGTCGATTGATCAGCGAATAGCACCATGTTTATCATGACAATGCCCAGAATGGAGCCGCAGATGATGAACTGGGCAAATATTGTGCCCGAAATGATGGGTCGAATGGTGTCGCAGAAGCTTGGGAAGACATATCACAACGATCCTTCTGCAAAAACCGAAAGGCGACTTACTTCAACATCGTCCTGTGAGCCTTGATGCACTCGACCAGCGATTTAAAGATGTTATCTGGATCAGCGTTCGCCTCGTTATTGGCCTCGCCCAGGCGAACGATGCGGTCCTTCAGCATTAGAATGTGAGTTCGCAAAGCCGCCACATAGATCACGGGGTACGAGTCCGTGGCTGTGGCCACGAATATTGCGTACCCCACAGTGAAGTACTCTACAAAACTCTGTATGTACAACTGCCGTCTGTCGAGACGCCAGTCAATGAACGGATAATAGGTGTTATAAGGGACGCGGTCATGGAAAAGGCCATCCACGAGAGTGGAGGTGGCGTAGAGAAAGTAGACAATCCCAAAGATCAGGTACAGTTTGTTGATGGTGGCTACTGTAACCCGGACCTTGCGCTTCTCCTCCGGGGTGACACAATACACGTCCAACTCATCGAAGCACTTGTTTGCCATTTCAAAGCGCTCCTTTAGGATAGACAGGGTGAAGAATTTGATCGAAAAGCACCAGGTGTTCAAACACAGTTGCAGCGACTGCAGCAGCAGATCGGGTGGAAACTGGGAAAAGTGTATCTTGTAGTTAATCGGAAAACTCAGCGGAAGGTAAAAAATGTTATAGCTGAAGGAGATCACCCGCAAAATCTTGCGACCAATTCCGAAGTCGTTGTAAAAATCTAGGCCCGCAATATGCAGTGTTTTGAGCAAGTAAACAGTAGAATCCCTCGTCCCGATTGGCTCCGACAGCGGAGCCGGGTACACAAGTTTGAAGAACATTTTCAAACGTTTAAGCTGCTTCTGGATCAGGTACAGCACCAGGAGCCCTTTATAGCCAGTCAATTGTTGACCATATTGCGTTTCCTCCGTCGCAACTTTTAATTACTGGTTATCCAACTGGGTATGGGGCGTTGCACCGACATTTTGCAGAACTATTTTCGCACATATTGAAACTACTATTGCATTTGAAGGGGTGTGCGATGCATCGCCGACTAAAGGATAACCCTCATCACTATATTCCTTTACTTAGACAAAATAATACAACTTCAAGCTTCAAATCAACCGATACACCCAGTAAGAGACACAATGTTTGATGTTTCAAGAATATCTTAGTTGATTTATTATTTAGACATTCATTTTTTTTGGGCGTTACGTTGCAACGGGAGTGAATTCGTTATTTGAATTTCTGCATACTTATTGCAATGGGAACCAAACCATATGTGATATGATATAAAACAGACACTAAATCTTTAGATCACAAATTAAACATTTATAACTTGAAACTTCTTTGGCCGACGACAAGTGCCAAATATGTACTCAAGAGTTCGATACACACGTTTTTCTCAGCCCAGTAATTCATTTGAATTGAAGGTTATACTATATTCTACATAACATATGTATATGTATATACACAAGCTTCCTTAAAGATGGCGACACTTAACTAAAACTACAGTTAATACTATCAGTTTATAAAATAGGTTTCAGTTATGCACAGTGTTATTAACAAGGAGATCCAGCGGGAGCTATGGTCAATCTTCAGTCCTCGTCCTCGAGTGTGAGGACCTTTGTGTGAAAGCGCATTCGTTTTGTGTTCTTCACCACACCGTTATTTAGCAAATTGACTCCAGGATTTGGATTGGGCAGCTCCTCCCACAAGCGCTTAACGCCCTTCTCGACAATCGAGTTGAAGTCATACTTTTCTGGTGTGGCAGGAGGTTCAGATACCATAGCGCTTTGTGGGAGTTTGCGAAGCTTGACGACAGCCTGCTTCAGACGTAAGCTGCTGGTGCTGGTTACGCTAGCCCTATCATCGTCATCATCTGCACCATTTGCATCTGCGTTTGTAGCCATCGAGCAGCCTCGTTTCTGCGACGTGGGAGCTTTTGACTTGAACACAGCCATACTAAAACAGTGAAATAAATTATTATAGTTATCAGAAGTAGGATATACTACTTGATTACTACCTTTCCTTCTTGTCGTACACATTGATTGTTGGCGGATTTGCAGGACATAGCTTGCCTGGCTCCTCCGGGTGATAGCCAAAGTCTTTTCCCTTCAACCAGTTATCATAGCGGTCCGGCTGAAAGTGGCGCACAAATGTCTCCATTGAGATTTTAACCATATCGCTGCGGCACCTGCATATGCTAGCGCGCTTGCCATACTCTATCCAGCGCTTGGACGCAAAGTTGGTCGACTCTGCACCATTGAAGCCGTGGTTGAAGCCAGAATGGTAGCCAAACGGAAAGGTTATCATAATTTCACCCGCCTCCTGGGTAATTTTGTTGTAGGGTATATTATGCTGGCGCAAAACTTTGGGACTTATCATGGTCATCTTGTGACGGAGGTACGCATTGCATTCCTGATAGGTTTCAGGGAATAACTCATTGGCCAGCTTCTCCAAGCGTCTTCCGTAGGCCGGTGGAATGGCGTACCATGTTTTGGGAGCACCAAAATGAAGATAATTTATGGAATAAAGATCCATGTCTTCGGTGTGCCAAGCAAAGGAACTCTTCCACATTCCGAAATAGAGGTACGCTGTATTAACTCCGTCTATGGTTATATTATAATCTGTGTTAACCAGGTTCAGTACGGTGTCTAGGCGCCCGATGTTCCACACATCTAGTTCCTCGTCACTGAGCGTTCCCTGGACATCAGCTGCATACAGCGGTGATACGTATGTAACATTCTTCCAATATTTCCGCTCCAGGTCGTCGTAGTCGATGTGACGCGGTGTGCTGTGTAGCTCGGAGTTTGCCTTCTCCATGAACTGACGCAGTGTCATCTGCTTGCGTTGTTGCACGTTGAATTGCTGGTACACTCCTTGTGCCCTAAAAACCAAGTCCACACAAGTGTCAACTGTACAGTGTCCATCTTTCACGCCAAGCAACTTCTTACCCCTGGACCACCTGAGAAATCGGTGGAGGAATCGTCATATTGATGTTCTCTATGTCGTACCCAGACTTCCTGGGGACCCATTCTGGCGGGGGCTGCATAAGTTAAGCTAAATAAACATACATTCGCATCCATGAATTTTACCATTTACCTGAATTTTAACCAAGCCAGCGAGATGGGCCCCGCGACTCTCCATATACTCTATGTAAGTCGAAAAGTGCTGGAACTCATTGTAGCTGGGACGAAAGGTCATGATGCGGGGAACTTTATTTTGTTCCCCATCTGGAAATGAATACTTTGTAGACATAACCGCCGCAGTTTTCTTTCTATATGATTTTTTTTTTATCAATTCTTAATTCTCAAATGCCGATTGGTGTGGCCTTTCCAGCGAATGGGCAAAAAACAACAAAGGTCCATAACGCGTCTTACAAAATATTGGGAAATATTTGAAAATGGTAGAAAATATTTGTAAAAAATGCAATAAAAATATATAAACATAAAAATATACAAGCTGTTTACCTAAAAATGCAGGTTTTGAGCAAAAAAAAAAAATAATCAAAGCTCCACTGACTGCAGCAGACACTACTACCGCTGCATCGGAAAATTTATATGGGGAACTTTAATTTTGCCCCATCTTAAAATAAAAAATTTTTTTTATTACAATTTTTAAATTAAGAAACTAATTCTAAAATCCCGATTGGTGTGGCCTTTCCAGCGAACCAACAAAAAGGCCCAACATTGTGCCGTCTGGCCACTCTGCAAGAAATGCAACCTTGATGCCCGCGCTTCCTGCGCGCCTGATTCAAATCTTCGCTACAATCGTCACTCCCGATCGTAAAAACTTTATTTCTTTTCAACTCTTATTCGCCCCTGACCTGGCTCTTAACTTTTTGTCTTGAATTTTATAAGCCCTCCATCTTACAAACAAAAAAGATTGATCTGTCTTTTATAGAACTTACATCATTTTCGATTCGAAGCCACCGTTCAAACAATCATTACACCTGATATCATATCTGTATATATAATTCCCGGAACTCCCAGTGCCGACGACTCGTATTAGTGCTATATAACAATAAGCGCCTTGGATAAACAACGGACGAATTTCGGTGAAAAAATGCACAAAAGAAGAGATTACACTCTAGACATTCAAATTAAAAGGGCTTTTCAATGCAGCCCAGCAACACTGTAAATGGGAGATAATCAAACGACTTAGATAACATTCTGGAAGCGAATTGACAGCGATAAGGAGTAAACAGCTGAGTACACAGATTGATCGAAAGAATAACAATTTGTGAAATTATTTCAAAAGCAATGGGCATCATAATTCATACAATATGTGATTTGCATTGAGTCTGGAGAAAAGCCAAGATGAGAGTTCGTTCCCGCCGAGTTTTATTGTTTTTTTATGATTATGGTTGAGATAATGAACGAACGATCCGCGTAGAGTCGCAGGCACTTCAAAACTGGCCCAGCTGTAATCAGGAAAAATGGGTTCTGTTCTTAGTGGTATCAGTATAAAAGCGAAAGGTGCACTCCAACCCAGGAACAGTCGTCGTTTCGCCGTCCATCGGAATTGCGCCTAAGAAGGTTGACCAATTCTAAATCAAAGTGTTGTCCCTAGTGTAATCCGCGTATACGATAATAAAGTAGATATGGGTTTCGATACCTCTTCGGATATGGCAAGGCGTGAGTAAATCAAAGCACAGCACAGGAATAACCAAACAATAAAACCTAGTGGCGAATATACTCGTAAATGAATCAAAGATACTATCTGAAGTGTTTCCGTGTACTCGTATTTAATCGCTGTGGCCGAGCTGAGAATTTTTTTTTTCTTTAGTCAACTCTTAATGGGTTATTGATACGAGTTTGCCGGTTGAGAACACGACTGAATTATAGTTGATAATCCAAGTGATGCAACAATGATCGGCTCGCTCTTATACCACAATACATGGTGCTTTCTATCATTAGTACGATCACACTATGTCTGTTTCCAGACCTACCCTATGATCTTATTGTTGCTGCATTCCTGATGTCTAGTTTTACTTGCAAATTAGTCATCTGCTGGCATATATCATGCCCGTATCTTATATATCTTCACACAAATCACAAACAGAAGATAATTTCGTTTGAGGCAATGTAAATATTTACATTATTCTTAAGGTTTCTTCCCATCTGCAGAGTACATAATTTTTGGGGAATAAAAGTAAATCTCCAGATCTATTGAGGACAAGCCCGGAGAGCAGTTAAGAAATATGGCTTGTTTCACACTTTTCGAGGCCCCTCCCTTGACTACTACCCTGTGCTGGGTCGGCGGCCACTTTTCCATTGAAAACAGGCGAGCTTTGTTTTGTTTTTCCTCATTTGCATGCGGTGATGATAATGAAAATATTATTATAATATAATAAAAGACAAAGCATTCAGTCGGAGTCGTTAATTAATGGCATCAGCACGCACTATCAGAACATTGTTAAGCGGCCATAAAACGTAAATTGAATAAAAAAGGTCCTAGAAATAATCATGCAAATGACAAACCAAACAAATCCCACAGTTAATTTATATAATGGGGCAATCGGTAGATTACTTTGCCAGACGACGATCCGCGCCGACATGGTTTACTTCGTAAATGGGGAGAGGACACCTCTGCTACTCCGGGTGGTGCCAAATCATCTCCACACATTAGCCTGTTAAGCATTGTTAATTAAGTATAGAAATCATTTACAGGACTTTAATCAATTCTTAATTTTATTCTTCAAATAGCAAGTGGTTTTGGAGCTCGCCACTGGCAGGCAATCCTCCTGTTCGTCGGCATGATGATCAACTACTTTCAGCGCGTCGACATCTCGGCCGCCATCGTACCGATGACCCAATCCACTGCCGGGGCCCCCTACTACAGCTGGGATTTGTCGGATAAGTCCCTGATACTGAGCAGCTTCTTCTGGGGCTATGTCGTCTCGCAGGTTCCCTCAGGTTTGCTGGCCAAACGTTTCGGGGCAAAAATAGTTCTGGGATCGGCCACCGCCATCGGCGGAGTCTTGTCATTTTTCCATCCCATGGCGGCGGCCAATGGCTGGGAGAGTGTCTGCGTATTGCGGGTCCTCACCGGTCTAGTTCAAGGCACTGTCTACCCCTGTGTACACACCTTGTTGGCCAAATGGGTGCCGCGCACGGAGCGGGGCTTCCTTACCACCGGCATCTATTCGGGCGCCCAGTTCGGGACGGCTGTTATTCTGGTCACGAGTGGATTCATTTTCGAGTCGAGCATGGGCTGGCCCGGACTGTTCTACTTGTCTGGAGGCCTTAGCTTGGCATGGGCGTTGCTCTTTTTCTGGCAGGCTGCCGACGAGCCAGCCACAGCACGCAACATCACGAAGGCGGAACGGGAGTACATCGAGAGCCTCACAGGCAGCAACAGTAGCAGTCAGGTATGTACAACACACCAGTTGATTTTATTCCAGAGTAAGCATAGTCTGATTTCGTTTTGTCCGTCTACTCCAGTCCATGCCAGTGCCCTGGATCTCGATCTTCAAATCGCCAGCCTTTTATGGACTTTTGGCCGCTCACTGCGGCTTCACCTGGGGATTCTACACGCTGCTAACCGAGATGCCCTCGTACATGAGCAAGGTTCTGCAGTTGGATGTCAAATCGAATGCATTCCTCTCCTCCCTGCCATACTTTGCCATGGGAGTGCTCTGCCTGGTGGTCAGCCCCATGTCGGATCTGCTCATCAACCGAGGCGTCATTTCGACCACGACTGCCCGCAAGCTCTTCAACTCGATTGGACAGTGGGGACCGATGGCCTGCCTGATCGGACTGGGCTACATGACCGCCGACGAGAAGACCTGGGCCATTCTACTGCTGACACTTGCCGTGGGAATCAATGCGGGCTGCTCCTGTGGTTACCTCATTAACCACATTGATTTGTCGCCCAACTTTGCTGGTCCTATGATGGGCGTAACCAACGGAATTGCCGGTGTGACATCTATTGTCGCGCCGTTGGTGGTCGGCGCCATTCTAACCGAGGAGGAGGATCCGAGCCAATGGCGTACGGTCTTCTTCATCACCGGGGCAGTTTACTTAGTATGCAACACCTTGTTTGTGATATTTGGCAAGGCCACTGTGCAGTCCTGGAACGAGCCAAAGAACCTGTCCAGCACGATAACCTTGCGCAACAACATTGAGAACGACTCCAAGACCATTGCTCCCACGACAGACAAGGACAATCGTTTTTAATATGCTGTACCTCGACCCTGTCCACAATCTCGTTTACACTATTATGGCTCTATAAGTTACTATAATATACAATTTCTGTATAGGTAGATAGTTCGGGACACGCGTCTAGCAAATCAGCGATATTTGATATATGCTTTAGTTATAATTAAAGACTTTGGTTTACGTTTATGTTAATGCTAAGCTTAATATGAATACAATTTGTGATAAGCTTAATATAAAGTTTACGATGTGTGGCACGTTTCATATGTATTATGTCCGGAATATGTTTAAATATTTGAATTGTCTTATCATCGTCTGTCTCTGCTTGCTCCGAGCATACCAATAAATATTTACAATACTAAATTCTTTGTTCGTCTAACGAGAAGTAAAGGAACCTAATCACTCTTATCCACTGCTTCCAGCCCCGTTCAGAACTGTCTCGATATTGGAATGGAAGCGTACCGTTTTCGTTGCATGTTACTTGACCTTTCGCTGCAACTGCCGCTGTTCGTTAAGTCGCTGATTAATGCGGCGCGCAGATGACAGTGTGCGTAGCATTGTCCAAATGGCCATCGTCCAGGTGAGTATAATGGTGCCATAAAGAACAGGAGCATATGCATTCGTATTGCCAACGGGTATTTCTGCTCTTAGAGGCGCCCTCAGCTGGTATTCCACATGTATTTGCTTCCAGTTGCAACGCTCCAGATTGTGGAGGGTTGTCGGCTCCGTATCAGTGACGATGTTTTCGTCAAATCTGCTTTTGTGCGCGTTCAGGCAGTACAGCTTATCAGGTCGGGCAACCAATTCATTGTCAACCAGCTCACTATCAGCGATCGGACAGTTCAGATAGAGTTCTGGCGTAGCTATAGCTACCATGCTGGTGGATCTGTAAGGTGTTTGCGGTTAATATAAATGCAATCGAGTATGCTTTACAATAGTCAAGAACACTGAACCTCTTATCGCTCGGTGCGTGATAGCGAAAATGAATTGGAAGCGTTACAATTTCCATTAGTTTCGGCACGCCGCGCAACAACACAGAGAACGGCTGCGCCCTCTCAGTGGGCTCTTCAATGTTCACAAACTTCGGGTAGACGGCACTTAGCTGGAAAGTCAATGGGATAAGCCTAAGATTCCATTTCAATGAACTACAGACAAACTTACTCTTCTGAGGCGCTGCAAATCATCCAGCTCGTCGGTGCTTATGTAAACGGCTGCTGGCAGCGGTTGCAGCAGCATATAGTCACAGTCCTTGCCCGCCAGGGGAAAATCGAACTGCACTCTGTACGTTAGTGTTCTGTCGTATACATAGAATACAATTCATAAAATTATTTGTTGGACAGTTCACACTACCGACCTGTGCATGCCGGCCTTCTCCATTTCGACGTGCACTATCGGCTGTTGCAGAAGATAGCTGTGTGCTGCACTTGCCAGGAGAGCAATCACACCTATTGCACTCATCCAATTAGGCTTTGAAATCATTTTTAGCTAATAAAACGAACAATTCTCAAGCAAATTTGTAAATAAAAACATTCCGTTTCATTTCCGTCTCATTTTCAAAATATACCGTAAATATACTGACGGACTAAAGTTCTATTTTACATATTCGGTTTAATATTACTAGCTAGATAGAACATTTAGCCATGCCCAGATAATTTTATCCGTTTAATGAATAAATTTTCTACTGCTTATAAAATACTTGGCTTTTATTGTTTTTCCCTCAATTTTGGTTCTCATCAACAATATAGCTGAAAAACCGAACTTAGCCCTCTTATGCCCCCTCTATTTAAATAGTTCAAACACTGGAGGTAAATGGCGGAAAATATTAACGATTGTAAATTCTTCTTGTTGATTCATGCCATATTTCCTCTGAACTTAAAAAAAAAACACACTATGTCTTTCTCCTACACTGCGCTAACATTATGAAATTTGCATTATTTTCGGTGGAAAATTGAAATACCCCCTTGGCTTATAATAGGTTAAATGTTCTCCGTCAAGGATTAAAAACCATATTGCTCAATTTTGATGTTCCGTCGAATATTATTAGCTATATAAACCATTTAGCCATGCCCACATAATTTTATCCAATTAATGAAACTATTTTCTATTTGACTGGTATATTTTAAATACTTGCTTTTATTATATTTTGCCAAAAAAAAGGGCAAACAAATAAAACGTAAGAGAAAAGTCGTTCTTATTACTAAATTTTGATATTACGTTGAATAATGCTAACTAAAACCCTTAGCTCTACCCACATAATTTTTTCCCATTAATGATAATGGTTCTATGATATTAGCTACTTTTAAGATCTTTTTGTATTTTATTGTGTCTAAAACAAGGTATAAACCAAAAATGTTAACAGAAAACAGTGGCAACGTAAGTAAGTTGGAATGTCACGTCATTTCTTGCTTGTATATGAAGATACTGTTTTCAAACCTTAGTAAAGACCTTTTCCCATATTGATATGTTTTAGACGTGTTCATTCATTTGATTAGTATCTTGTATATATATCCTGATCCTGATACTTATCCTTGGTCTCTGTGAGAAGACAATAAATGTCGTTGAAATAGTTTTAAAACAGAGACTGAAATGACAAACACTCTCTCAGTTCTATAATACCCATTTCCCCAGGGTATGCAAATGTTGCTCAATCCGCGCCATGTTGTTGCCGATTTCTCGGCACATGAGTCTATTTCATTTTATTTGGTGTTACCATAACGGTTGAATTCAATACTTTGGTTTGAGCGCGAAATTTAAAAAGTAATGTCCAATTGATGATTATTTCAAATTCAGTTCTTTGTACAGAGCGGATCCTTGTCGCGCCAATTTATCTGCCATTTCGTTGCCTTTAATGCCCTTGTGGGCCTCCACATAGTTCTAACGGAAACAATACATAACAAAAAAAAAAAAATCAATGTAAGCGAAATACAAACCCATTTTACTTTGATGTCCTTGTTTTGAAGTAGCTCGTCCAGCTCCTTAAAATCCACTACATTCTTTACCGGCTGATTGTTTGCCAACATCCAGCCCCTCCTCTTCCAGCCTTGCACCCACAAGGTTATCGAGTTGATCAGGAACTGAGAGTCCGTGTAAATGCAAAGCTTCCCAATGCCTAAATCCCGTGCTGTCTTAATGGCATGAATCGCTGCCTGTATCTCGCCCACGTTATTTGTGACGCGTCCGCTCACTGGTTTAGCTGCATTTCTGCATGGGCATTTAGCAAAGAATTTAATAGCTTTCCGACGGTGGCTTCCACTTACTTACAGCTTGTGATTGTCGCCAAAATAGACTCCATACCCGGCACATGCACCCTTGCGACCATTTCCTATACAAGAGCCGTCTGTGTATACAATGACATAGCCCTCGGTGTCGATTTCAAAATCAAATTCACCGACGTGCTTGAGGCCAGCTGCTTCCGCAACTCGGGATACATGACGAGGTACTTTCTTTTGCCTATCGTCGCAGTCGTCCCCTTTGCGTTTCTTTGTCGCCACATAGAACGAAAAAGAGAGTTTAACTCATACATTTCAAACTAAAGTTCTGTTCTTGGTTACCAGATTACTACTGCTAGCTGGTTTCGCATCACCCTCCACTTCATTCATGGCTGCATTCTAGAAGTAAAACAAACAAAAATATGAAGCCTCAATCGCAGCCGAACATATTGTCTTGCTTACCAGCTCGTCCTCCACCAGGTCGTGATCTTCGTCCGGCCATGCTTCTGTATATTGAGGCTTCTGTGGCTTTATAGTGCCCCAGTTGGCTGGCGGAGGCTGCTTTTGTCCCAGCGGCACTGCTACTTCGTGGGGTGCGTAGGATCCTTTAATGTTAATGAATTGCTCCGCTTCCTGGCGTGTGTTGAATTTCTTATACACTGCATTCTTGAAGCCCTTCACTTGCTGCTCACATTTGTCCCAGGTGTCATAGATTCCCGCCTTTCGCCCATTCGCCACAGCATAGAATGCCATTGTTCGCTGGATTCGCAAGGAACGGAGTAGCAACAACATGTTAAGTGTAATAAATAAATATTTTTTATTTACCTCCCGGGTTTTGTAGTTACCTACAGTGTGACCGACCGACAGAAATATACCGAAACATACCATCTGATTTCAAAAATATACTGTAAATATACTGACGAATTCAAGTTCTATTTTTTACATAATCCTCGTTTTTGATCTTCCGTTGAATATTACTAGCTAGATAGATCTCTCAGCCCTGCCCACATAATTTTATTGGATTTCTATATACCGTTGAAAATGAAAATTAGTAGTTTGATGAAATTGACAAAATATACCGAACAGCATTAAAAATACCGTAAACGGTCACTCTCCTGGCCTTGCCAGATCGGCCAACACAACGTAAACAAACAGGCAGGGCTGCCAGCTGCGACCAAGCATTGAACAGAGAGTGGATTAAAAATAAGTTTTCGTCGATTTTGGATTAGAAACAATGTATCAGCCTCCGACTCCAGCGCAGCAGGTGCCTGTTCAACTGCCGCCCGCTGAAGACCCTCCGCCGCCTGGTGTGAAGGATCCCAGCTCATCCTCCTACAACTACAGCCAAAACGCTACGCCCCCGGTGAACGACTACGCTCAGGGCTCTACACCTTATTACAGGTATCCAGACGCCGCCTCTTTTAACGCTTCAGCAGCGCCAACTTTCGATCCCTACCATCAAGGAGCGTACGGGTATGAAGGTTATCAGTACCAAGGACCACCGTACGCCCAATACGACCAAGGCGCGTATGCATACGAAGGCTACAAATACCAAGATCGGTACTCGTACATGCCGAACTCTCGCCCGACTAACCCAAGACCCCAGTCGTACAATTTGAATCCAGTCTACGGAAAACACTCGGGGGAGTACAGTTACTCCAAGCGATATGATCCACGACATGCGTACTACCCGCAGAGGGAACAGCGCCCATCGCAGCATTATTACCCTCCAAGAGGTGCCCCAGCCGAGGAGTATGGTCCTCGGAGCTATCGAGAAAGATACGAGCCCGCAGATGGGAAAGCGCCGCAATCCAAGACAAAACCAAAAGTGGAAACGGAGCGAGATCGCCTTCTCCGCCAATGGTGCTCCAACTATTGCGAGAAGCCAGAGGATTACATTGAGAAAATGAATGCCCTCAACGATACGGCAGCCACAGTCGAGTCTTGGGTACGATCCTCGCCAGCCGAGCCATATTACGAACGCACCAATAACGAAAATGAGGTCAGGAGCAAAAAGCGTTTGCAGAAATTGTGCGATCTCTTTGAGGACGAACTACTTAAGCGAGCAGATCGAGTGCGCAAGACATTGCCTGTCTATGCGCCGCCTCCGAGGAAGGCGCGACGTCGCGTCTGCAAGCACAAACACAAGTCGGAGGCCTGCTCCTCGTCGTCCGATGACGACTCGGACGAAGACGGCTTCAAGGTCGAGCAGGACTGCTGCATGGAGGAGTTGTCGCGCAAGGTGCAGCATCCGCAGCGTGTTCATGCCGATCTCTGGCACAACGATGCGGGCGAGATGAATGACGGTCCCCTATGTCGCTGCTCTGCCAAGTCGCGTCGCAGCGGTATCCGGCATGGCATCTATCCCGGAGAGACCGGCTACAAGCTGTGCGACAAGGCCACAAACAACGCCAACAGTCTGTTTCATTATCGCATCACCATATCGCCGCCCACCAACTTTCTGACCAAGACGCCAACTATTATCAAACACGATGAGCACGAGTTTCTCTTCGAGGGATTCTCGCTGCTGTCCCACGTGCGCCTCACCGATCTGCCGGTCTGCAAGGTGATTCGCTTCAATATAGAGTACACAATTGAATACGACGAGGAGAAGATGCCCGACAACTTCACCATTCACGAGCTGGACCTTTTTTGTAAGCATGCATGAGCCATCATTTTTAGTTCTTCATTGATTATTCTCTCCCCTTTGCATCTCAGTCAAATACCTGTTTCACGAGCTGCTGGAGCTGGTTGACTTTAACCTGGAGCCCAATACTGGAGCTGATGGTGTTGAATCCTGCCCAGCGTTTCATTTCCTCCCCCGGTTCGTGCGTGACCTGCCCGACAATGGCAAAGAGGTGCTGGCGATGTGTGAGGTACTCAAGTATCTGCTGGACAACTCGGCCGAACTGGTGGAGCGGCAGCAGTTGCTTCACTTGAACCAGATCAGTCAGAGCGAATGGCAGAACTATGTGGACTTTATAAAGGGCATGCTGGTGACCAAGCCGGGCCACAAGCCATGCTCGTTGCGTGTGGACCAGTTGGACAGGAACAACTCGGACTTGCCCGAGTGCGTGCACCAGGAGTCGGGGATCTCGCATCCGGCCATTGTGCATTTTGGCATACGTCCTCCCCAGTTGAGCTATGCGGGCAATCCGGAGTACCAGAAGGCCTGGCGTGATTACGTCAAGTTCCGGCATTTAATGGCAAACATGTCGAAGCCCTCGTTCAAGGACAAACGCAAGCTAGAGGATAAGGAGCAGCGGCTGCAGGAGATGCGCACTCAGGGACGGATGAAGCGCAACATCACGGTGGCCATCAGCTCGGAGGGTTTCTTTCGAACCGGCATCATGTGCGACATTGTGCAACATGCCATGCTGATACCCGTGCTGACGTGCCATTTGCGCTTCCACAAGTCGCTGGACCTGCTCGAGGAGAGCATTGGCTACCAATTCAAGAATCGCTATCTTCTGCAGCTGGCGCTGACGCATCCCTCGTACAAGGAGAACTACGGCACCAATCCGGACCATGCTCGCAACTCGCTCACCAACTGTGGCATACGGCAGCCGGAGTACGGGGACCGCAAGATCCACTACATGAACACAAGGAAGCGGGGCATCAACACGCTGGTCAGCATTATGTCCCGCTTTGGCAAGGATCAGGAGACCGTTTCGAACATCACCCACAACGAACGCCTGGAGTTCCTGGGCGACGCTGTCGTCGAATTCCTCAGTTCGATTCATTTGTTCTTCATGTTCCCAGAGCTTGAGGAGGGCGGCCTGGCCACCTACCGAGCTGCCATTGTGCAAAATCAGCATTTGGCTCTGCTGGCGAAGAAACTGCAGCTAGAGGAGTTTATGCTGTATGCCCATGGTTCCGATTTGTGCCACGAACTGGAACTGCGGCATGCGATGGCCAATTGCTTTGAGGCCCTGATGGGAGCGCTTTTGCTGGACGGCGGTATCAAAGTGGCCGACGAAGTCTTTACGGAGGCATTGTTCAGGAAGGAGGGCAAACTTTTGAACATTTGGAAGAACCTGCCGGAGCATCCGCTGCAGGAACAGGAGCCTTTGGGCGATCGTCGTTGCATTGATTCTTATCGCGTCCTGAAGGATCTAACTAAGTTCGAAGACTCGATTGGACTTAAGTTCAAGCACATCCGCCTTTTGGCCCGAGCCTTCACCGACCGCTCTATCGGTTTCACCCATCTCACGCTGGGCTCCAATCAGCGGTTAGAGTTCCTGGGCGACACTGTCCTCCAGTTGATAAGCTCGGAATACCTGTATCGTCACTTCCCCGAGCATCACGAGGGCCATTTGTCGCTTCTACGCTCTTCGCTGGTCAATAATCGCACTCAGGCCGTAGTGTGCGATGACCTGGGCATGACCAAGTATGCCGTCTACGCTAATCCCAAGGCAGACCTAAAGACCAAAGACCGCGCTGATCTGCTGGAGGCATTTCTGGGTTCGCTATATGTCGACAAGGGTCTGCTGTTCTGCGAGCAGTTCTGCCATGTCTGCCTGTTTCCACGTCTCCAGTTGTTTATCATGAACCAGGACTGGAACGACCCAAAGTCCAAGCTGCAGCAATGTTGCCTCACACTCCGCACTATGGACGGCGGGGAGCCGGACATACCCTACTACAAGGTGGTCGAGGCCAGTGGTCCGACCAACACGCGTGTCTACAAGGTGGCTGTCTACTTCCGATCAAAGCGCTTGGCCACCTCTAGTGGTGCCTCCATTCAGCAGGCCGAGATGAACGCAGCCAAGCAGGCCTTGGAGAACTCGCGGGACCTTTTCCCGCAGTTGGATCACCAGAAACGGGTGATTGCCAAAAGCATTAAGAAACAGACGGGCAGCGAGGTGGACAACGATGCCGACAAACAGCAGGACGAGGACAAGGCCAAGAAGCCCAAATATACGGCGGTCCTGCAGGATGAATCCCACTTGCCCAAGCAGTATCGCATGCATGAAAACATCTCCAGCGACGAGTTACCGGAGGATGATGAACTTGACAATGGCACAGCCAAGAGTCCGACTGGTAAGTACTCGAAGCAATTTTGGATGATGCAACAGTTGGTAATCGTTTATTTCCAGCAGCCCATCGCTTGCCACGGAGTGGAGTCGACACCGACAGCAGCAGTGACAGTGACAGCGACAGCGACGACTCCAAAATAACTCCCAAGCGCCGTCGCCGCATGCCATCCTCGCCATCGTCCTCATCGCCATTATCTTAGAAGTCGACTAGATGTGTACTTAACTTCTTTCAAAGTCGCTTGCATTTCCAAAATGTACTTTAACTAAAACGGAGCTCTGCCAAAATAAATTAATTCGAAACAAAATTAGTTTTTGTAATTATTTTAGCCAATTGAAACAAAACATGAATGCTCTACGAATTATGAGCCCAACAATGTGAAATGCTTTCTCATTTCATGGAAGTTTCACGTCCAGTGCTATTTAAAGAGGGACAATCGTCGCCCCAGACCGGTGCGCCCGGCACCACCAAGGGCGGAGGTTACATGGCTCATTTCGGGCAGGCCGGAAATGTCTCCACGTGCGGCCAGTGATGGTGGGGAGCTGAGCAGTCGTGTGGCCACACGTTGTATATCAGCGGCGGACACTTTCTCTGTAAAAGGGAGCATTTACGAAAACAGTTTAATATTGGCAGGGCACTCTACTTACCTATCTCCTTAATGAAATGCTCTGGCCGCTTACGATGCCCAGACACGAGCACCTGACGCCCGACATCCTCGAACACTACTGGTCGCGATTCCAGGTTCATCAGTAGCATCGATTGCAGCTGTATTTTCGAGCGCATCAACTCCTCGCGACCCGGTTCGGCTGCCATGCTCAACAGTTCGCGTATTATCACCTCGACCATGTCGTTCAAGTGCTGCGGCGGCGCACTGCCGTGTATGCAGAACAAGCCGCTGTCGGTATAGGCATGATTGTATGCCGTGGCACTGTACATCCAATGGTAGCGATTTAGGACTTTTGTGTAGAGGCGCGAGTACATGCCCTTGCCAGGTCCGCCGGAAGAGAAGGAGCCCCCGCCACCCATCATTATGTTGAGCACGCAGAGGGGCACAAAGTCTGGATCCTGGTGAGCGCATCCTTCAAAGCCAAGGACGACATGCGCCAGTTCTGGCAGACCCGCAGCCGCATAAATGGGAATTTCGCATTGCTCCTAGTAATAATATAAATAGCTTTGTTATAGATAGATAACGGCAAGTTGCAATAATATACAACGCTCACCTTCACAATACCGCCAGTGTACTGGGCGATAGACGTGTCTACCTCATTAGGTCCCACGTTGCTTTCTGGCTCGGTCTCCCAGATGGCTTCCTCTTCTACAAAGTACTTCCTCACGTGCTCCACCAGTTCGTCGTGATCCACCTGCAATAACGAGCGTTACTTGAAGTGGAAAAGTAATAAGAAAAACAACTTACACCAACGCCTGCGAAAACCATGCGGCTGGGAGAGTGATGATGCTTCAGGTAGTTCATTAGCACAGCCCGATCTATGCTTTCCAGAGTCTCTGGAGGGCAGAGCTTTGGCAGGCCTAGAGTATTGTCCCTGTACGCAGCTGCGTGTATCATGTCCATCAGTATCGGTTCCTGCTCGGGGCGCATGCCCAGCGTCTCCAGCTCGAAGTTGACGGCACGCGCTGCTAGATTCACTTCCTGCTCGCTTATCGTGGGTCGTAGAGTGACATCCGCCAAGAGACGCGTAACCGAGTCAATGGCCCTGCTGTCAATGCTGGCAGCATAGATGAGGGTATCGCGCGAGGTCTGACAGTCGCAGATGCCACCGTTCTTCTCCAGCTCTTTCAGTATGGCATCTCTGTTGGGAAAGTTAACTGTGGACTTTGGAATATAACGAAAATTAAGGATTGTCCAACATATTTCAAAGCAAACTTACATTGAAGGCTAGCTTTTCCAGAAAATGCGACACACCTCCGGGATAGGCCACCTCATAGCGTGGGCCCGAGTTTATAACCAGTCCGACAGTACAGAATTGTCCGTAACGCGGCTCCGAGGCAATGCGCAGTCCATTGGAAAGGGTCGTTACCTTTGTGGCGGCACTCTCAGCCATTGGCTCTGCATATACAGCCTCCGGCATGTTTGGCAGTGGTTCTGTTAGTGGCGGAAGGTGCGTTACGATTTGCTTCGACGGCGTATTAACCTTGTTGTGGCCATCTTTGTCTCGCAGGCCGCCAGTGATTCTCCCTATGCCAGTGCCACTGCCAATTTCATCGCTGCCAACTTTCGTAACTTTGGTGGCGAAACGACGTGGAAATCTGCGAAATAAGCGTCAAAAGATCATGATTATATTCGCCGGGTCTGACATGCACACCCCCCCCAACCACAACCTCCACTCCACCCAAATCTACACGATTCTTACGTGCGCCAGGAGTGCTTGAGCGTTTTCAGAATGCCGATGCCTCGCGCGTTCATTTTGCTGCAGGTTTGGTGTTGTAACCGATATCTTCAAATTTTTATAACTTAAAATTGAATTTGATTCAAAAACATATTCTATTTTATTTCGGAATCAAAAATGTGCGAAGGAATGAATTTTGACTCTTCTTCTGACCAAAATACGTCACAAAGTTCAAAATATACCGTAAATGTACTGACGAATTATTTGTATTCAAGTTGCATCATATTCCTAGTTTTTGATGTTCGGTTGAATATTACTAGCTAGCTAAGGCTCTCAGCTTCAGACTCTTAGTTTTATCCGATTACTAAATCAATTTCGCACAAGACTGGTTGAATTTAAGTTTTCGTTCTTATTGGACTGGTCATAAAATAAGGTTTAAACAAAAACAGTCAACAAAAATGTTCAATAAATTAATTTCCTTACGTAGTAATTAAATGCTAACTACTCATTTGCTACATATTAACTACATTTTCATGTAACTACGAAAAGCGACACCTTAAGGGGAAATGTGTAAGTGTTTGGCCGTTTTTTTTTATAAGCCCCATGCAAGCGACATCTTTTAAATTATTAAGATTTTGATGGCAAATTTGATGCTGACTACGAACTAGTATTCGATGTGGCCTGAAATATGGCTCTAAATGGCATTTCTACACGATTTCTACATTGATGCATTGGACAAGAGGGTATTAAAATATACTGGAAAATACTAGAAAAATATTATGAAACTGCAAGGTGTGTGTGATGGCCAAGGTGGCAACAAAATCAGTGTGACCGCGGATTTATTGAGAAAATATACCGTCCGACCCTCAGATATATACCAAAATTTACGATCTCATCTTAAAAATATACCGTAAATATTCTGACGAATTTAAATTCTATTATTCACATTCCTTTATTTTGATATTCCGTTGAATAATGCTGACCAACTAAAACCCTTAGCTCCTTCTACATAGTGTTATCCCATTGATGAAGATTGAGAGCTAAAAGAACCAATAACCGTTTCGAAGACAGCAGATCGGCCAGCGCTACTATCGACTGGATGCGAGTGGTGCGCGCCAAATAGGTATTGTTTGAAAGTGAAAAAACGAAAAGAATACAAATGCAATCCATTGGAATAAATGATGCACGTAAGTACGATTTGAGAGCGAAAATTAAAAAAACCTGCGTGGAACCAGTTTTTCTTAGATATATCTTTGAAAAGTGTTAAAAAATACCGTGAACGGTCACCGTGCTCTTCTTTTTCTTCTCCCTCTTGACTTTTGCCATTCCCACGTACCAGTATTGCCCTGTTAAGTTTCCAGTCACTGCTTTTTTCCGTTATGTTATAGTAAAAAGCAACATATTTTCCATTTACATTTTCTCTTTATTCATTATTCATTTTAGCTATGAATGACTAATCAAAATTGAATCGCCGCTTTCCATCAAACCGATAGCCATAGGCTGCTGCATTTTTTGTGTCCACCAGCGCAGGATTGCGATGTTTAAAGAAACTACCATGTCCATGAGCGGGACGAGAGGCGCTATTCGGGATTCCTTCAACTTCCCGCGGATAGAAAGCTTCGAACATGCCCTCAGGTGGAAGGCAGCATTCTGCTATTTTGGGATCATTTGGATCATAGGGTTTGGCATTCATCAGTGGCATTCGGGCCAACGAGAAAACAGCCAATATATTGAATAGTTTTGTAACCACATTCATTATGTATCAATTACGCACGCACGCGAGCGGTTTGTTTACTTTTACTTTTCGGCTACAAGACAAGACAGAACTGAACCCGCTTAAGCCCCGTTAAGACCCCGTTGCAAGCTGTGGACCAAGTAAACTTACCAATGTTGGCCAAAACGAATGGCTGGTGTAGCATTAATATGAATGTATGTGTGTATGTATTTTGTGTTTTTATACCCGATACTCAAAATGAGTATTGGGGTATATTAGATTTGTGGTGAAAATGGATGTGTGTAACGTCCAGAAGGAATCGTTTCCGACCCCATAAAGTATATATATTCTTGATCAGCATTAATAGCCGAGTCGATTAAGCCATGTCTGTCTGTCCGTCTCTCCGGCTGTCCGTCTGTCCGTCCGTCCGTCCGTCTGTCTGTCCGTCCCTATCAGCGCCTAGTTCTCAAAGACTATAAGAGCTAGAGCAACGACATTTCAAATCCGGACTTTTGTGATATGTCGCTGTTATAAGAATATTTCAAAACTTCGCCCCGCCCACTACCGCCCCCACAAAGGGCGAAAATCTGTGGCATCCACAAATTCAAAGATACGAGAAAACTAAAAACGCATAATCGTAGAGAATGACCATATCTTTTAGACTGCAAAATCTGAACCAGATCGTATGGTTATTACAGCCAGAATCAAGAAAACAATTTCATTCTTTCTCGCTCTGTCTCTCTCTAACACACAGGTTTTATGGTCGGTTTGCAAAATGTGAGCTCCTAGATCTCAGAGACTATAAGAGCTAGAGTAACCAAATTTGGTACACACACTCCTTTAAGATGTCACTATAAAACGTATATCTCAGAATTTCGCCCCACCCCCATCCGCCCCCACAAAGGACGAAAATCTGTTGCATCCACAATATTGCAGATTTGAGAAAACTAAAAACGCAGAATCATAGAGAATGACTATATCTATCTGGTTGCTGAATTTGGATCAGTTCAGATAATTTTTGTAGCCAAAAGGAACAAATCAATTTGCAGTGGCTACGCAGCGCCCGACGTCACGCACAGACTGATTTTCTGTCTCTCTCGCACGCACTCTTTGTCGTTTCGTTTAATAGCCGTTGCCGGAGGAGAGCCATACTGACTTAGTATCGGGTATAACTGTAGAGTTGCGGTGTCCGCAGCAACTCACAACGTTCCCCCTCGTTGTTGTTGCAGACAGCTGTTGAATGCTGTTTGACTTTGCAACAATGAGTCTCATTCCATACACAAACATGTTGCTAATTCCATGCACACATACCCTGGGGCAAATGGATGTTATAGAATTAAGAATATGTTTGTCTTCCAAGGCTCCGTAGGTATCAGGATCGACATAAATATACACAGGATACTAATAATGTTCTTGAATATGTCTAAAGAATATCAATTTGAGAAAAGGTCTTAATAAATTTCGTTTGATCTTCAAATAAAATTAGCGAAATAGGGTGTACAAAGGGCTATACACGCATCACGTCTTTAAATACCAGCAACATTGCGACTCTTTTTTGGTTGGACTTTTTCGTTTAACCCTGTTTTTACAATAAATACAATAAAAGCAAGGATTAAAAACTATCCAATCTTGTAGAAAATTGATTCATCACTCGTATAAAATTATGTGGGCATGGCTAAATGTTCTATATAACTGGGAATATTCGACGGAATAAAGAATTGAGCAATTGGAATGATACTCGTTTGTTTATGCTACTGTTGTATGAACAAAAGTGCCTTGTGCGTATGCCTATAGTGGCTGCTGTAAGTCCTGATGTCACAGGGCACTCCCCAAAAACAGCCGCTGTTCCACGGCTATTCCGTGCTTTCCACCTTCTTCGCATTTACAGTTAAAGTCGAGCCACAGAGTCTGCAGCGATGCCGAAACGACCAGCGGCGTCCTTTGGCGAAGTTGTGGCCCACTACTCGCTTCCTCAGCCCCGGCGTCTTCGGGATTCTGGCGTCTGGTGCGTGGAAAGACCGTGGAGAACGTGCGGGAGCCGTGGGTAATGGGGCCTGCTCCACCGCCTGTACCTGTGCCTGCCGCCTTCCTGCTGTTCGGGACGACGGGAACGGAACCACGACGACGAGCGATACCCTTCAAGGATGTGGGCGATGCGCACGCCCTGGACGTGTCGGTGGCGAAGAGGCGCATCTACTGGACTGACCAGAAGACCAAGTGCATCTTCCGGGCCTTTCTCAATGGCTCCTATGTGCAGCAGATCGTGGACTCGGGTCTGATTGGGCCGGACGGCATCCGATGGTCCGATGCGGAGGTTCGTCTCATCGGCGCGTGCTCTTGTGGAAGGAGGTGGAGGAGCCCCGGTCCCTGGTCCTCGAGCCGCGCCGCGGCTACATGTACTGGACAGAGTCGCTTTCGGACTCCATACGGCGTGCCACGATGGACGGATCCGAGCTGCAAGCCATCGTGGCGGGAGCCAACTATGCGGCCGGGCTCACATTCGACCAAGAGACGAGTCGCCTCTACTGGGCCACCCAGTCGCGGCCAGCGAAGATAGAGAGGGCCGACTGGGATGGCAAGAAGCGCCAGATACTGGTTTGCAGCGACACCGATGAGCCGTACGCGGTTTCCCTGTATCAGGACTACGTGTACTGGAGCGACTGGAACACCGGCGACATTGAGCGGGTGCACAAGACGACGGGCGAGAACCGCAGCCTCGTCCACTCGGGCATGACTTACATCACTTCGCTGCTTGTGTGCAACGACAAGCGACAGGTGGGGCTAATACGTGCAAGATCAACAAGGGGGCTGCTCCCACCTGGGCCTGGCCCAGCCCGGCAGACGGGGCATGACTTGTGTCTGCCCCACCCACTACCAGATGACCAAGAACGGGGTCTCCTGCAAGAACTACATCATCTTCAGCCAGAGGAACAGCTTCGGCCGACTGCTGCCGAACAGGAGAGACTGCCCGAATGTGCCGCTGCCGGTGTCCGGCAAGAATATCCGAGCCGTGGACTATGATCCGATCTCGCATTACATTTACTGGGTAAGGAGAATCAGCAGAGGAGATTAGCAGCCCGGTATCCCCCAATATCCCTAATGCTTCTTTTACTTCCTCCAGATCGAAGGCAGGAGTCACAGCATCAAGCGTTCTCTGGCAAATGGCACAAAGGTGAGCCTCTTGGCCAACTCCGGACAGCCGTTCGACATTGCAATCGACATCATTGGGCGGCTGCTCTTCTGGACCTGCTCCTACTCCAACAGCATTAACGCGTTGCCGTTTTTAGCTGCCTGGGTGAATCCGTAGGCGTCAACGATACCGGGGACTCGGAAAAGCCTCGCAACATTGCCGTGCATTCTATGAAGCGTTTGCTCTTCTGGACAGATGTCGGCAACCATCAGGCCATCATTCGGGCCCGATTCGAAGGCAATGAGCGTGTGGAGCTGGCCTACAAGCTGGAAGGAGTCACGGCGCTGGCCCTGGACCAACAGTCCGACTACAACAGTCTACTATGCCCATGGCAAGTGAATCAATGTGATAGACCGCAAAGGAAAGAACAAGTAAGCAACCAATATGGAGACCCGACCCTCTGAACACATGTGTAATCCCCTGTTCCCTCTCACAGGAAAACCTTTGTTTCCATGCACATCACGCAGGTGAACAACATTGCCGCCTTGGAGGGATTTGTGTACTGGCTGGATGACAAGACCGGACTGGAGTGGATCACTGTCAACGGAAAGCGTCGTTCCGCGGAGCTGCAGCGTCTGTCGCAGTTCACCGACATCAGTGCCGTGTGGACACCGGATGCGAAAGTGGGCTTTAATGGCTCCATCGAAGAAATTAAGTAAGCAAAAATAATTGAAAATCACTGCATACTGATATTCTCCTCGCAGGGAAGCACGCCGTCAAGCACTCCCTTTTAAAGACTTTAAAAATGCAATAGAGAACCTGCCGGCTAAGCCATATGAGGTGCAACGCGACAAAGCTGCGGATGAAGATGGAGCGAAAGACCCAAGGTCCGAAGGCGACACCAGTTTAAGGTACGCGCTTGTCCCCAACGAACGAAGGACAAGTTGCTCAGTATGCCAAAAGCGGAAGAGGATGATTCGCCCGAAGAGTACATTCATAAATTTGTACTGATAACCGCTAATCGCAGAGCCCCTCAATAATCATGAACGCTACCCTCATATTCCGCTGCCACCGCCTGAGAGAAGAGGAGCACCAACAACATCTCAGGCGTTTGACGCTGCGGTGCTGTTTAAAGCAGCTCCGCTCTCGGAGTCTGGACAAATCATAGTACGAGTACCTACCCATTGGTATGAGGAAGTCTATGGGGAGGAGGTTAAGAACATACACTTCGACGACCAGACCATACGCAAAGGCTTCATTCGCAAGGTTTATTCCATTCTGCTGGTAAGTACCTTCCAATGGAAACAAGTATCAATAATGGGATTGACGTTAGCTTACATTTACAGGTACAATTGCTTTTCACCTGTGGTACTATCGCCCTTTTTCTGTACCACGAGCCAACAAAAATGTTTGTGCAGAAGAATCCCGTTGTGCTCATAGTGGCCGCAGTTCTTAATATCATAGTTCTGATCATGATAGTCTGTATAGAAGGTGTCCGACGCGCTCATCCCACAAACCTTGTTTGTCTTGGAATCTTTACCGTGACAATGTCTCTGATGCTGGGCTGCGTTTCCAGCGTAATGAACGCCAACTTGGTGCTTATCGCTGTTGGAGTAACCGCGTTCCTGGTCATCGGCCTGTCTGTTTATGCCATTCAAACGAAAGTTGACTACACCGCCATGGGCGGGGTCCTAGTCACATTTGTGATGTGCATCATCATCTTTGGCTTGAGCAACATGCTCATGCCGAGCCTCACCGAAAATATAGTCATGTCGTCTTTAATGGCCATTATTGCCTGCTTCTTCCTCATCTACGATACACAACAGATCGTCGGCGGGAATCACGAATATCAGTTCAGTCCGGAGGAATACGTATTTGCCGCTCTCACACTGTACGTCGATGTGGTTCGCATTCTCGTATATATCCTACGGATTCTTCAAAAGTTCAACTAGTGGATTGCTAAAAAGATCCCACGACAGTATCCTTTCGCAAGGCAGGATCCGATCCATGCTCTGCTCTCAATTTTATGGACTTGTTAATGTATTTATTTGCTGTAAGATGATAAGTGATCGAAAAGCAGTGCCAAGCCAACAGCGATCGAAACAGAACGTTACATCGCAATTGTTGGAACTAATTTTGTTCTGCGCCTGGCGCATTACGAGTGCATGCCAAAGTGCTGTATCCAAAATAGAAATACGACTGTTGCATTATTGGTAATTCAATATTTTATAAACTTAATTTTTTGGCTCGTTTTGTCCTACGGTAGTTACAATAAGTTTATTATTTAATTATACTGTATATCTGTGTGTACGTGTACGTGTATGTGTATAGTTATGGTTATTGGTATGGGTGTAACTATAAAATACAATCACAAAATGTATGCCATTTGATATACTTATGTATTTACAGGGTATTTACGTGGTAGAAAATATCTAAACAGGGGAGTTCAACGATCCTCGAAGCGAAAAACGAGTAAGTTAAACAGTAAGTTAAATAGTAAGTAACTAGGGCTTGACTAAAGGGGTTGGTTGTATCGATAAGCTGCACGAGTGAGTCTGCTGCTTTGATCAGGTCCTGATCATGGTATCCAGCATCTCAAGTGTAGGGGTTTCCCAGGGATCACGATCCCATCATCGACAAGATGGGTATAGTATGCGTGCTAGCTAAACTAGATTAAAGACTTTTATTCGGTTTAAGGTTTTGCAAATTGCCATCAAGCTTGCTTTGATCTACCGGCTCCTGAGTCTCCTGAGTGTCTGCGTGTCTGTCTGCGGATGCTCGTATAAAATGTTATATCAAATGCTGATCCTACTCCTGCCTGCTCATCCTACTCAGTCCTCCGTGAACGGATGATCGGATGTCTCGCTGCTGTTGCGACGTCGACTCTCCAGAATGCGTGTTGCCTGCTCCAGGGTCTCCTTGTAGAACATGTTCTTGGCATCGTCGCTGGGCAGGGAGTACTTCGAGTAGTCCCAGCGCCAAGTCAGACCCAGCACAATGTTGAAGGCGGATGCATCATAGCCGTGGCAGCCGGAGTATCGATACAGGGGCTTCTTGTTGAACTTGCAGCCGTTCGATTGGGCACCTGGGACAGATACCGCGTACAGAAAAATACAAATTAGATAAACGATTAACTGGAAAAAGCTGTGCTTATCAACTACAAAATTATCATCTAGCAAAGTGCCAATTAGGCAATATCAGCAGTTTAGTTTTGGTCGAGTGATAAAATGGACACGGCGGACACAATAGTAGCGGGAAAATCATCGATCCAGGACACGGCCATTCAATGCGAACTACTGCTCCCACAAGGGCACCGCCAGAGGACCTACGTATTTGACATAGCAGACATTCGCCTGAGACGCCGTCTAGTGGGCCGCTTCTATGGATTGCTAGTCGTAGGCCACACACTCCGCGGAATCTGCAACAAAACAGCATCCCATTCATCCATTCGCATTCCCATTGCAGCTTCAGGTGGCGTGCACCCTGCCCTGCCTGAGGGTGATGTTGGCCTACCCACCGCCCTATCCCGGAGCGGTTGTTTCGTTTTCCTATCTGATGACCCTCTTCCTCTACACGTGCTTTTATATGTGGCGCGATTGGCGGCGACCGGCACCCTACAGCTACCTCGTCCTGCTCCTCAGCACGGCGACCAGCTCGCTGAACCGCAGTTTCTATCTGATGTACTTGGCCACGTCGCATTGGGTGAGTGGACATCGGTGTGGCATAGCAGTGGTAGGGCGCTGATTCAATGGTATCTTTTCAGATCTATGCGTACCCCATCATCCTAATGGCGGAGCTACTGGCGCTGATGCTCTACTCGGCACAGGATCGCTACAGATTTACCCAGGCTCGAGGAATTCTCATAATATTCCTCGTCTTTTCCATGTTTTCCCTGATGGCCTATAGGCTGGACCTGCTCTTGCAAATAGTCTACAGCATGGCCTGCACATTCGAGGCCTGGTATGTGATCTACGACACCCACTTGATGCTCTGCGGACAACATGGTTACAAGATTGGAGCCGAGGAATATGTCTATGCCGCCGGCAGCATCCACTGCGATATCCCCAGGTGCTTCTGGCGGCTGCTGAAAATGATGATCCTAAGCAAGTTCGTCGAGGCTTTTCGCTGGATACAGGGCTGCTTCATCACTGAGGTTTGTTGACCTGGCACCAGGACCCAGGCACCACATGGCACGGGAATCTATGTTACCTTAAAATTAAATTTCGGCATTCACAATTTGGAATAAAGCCCAGCCTTTCTGTTCTCGAACCATGGGCATAATTTCCCCGGTAGACATCAGTAGACAACTTCCTGGAGCAACCGCTTCCCTCAACCGCAAAAAAGCGCACATATCTCAAGATAATGTAAGGTTGATCAAGGTGGATAAAACCCCTGGCGGGTATAGAAATTTTGTAGAAAAGAAATCTATAGGGAACTTCCTTCAAATCCTTTGACCTGCTCGTTTCAGCAGGGTCATAGAAGCCCGCGAGTGGGCCCACCGTCCTTTCCATTTGAATATAATTCCCACAGAGCTGCGGCCAGCCAAAGGAGAGGTTTAAGCGCAGGTCCCCAAAGAGAAGGAAATCCAGAGAGTCATAGATTCGCAAAACCAAGGAAATCCCAATGGCACAGCTACCGTGTACCTGTGACTCAAAAATGCTGGACCAACAGAAACAATAATATAGAAATAATCTACAAAATGGGAGATGCAGGGTCCGACTTCATTCGAAGTCGATACAAATTCCAATTATTCCAAAAATTCCGATTATTATTCTCATCCGCGAGGCATCAATGAACTATTTCCAATACGGAGGATAGCCAAAGGCTATCGACAATTGTCGAATCCGAATGTACGAAGATTACTGAGCTCCGGATGTGTGGCATATGCTCTCGCGGTGTTATCAGACCCTGTTCGAAGCAGAGCAGGAGATGCTTATGCTATGCCAGCGAATGTGATCAGGATGATTCGGTGATTCGGTTGAGCTACCCATTGGGTGTGGCTTCCAGCTTCCGATCGGATTGATTTACACTTGCAAATCAAACAATCCAGTGCTCTGCTCTACTCGTACTTCGGGTGAACGCATTCACTGTGTGGGATCTACAAGTTGTACCCATGGGTGGATGTGTTTACTCGGGAATAGCATTATGTCTTTACACATTGTCGTGTTGTTAAGGGAATGTCCAGACACCAGGCAGTCTGCTTAAATTGCTTGCATTACACAGCGGAATTTAGTTAGAAATGAAATGTCTGTCATCATTTGGCCATAAATCCCAAATCAGGTGAAAGTAATCATACAAATTCACCCCGATATGAGGGCCATCAAGCAAATATCGTGCAAATGGTGGTCATTAGTCCTCCAGGGGGTAGGGGCAGGGGCAAGGACGGTAGTAGATGGTATTGTAGTTGTAGTTGGGGCTGGAGCTGGAGCGGGGGTATGGTATGTGATATGAAGGTAATTTTGATTGATTTCCCCATTCGGTTTGGGGGAAAACCGACAGCAGTCCTGTCCTTAATGACAGTCTTCCAAACTGCCCTCTGTCTGTCTCTACTCCACTCCACTCCACTCACCAATTGGATCGATGCACTCCTGGGTGAGGCAGCACTTAAGCCACGGCAGCATGATCTTCTCGGTGACAAACAGATTGTCCACGAAGAAGACCACATCGAGATCGACCATCCGGAGGAATATGAAGTCCTCGGCATCCGACTCGAAGAAGTCGAACATCTTGGGATGGGTGAGCGAGGACACCGCCGTGGCCGTGTTCCAGCCAAGGACACCGGCCACCATGCCGCGGCTCTGCAGCTCCTGCAGCTCGTGGTAGCCACCGCGCATCCGCATGTAGTTCTCCACGAACAGCACCGACCGGGCCCGCAGCAGGGCGTCTTTTATCACAATGGGCCGGTAGGCGTGCGTCCGCTGGTCGGCGACGAACGAGGGGAACTCGGATAGGTCATAAGTGATGACGGCGCAACGGCTGATGTTGCAGTAGGCGTTGAGGGCTTTCAGTTGCTCCTCCGACACGCCCAGGTCGTAGATGAGCAGATGCTCGCCGGGCAGCTTGACGGCGATGTTCTGGGCCAGCAGTATGGCCGATGGCGCCTGCCCCTCCTGCACGTACGTGACAATGGTGAAGTTGCTCTTGGTGCCATTGTATGGTGTTGTGATCCTCCTGTGCTGCCCCATCTCCTTCTCCCTCTCTTGGTCGTCGGTCTGTTGCGCGTTGGCGCCCGCTTCTTGTGCATGCTGGCGACGCAGATCGCTGAGCTCCAGTTCCGCCTTGGTAGCAGGAGCTGGGAGGTCCGTCTGCGGCAGCTGCTGATGATTCTGCTGCAGCTCCTTTTGCTGCTGCTGTGGCGAGCCATCCTTGGAGGCGGTGAATCCAAGCAGCACCAGATACTTGGCATCTATTTCGAGCTTCTTCCGCTCCAGGCCCACGCGTAGGTTCTCCTGCAGGAAGGGGCAAGAAGAGCAAACGAGATTATGTAAATGAGATTGTCGCAAATTAAGTTTCAATCAAGGACAGAGAGTTGACCCAGATTGCTTTCGTATAGGACTTCTTTCAGGCTGCCCCACGGTGCAAGCCCCAGTGCAGTGCAGTCAAGGACAGAAGCGGAAACAGAGGCAGTGGGGGAAGTGGCAGTGGCAGTGGCAGTAGCCTCGTCATGGGAGCCATATTAAAGGACACATTTGCCGCTGCCGGAAGCTAGTGCGGGAAATCTTTTTATTCGGTCTCTCCGAGGCGGCGACCAGCCCACAACTCCCAAAACAAATAACTCAAACTTGGCCGCGTGCGCCGCATAATGGAAAAATTTCGTGTTGATGTCGAATTCCTGTCTATTATGGCCACGGGCGAGCGTGCCACATGCCCCTAAAAGTGTCTACAGTCAGGTGTTCGGTTTGGGGCACAATAAAAGCCAGTCTATAGTCGTATCAAAAGATACCACACCCAGAAGATACGCAAATAGTTGCGAAGGATATGCGATATGCGGCTCATCTGCGTGTAATTCTGATTGGATTTTCGTGTAATTCTGAAGAATTTGGCTTTCTCCTGTTTCTGTTTCTGTATCTGTTTGTGTATCTGACTGTTACATCGATCTAATTAAATGTAATATACCCTTTCTACTCGCTGGAGGCATATAGGGTATAATTACGCCGAGCACGAGCCCGAGCCCAAAGCCAAAGCAGCCGGCTTGTTGTCGCCAAGCACAAATCGCATGACACCCTGTCGCCTCTGTCGCCAATGGCAGCCCGTGTGTCAAGGACCTTTATTGAACAGAGCGGAGGCACCTGCCCGGCCCTGCCTGGCCCTGCCCTGCCATAACGATGGATAAAAGCCGGATGGAAAATGATCATAAGCCCGGCTATCCTGGCTGGGGCTATTCGACACATGTCCCCGTCTTTTGCATAACTCGTTTATTGATTTTGGAACGCCCTGGCGTTTTGGATGTTCCCCGGCGGCTTTCATTTGATTTTTCATTTCACTTGGCCCTGTTTTCCATTTGTTGTGGGCGCAGTAAGATGGAGACAGTCGTGGGGAATCGATTTCAATAACATGGCGAAATTGTTTGGGTCTCCAAGGCGAGGGGCAACCAAGTGAGCATTGGGGAAACAATCACCCACTCAATCGAGAATATTTTTAGTCCGCCCGCGAGAGTAGTTTGTCGAAGAACAAATACAGCAACAGCTACAGCTACAGCTCCAGCTACAGCCGGGATGGAGGATCTAACGGATGAGGAGAACAAGTTCATTGAGGATGCATTCGCTGTAATGGACAAGGAGTCGGACGGCTCCGTCACCGCCAAGGAATTGGCCGTCCTAATGCGTTCCCTGGGCCGCTCGCCCACCGACAACGAGCTCCAGGCGATGATCAACGAGGTGGATGCGGATGGCAACGGCTCCATCGAGCTGGAGGAGTTCGCCAGCATGATTATACGCAAGATGCACGACACGAACCATGAGGACGAGCTGCGGGACGCCTTCCGCGTCTTCGACAAGGAGAACAATGGCTACATCACGTCATCGGAGCTCAAGGTGGTCCTCACGGCCCTGGGCATGAAGTTGCCCGACGACGAGATAGAGGAGATGATTCGGGAGTACGACATCGACCAGGATGGCCGTCTCGACTTTGAGGAGTTCGTCAACATGATGACGACCCGTTAGCCCCGTCTTAATGTAAGTGCAAATTGATGTGTGTTTTCTCTACTTTCTCTACATCACACATGGTTTTGCAGGACGAGGGCTCTGCCGTTGACATATCTGTCAAAAAAGTTTAGTTTAAGGTTTCACACTTATGTACACTTCGACATTCACAGGACGACACGAAAAAACAAAAAAACCATAAAGAACAAACACACCCTCCGGCTGCCCTCATGGCTGCCACAAACCTAACATTCGATCAGATCGAAGAGATTCGCGAGGCCTTCCAGGTGTTCGATCGCGAGAACAAAGGATGCATCACCTGCAAGGAGCTGGGAACTGTGATGCGTTCGCTGGGCCAGAACCCCACTGAGGCGGAGCTGTACGATATGATTGACGAGATCGATCTGGACGGGGATGGGACGATCGACTTCTCCGAGTTCCTGTACATGATGTCGCAACGGATGGAGGACCTCGGCAGCGAGGAGTCCCTGCTGCTGGGCTTCAAGATCTTCGATCGCGACGACAATGGCTATATAAGCACCCTCGAGCTGAAGACCACCATGATGATGCTCGGCGAGAAGGTGACGGACGAGGAGGTGCGCGAAATCATGGCCGAAATCGATCAGGATCACGATGGCAGGATCAGCTACGCCGAGTTTCTCAGTGCCATGCGGGGCTAGGCCCGAAATACTCTACAAAATTCCAATCAACAAATAAACTCACATCAAGAGCCCCCTTCCGAGGAACTCTTTTACTTTATTTCTCCCTTCTGGGGTCCACTTAAAATTTGTATGGCATTCTTGCTGGTCAGCCGCCACCAGGCGACACCACGCGCGGCACGTGAAGAAGGCTGGAGGGCCGCTTCCTTTGGGGGCTTGGGAGCGCGTGACTCCGAAATGGTTGCATGTGCCTAATGGCCCCTTGGGGGAGCACCTTGCACGACTGGGCCTCTTTACAACAACCAGAGCCAAGAACGAGCCCCGTTCTGATTACGAGGCAATTTAAATATTTGACCAAGCACCGCATTAACTGTTGTTTACCCCTTCGTCTGGCCGCTTTTATGGGGATTAATGGAAGAGCATAGTTCAATACTCGGAAGCCACATACCACGTACAAATCTACATGGGTACAGACATATATTCATATATCTACACATTCCACAAGGTGAGTGGCGGTCGGGAAGGGTTAATGAGGGCTATAGTTCCCATTCCACATCTGCGGGTACTCCGGGCACTCCCCTTGGGATCTCCCACAAACCGAAAGAAAACAGTAGGCATTGGATCGATGTTCTGGCTAGGATCTGATGATAGCAAACCATTCGTTCAGTAACACACGAGAGCTGAAACCGATTCAATCGAAATAACAAATTTTCTTTGGTGAAATTCCAGCAACTTTTTAAACAACAACGAAATACAACACACCATGGATACCGGGGAAATCAGCCTAAGTCCCGAACAAATCAAGGAGATCCGGGAGGCTTTCGCCGTTTACGACAGAGACAACACCGGCGCGATCACCTGCCGCGAGCTGGGGGTCGTTATGCGCTCCCTGGGACAGACGCCCACCGAGGCCGAGCTGTACGACATGATCGAGGAGATCGACGCGGACAACAACGGCACGATTGAGTTCGTCGAGTTTCTCCAGATGATGTCCAAGAACTATCAGGTTCTCAACAAGGACGAGTCCGTGAGGGCCGCATTCGTGGTGTTCGATCGCGACGCCGATGGGTTTATATCAGCGCAGGAGATGAAGGCCGTCATCCTCAGTCTGGGGGAGAAGGTGAACGACCAGGAGTTCGACGAGATGTTCCGTGAGGTCGATTTGGACAACGATGGGCAGCTAAGCTTCGATGAGTTTCTTTATGCATATAGAAACTAGTCCCCGATCGAATTATATATTTTCCTTCTCTCTTTATCTACGACTTTTACTGGTCTGTAACTACGGGTGGGTTTGTGCCACGAACGCGACCTTGAATGATGGGACATTCAGGCTTTAGAGGGAGCCCAAGTGTTCCTGGGACGTAGCTCATTTCCTTCCCATTCAATTATTCAAGACTATCGAGCGAATTCGCGACTCAACTGTCAACTGGTTGAGCCTCTGCATCTCTCCCTCTCTACCTCTCTACCTCTCTGGGAAAACTAGAAGTGCAAGTAAATTAGTCGAGTTACAGCAACAGCTACAGCAACAGCAACAACAACTCTGCAATTTACTCATGCTAATCAAATGTCAGGGGGTCAGACGCGCTTCATCATTGGTCGGGCCATGAGACCTACGACCCTCGCCCTCGCTATCGCTATCGCCCTCGCCAAGTGCAATTTAAATAGATTATCCACCAGGCAGCCGACTAATTGTGCTTCAGTGGGCAGTGGACAGCACAACACAACAGAGGATGGCTGTCATTGATCTGACATCTCATGATGTCTGTCAGAGTTCTCGATAAGACATCCAGAGGTCGATTTCCAAACTGCCGGCCATTGGTTCTAATTTAAGTTCCGTTCCGTTTTTAAGTACTTTCATAGCTGGGGGCATATTAATATTTTACGCTGCCCCAAAATAACATTCCCAAAGCCGTCATGTAGGGCTCTGCAATTATTAAAAGCTATTCCCTCACCCTGTACAGGGGCCATGCTCGAACAATGTCGCCCCCTTCCCGAAAAGTACTTTATAGAGACTGTTGTAGTCATTCCCATGGTCTTTCGGTAGCTTTTCCATTGAGTGCGCTCGATCAAACGCGGTCAGCTCTTGGCGAAAGGCTTAAGATAGCGAAATAGCCAGGTATTGGTATCGGTCAGCACTCGAATAGGGAATGAAAACTTTTCCATATCGGCCAGCACTCGAATAGGGAATGAAAACTTTTCCATTTGCTAGGGTAGTGTATCAGTGCGATGGTCATAAACTTGAATAAACCTTCTAGGTGCAATGTACATATGGGTGTCAGAACAGCTGACGAATTCCCACTCAACGAGCACTTAACAATATGAAAATTATAGAATCAAGAATTTTAGGTACAATTTTACCCGTTCAGCAATAAAAACAAGGTTTAACCGCTGGCAAGCCGATGATTTGGATACTACTTCGACTTCTAGTCTCACTTCAAGGATCTCTACTGACAAGCTCCGTTCTGTGTTGTCAATAAGTCTGAACATATCCGATAGGATGTGGCAAGCACTCAAGTCGAGGGAGAGACACTGACACTGACACTGACACCGACACCGACACCTTTTGCATTTGCGAAATTGATGGAAGCCGTCGTCATGCGTCATGTGTGTCATGTCTATAGGTGCAATAGATAAATGTATAATGAAATTTGAATTGAACGCATAACTGTAACTAGCGTTATTGAGTGTCTGGTGGCTGCGGCAAACCATTTTAGTGGCTTGCCACTCGCGGAATACAATGAGCCTCCGAGCTTACGGGCTGCTTATATTGTTTCTGTTAATTGCGACTGTGAGAACGGGTTTGGCGGCCGCCCAGCCAATCCAAAATACACATCCGTCAGACTGCAGTTGTGGGGAATCCGCGTACATGGGTACGCGCCCCATAGATAGGAGTATCCGTAGCGAGCCCCAGAGAGAGCGAGCGAATATCCATTTATGCTTTCGCTATCTTTGTTTGCACTGATACGAATACCCAAATCGTAGAAAACGTTCTTCGTTTTCCGGGCCCGGCCACAGATAACAGCAAAATGTTGTAAACTTTGCGGCAAGGCTCTTTTTTTTATGACCCAATTATATTTCGTTTTATATGCGCATACGTGTTCCGTGAAGAAGCGAAAAACAGCCGCCCAACTGTGCTTTGAATCCGTGCAATCCGTTGTGTAATGATGTGGCGCCCTGCCCAATATCGGATCACGGATGACTTGGTCGACCCTCGAATCCGTGGCCACTGGTGGCCACTCCACCGCAGTGGAGGCCGGAACAGGAAGCAGCCGGAATCTAATTAATGTAAACACACAATCTTGGGTAAACAACGAACCGGAGGGAGCTGGCATCCCGTTCGGCCTGAATTTGTGCCTCAAAATGAGGCGCCATATGTGGGGGTGGTGGCGGCGAGAAAAGGGCTGGGCAGAGCCCGCACAGGAGATAACAGCCAGTGGTGGCTGACCTCACACAATGACCAACGGTCCGCTCTGTGGGACGATGATGACTTTTGGATTGTTTGCTCACTTGGCAGACAGCCTGGCGTGTCTCTGCGAGTGCCGCCCACCCAATAGGACGTGCTTCAATTTGGCTAAAAGCATAAACTGAGCGGAAAATAAGCTTGGTATAGACTGTGTGGGATATGGAATATGTGTGATGTGTGAGCACAGTTCAAGGGCATGTCTGTTGCCAAAAAAGTTGGCAAACATCTAACGAGTCCCTGCCAAGAGCGATGATTGCCAGCCAATCTCCCACCAGAAAGTCATTCGATACTTTTCCATCAACATTAAATTATCTTCAAAATATTTTAATTATATTTAAAGTTCAATGTTTCATGTTCCATCTGATAGGAGCAGCAGGTGTGAATCATCAAGAGGTCGGGGCCAATAAATCAATTCGATTCCTCAGGTGACAAATCAGAGATATGCGAGTACAACATGGTGCTCGAGTTTTATTTGGGGTGCATTTTCGGGAAAACCTAAGCCACCGGTTTATTAAGACAAATTATGGAAGAAACTTGGGAGTTTTGCCCCGCGCGGGGCTGCGACTTGTCCTGCCGTCTGTCTGCGACAGCTTTAACAGCAGAGCCGTCAGATAAAGGTATCTAATTGTTATTTAATACCCTTATCTAGGCCATTGGTGCGAGTGGGTCTGGTGATGTTAGTGTGGTGCCGTGCTTCAATTGCTTCGATTATCTGTTCGCCAAAACTTAAGAGCCCCAACGCCGCCATGATGCGCTCCTCTGACTCACCTGGAACTCTTTCAGCTGCTGGTGCGTCTGGACGACGATGTTCTTGAATGAATCGTTCGGCTCCCCGGCTGGGCCAACGGCGATGAACACTATCGTTGCGAATATCACCCCGATCAGTATCAGGATCAAGTGTTTCGTGCGCATGGCCGCTAAAATTGACTTGGATTTCGTGTTGTAGCCAATTTTGCGAGCAAAAATGCGCTTTAAAGTGAGTGAGGCCTCCAGTATGATGGTTTTCCTTATAGCCTGTCCAGTATTTGAGTGTTGTCACGCCAGTTATGTTGAATTTCCTCCTCTAGATGTCCTTTTGCATGGCGAGTAGTCCAATTATTTCAGCACATATTAGTCTATTAGGTTTTTTTCATTATAATCTTAGCAGTTCCTAATTCTATTGCAGTCGATATTGCCTATAGTGTCTGAAGTTTATTTGCGGGCCTGGCCTGTTAATGAAAAACGAAAGCAAACAACAGACATTATAACCATTTCCAAACAGACTTTTCGATTGCACGTAGCCGGTCATAAATTGTACAAAGAATAAATAAGTAACAAATTTCATTGGTTTTTATGAAGAAATCAGGAATGGGGAAAAATATTTGCGTGGGAGAGAAAGCGGAAGATTTTCTTGATTGCGATTTGTATATACACGTATCAATCCCTCAGTCGAGATGCCTAGTAGATCGATTCGGCTGTTGATGTTGGTCAGGTCACAAAAGAAAACAGTAAAATGCCACACTGATACACTGATGCACTGATATACTGATACACTGATCTATTGGACTGCATCTGTTAACGCCCTCAATGGCATTCGTATGATGCGTGGCGGCCGCCCTGGTGGGGTTTCATGGCGCCGAGCCAAAGACAAAGCAAAATGTGCACAAGGTGAGGGCAATGGCTCAATGAGCAGAAGATTGTGGCGATGCGATGACAATGATGGGCATTGACTGGCGCTCAACTTACAATTTGAGTGGCGCTCAACAAGGGGCTCCGGCTATTTTAAGTTTCGGCTTGATGTGCCGCTGTCGTTGCCTGTCGCGTTTCTCTTGCTGCTGCTGCTGCTGCTGCTGTGAGTGAAGGAGGTCTAGCACGGGTTGCGGCAGGCAGCACATTTTGCCGGCGCAGCTTCCATTAAATGGGCAGACACTCTGATAAGCGCATCGCACACAAAAAGGCAGAGAATTGCTATTTGTTGCTATTGTCTTTACATAATTTTATTGTGTGTTCGCCGACATTCACTTTCGCTCCGCGAGTGGAATTAGGATTTGAATATACTATTCGCTCCACGTAGAACGGCTAAAAAACAAAACACTTGACTGCGATTCAATCAGACGCGATGCGATTGGGCTGCAGCTCTGTTGTTGTAGTACATATGTATGCAGCACGTCCGCAGGGCGTGTGTGAGCGCGCATCTGTGGGTGGTGGAAAACCGCAGGGCAGGGAAATCAATCAACACGACGGAGAGAAAACTGCACAGCACGTCGTATCGTTGGACATTATTTTCCGGCGCGACGCGGTCGTGGTCGTTTGTGAATTAACTTTTTTCGCGAAAGCGCCTTCGGACGCGGTGAACAGCTGGGAAAATTATGTGAACAAAAGGTATGGACAACAGGCAACATGGTCCAGAAAATGCAACGCCTGCAAGGTAAAATCCACCCCATTTGCTTAACATACCATGGAGGGAAGCTTATAAAGAGGTATGCACAACTGGCAACAGGGCCCAGAAAACGAAACGTATACAAGGTAAAATCCACCCCATTTGCCCAATGTGCCTTGAATATACCCAATATACGAAAACGCGATTTTGTCTTCAGGTATATTTTAATATATATATATTATAATTGAAATTGTCCTTTTCTGTTTTTGCCTCTTTTCCATACCCTTTTTTATACCCCATTCAAAATAACGACTCATTTTTTCGTTGCTGGAGAAAGTAGCAGCAGTGTGGACGTATCAACATTAGGCTGGCTGGCGGGCAGCTTGGTATCAGTGGTATTTTTTTGCTTTCAGTTTACGGTCTCACCCTTTAAACGGAACATACAAACTACGATGTCATCGACAGGTGGCTCTCCTGCGCCTTGTTAAAATCAACCACAGGTGTCCGTGAGTTCCCTTTATAGCAGACAGCTTTGTTAGTGTCATAGCAACCACCCAAGCCAGCCTAGTTTCATGGCAGCAGCCATGTCCAAAGAGGCGCAATATTTGAAGAATGTAAAACTACAAAAGTTTACTATGAAATGTTACTTTATTTGCCGACTTTCATCAGTTTATTTTGTTTTTCTTTAGCCCATTATGTGCTTTACATGTTTGTGATTTGTATTTTCTTTATATGCGTTTATAAGTCGAATACTCCAATTTTCCATTTACTAATGATATGCGCACCAAACTAATTTCCACTCGGCGCCATTAACAGAAAACTGAAAACCGAAAATGCAAAAGAATACAACTCAAAAAATAGATTTGTATGCTACAAAATTTTTATTTAAGTAAATCATAAAGAAGGCAATTCAAGTATAGTATACCACCGAATTCGATATGTTATTCAGCGTACATGCCCGTTTAAACATAATTTATAAAGATCAATTCGCCTCCTGGCCGCTCCGCTTTTTCTTGTCTCTTCTTGCAGCTCTTCCCGATTGGTTTCTGTCTCATTCTTTTGCTTAATATAACGCTAATTTAAGATTTATATTTTATATAATGCATCTTTTTACTTTGTATGGAATAACACTTAATTATACATTCACTTTATATAGTTTGATTTGATTTCAGTTGTAATCATAACGAAACAGAAGAATGTCTGTGCGGGCTGCTGTTTTCAAAAAATTCAAAATATTGAACATACTCAAAAAAGTCGAAAAAATAAAATGACTGACATAAATGCAATTTGTAATTGTCTGAAAGGGACTTCGCAGTAGAGTAGTAGTTCCTTCTTTCTTTCTTTCCTATGGCTTGTGAGTGTTTAAGTGTGTGCCTTGTGGTTCATTGGTTGCCTTTGTTGTACGTAGTATAGTATCAAACCACTAAATACTTGCCCGTATAAATGTTTTCGTTTAAATATTTATTTATATATCGATTTATATATATTTTACGCTAGATATTAACTATGCAAGGTCTGCATATATGCATGTTGCGCTTGATTCTCCATCGTTCCGCCTAGATATCTCCTATCCTCTCCACTATCTCGTTTCGTTAACAACATTCATAGAAAGGGGAAAGTACAAAAGTATAAACATCTCGTCCAAAGGTTTTTAGTTTTAGTTTTTCTAGGGGTACAATCTCCTTTTCATACGCAGTTTAAAAAAAAAAACAAGAAAAACACACGGTGTAAAACAATGTAAACTCAAAATACATAAAACACTTCAAGGGGACACAACACGTCACAAGTTCTACACAAAATTCAGCTACACTACGATTTGTTGTTTGATTGGAGTGTTATCGGTGTTGAATCATAAGGAAACTTTTAGTTATATTTATCCGCTCATTCACTGTCGATGTTGAGGCCCACGCGCTTCTCCTCCTCGAGCATGGCGTCCAGCTCGTCCGTGAGATTGGCCAGCATGTTGCCAATATCGTTCAGCACATTCACCGACACTTTCGGGGGCACACTCGTCACTGGGGCAGCTGTCTCGGGCGATGCCATTGCTTCGCCGCTCGCTGGCATTGACGCTGACGATCCCCCAATGCCTGCGTCCATGGTGGGGGAGCGCAGATGCAGGGCGCTGCCTCCGCTGGCCGTGCTGCCCAGGCTCTCGCTCCGCGCCAGAGTCGCGTCGTGGAGCGAACTCGAAGACTTCAGCGAGTGGAACGAGTGCGCTATGTTGGCGATCGTGTTGGTGGAGGAGGAGCTGGAACTGGAGCTGGAGGAGTGCAGGTGGGGTGGATGGCTGCCGGGAATGGTTGTGGCCCCAGCACTGGCCTGTCCCAGCTCCTGCCGATTCAGCAGCCGCTGCTTGATTGTGCCCGTGTTCTCGTTGGCAAACGGTATCGTGTCAATCGAATCGATGCTGGAAGTGGACTTATTGTCGTGGTATTTCTCGCAGTGTATCTCCGCCGTGGTCTGCTGTATGGTGGCATAGTTAGCATAGATCGGCTGTTGGCTGCCCGCTGCCGCGGCTGCTGCGGCCGCCGCCTGCTGTTGCTGCCAGTAGAACATTTGTTGCGCCTGCTGCTGTTGCTGCTGCTGCTGCTGAGAGCCCACTGCCTGCTGCTGGGGCTGTTGGACTGAGCCGGTGGCACCTCCCTCTCCGCTCAGCGTGCGGGAGTTGCGTATGCTGCAGTGCCGTCGGGGCGGCTCTGGTGCAATCTTCTTCCCACTCAACGGGCTGCCGCTTAGATAGTTCTGCAGGAAACAAGATGGAACAATAAGCTTATGGGGATTCTAAAGGCCATTGCCTGTAATGCCCACTTACCGCTCCTCCCTCGCCACCGCTGGCTGCTCCGTACTCGGCGGCCGCCGCCGCATTCATGTAGTGATGATGCTCCAAAGGTGGCATCGTGTTCAGCACGGCTCTCTGCAGGATTCCACGCTGCTGGCGCGGCAATGTGCCACCACCCTCCTCGTAGAGCAGCTCCCGCGTGGCATCATTGGTGGGTGTTATGTCGCCGTCGTCGTAGGAGCGCCGCCAAGCCATGGCTGCCGTATTGCTCCCCAGTAGACGGGCTGCCGCCGCTTGCTGCTGCTGCAACAGCTGCTGGTGGTGGTGCTGTTGCTGGAGCGTAGCAGCGGCGGCCATGGCTGCGGCAGCTGCTGCCGTTGTGGGTGGCCCAAAGTGGCCGTAGTCCGTGGTCGTGTAATGGCTAAAGGTCAAATGGCTGCGCGTGCTGTTGTCGTGTATGTCCTCCAGCGATTCCAGGCTCTTGCCACGTGGCTGACGTACCTGCACGGACAGAAAGGAAAGTGATGGAAGAGAGGTTAGTTCTTAGTTCCACGCTGCACTCGAAAGGTCAAGGCCAGGCGCTCGGCAAAATAGACCCCGGTCCCACCTTAATGAGCACCACATCGTTGCCCGAGCAACACTCGTGATTGCTGCCCGTGCAGTAGTAGGCGTCTCCGTTGCTGCTGCTGCAGCTGCTGCTGCTGCTGCTCCCCTGCCCCAGGCACAGGCTGCCCGCGGGGGCGGTGGAATTCAGCACGTTGCTGGTGGCATAGATTTTCGTGTCGTCCCAGGAGACGCGAGTGGTTGGCACATAAGATGGCGTACTTGGTATGGGCACATTGAATTGCCACGGCTTCCGCTGGTACTCCTGATCGTCGATACCAAGAGCAAAACCATACAAAAACAAACAAAAAAAACACAAAAAAGAAAGGAAAATCCAATTAGGTAAAATTATAAAACAATAATTCAATTTGCAATCAATAAACTCAAGAGAACGTGACAACTCTGCCTCTCCTGCGGTACTTCACTGGCAGTGTGTACACATTTTGACTAGAATGCAGTGTTTACACACTTCTGCCAAAAAAAATCTCTCACTTTTTAATTAAAATCGATGGAAATTAATAACTTTAGGAAGAAATTCAAGCAAAGAACTTTCCAAGGCCCTGATTTGAATAAATAAGACGGAACGGGACCCTCCCGTATATCCATCCGCGGTTTACGGCTCTCACCTGCTGTTGGTATGCATTGGCACCGCCTGGATTCCATTTGCCGCTAATGATGTCCTTGACCCGCTTGATGGCCAGCAGGATCTTCTTCTGGTGCCCCAGCTTGACGATGCCAATATCCTCGAGATCCTCCCAAGTCACTTGGGTCACGTCGCGCACCGTCTTGTAGTTCTGCTCCAGCAGGGGCTGTATGTACTCCTCCAGCCGCAACAGCTGCAGCCATTCCTCAATAGAGCCCTGGAATGGGAGGATCATAATCATTATGGTTTATGGTTAATGGTTTATGAATTTTCCGAATCAAACGCGCCTCTGTCGGAGCGCTAATCACATTTGATTCATGTCAGAAAAGGGAACACAGATCAGCCCGTCTACAAATTGTCCATGAACTAGTTCAGACCCCGCACTGATACGGAGGGGATTCGACGTTGGGTTGGATGGGTTATGCGCTGGTGTCTCCCATGATGTTCCCCCATTGCGTCCGCGTCGGCGTCGTCGTCGTCGTTCCAGCTCTAATCAGTTGTAATTGATAAGATATGACATAAATCGCGTCAAAGCACAGGCATAAAGAAATGAATAAAAGCCAAAACTCGTTGCTGTCGTCATTAAACGGTAGCCAAGCGAGTGGGGCAGCTAGCTCCAATGGAGGAGACGGGGTATGGGGTGCGGGGAGCGACTCGTAACCAAATACGCACACAGACAAGAAATGCAGTCGAAAATCATCAACATTGAAGCGTGGAAAGCAATGATATTTTTTTTTTTTTTTGCTCCTCCATACGATATGTACACACACGAACGATGTGTTAATAACTTTTTCAAGCTCTCTGCTCTTTTGGTCTTTCGGCTAAATTGCTGTTGATTTCGATTTAATTAAATGTTTTCTTGTTTCTGTGATGCTGCCTGCCGTCTGTCGTGTGCCTCGAGCGGGGAAGTTTCCATCGAAAGCATTCACCGAGTCGCACTTCGGGTAAGGGATATTTACCTAGAAATCTAACTGTTGGCGAAGGGATATTTTCTCAGTGCTGTGTGAAGAGACGATCAGGGAATATCCTTATTAAACGATCAATCGATAAAGCTTTCCCATAGATAAAATTCCCAAAACATTACCAATCGTTTTAGCCAAAAAGGATATTTTATCAACTACAGTTCGTCTATGGAAATGTAAGGGAACTTTAAAGCTTTCAAGTACCCTGTGAGAATGGGCATTTTTTTGTGGAATTTTACTGTACCCATAGAGAAACCATAGATAACCCTGTAAGACCAGAAATATGTACAATATAGCATGCATGTTTATTCATATGCTAATCGAAATCCCCTATCCCCATTCCAAATCCAATACCAATTCCAATTGAGTGAAGATCTTCCAAACAGCGACCAACAAATATTTTCATAAGACTTTAACAAAATATTTATCTAAATTACAATTTTTGTTTTTGGGATTTTTCGGTTGGTTTTTGGTTCGGCGGGGCTTCTTCGAAATCCATTAGCAGGTAGCATATGGTATGACACTAAATACAGACAGAGAGACCCGCAGCACCGTAGCGTCACCAGCGACCGACTGTCGGCCATCATTAGCGCAGGCAAAAAACAGGTTTTCCAGCAACAACACTGTTTGTACCGGGTCGAAAAAAAAGCAAAGTTAAGGCGAGTACGTCAGGCCGAAAACTAAATACCATTTTGAGTGTCTAATAACGGACTCAAAAGACGAAACGAGAGAGCCCCTCTACGACCCTCAAGGTCGTTCGTTGATTGCGGTTTCTGTTTTTTCTGTTCTCTGAACAAAACGGAGATTGGGGCGACGTTTAATAACTTTGTTCCTTCCCGCTCTATCTCTCAGGTATTCCGTTGTATTTCCTTTTTCGCCAAGAGATAAATGCGCGTATGTGTGTGTGTGTGCGTGTGTGAAAAGAAAGCAGAGAGGCTGGTAGAATGTCGGCTAATGAGCGGCGGGGCACTTCTCGAGGGCCGAGGGTCGTGCAATTTCCAGTGAGCCGTCGCTATAGAATGATGTAAGTACAGGCAACAGCCCACACACCCCAACCCAGCCCAACCACACCCCAAAGACAAAGAGAGTCGAGCTCCGGGCCTCGAGATCAGCAAATAACGAATATCGGAATGGGGCGATAAAGTATCTACAACAACGTCCACAGGGGGACGCAGACGCAGACGCAGGCGGAGACGGAGACGCAGACGACGCCAGTTGGTAACTCGACCAGAAACTTGGCAAACTTGCGAAAACAGTCACGGCGCGTTATATAAACAGCCGTGCCAGAGCCAGAGCGAAAGCCAGAGAAACAACAAAAAAACGAGCAAAATTCTACATGGATAGTAAAATATTATGGCATGGAACATTTTTCAAGTGAAATACAAAAACCGCCATAAAAAAGAAACACAAACAGCGAGGGAACAAAACAAAAGCTGAGGTCATTTCGATTTGAAAATTGCATCATGTGGCGGCGGGGGTCAGAGATTGGAGGCGCTGCGGCTGCGATAATGAAAACCCATGCTGGAGGTTAGTAATTAGTCGGAGTCGAATGGAATGCGGCTCAAGTTTGAGCCCCCGATATATGTTCGATAAACGCGATAAATGGTATTTGCAACAGTTTTTTTCGGTTGCAGGTGGGCTGCTGCAACGCGCAGCAAGTGGGCAGCGCTCGATGCAATCTGATGAAATCTGTGAATCACTCGAGGCTCAACGAAATGCAGTTGTTGAAGTTGAAGATTATGGCCGATGGCCGATGGGTGTTAATCACGCTTGGAATGCGGCGATGTGTGAATGTGGAGCTCAGGTAGAGTTGCATGTGTAAGGTGGATGCCATGTGGATTGCATGTGTGGGGATCAATCGCAAGCAATCGCTAGAGACCTAGCATTGACTTGGATCCGATTTAATAGCCCTGTCGGATCTTGTTTTGAGTACCTACTATTTATATGTGCATTTACATAGGGCTTGCAAATTGTCTTGAAAGTGCGTACGGGTCTAATATGTGGATTGCATACTGATAAGACTTCATGGCTTGCCTCAACTCAAGTCACGTCCCAACTTTTTAGTAGTGACTGTTATTTTTGCGTGGAACCAGTGTTTCTCTATGGTTTTTGGGGATAAGTTTCCCTCTGACCACCGTTTAAGCTACAAATAACCATCTAAATTCTATGCAAAATCGTTTTATCCGACACTCTGCTGCACTTGAAAGTGTGTTAACCCCTGGCATTGGCATTTCTATATCTCAGAGCCAGATTCAACTTTGAATGGAAATGGGCTGCGCGGGCAATTATTGTAGTCGCTCGAATGGAACCTTGATCTGTCAGATCGATTGGCTAATGATCCGCTTCGATCCACAACCTGCTGCGGCCTCAAGTTCAACATAATGTCACTCCGATCGGGGCGCCAGATTCCACACGACCGGATGGGGTATAAATTTATATACATAGTATATATTTATCTACTCTACTCCGGCCGGCGTGTTTTTAATGAATTGTTGATGGGAATTAACGTGCGCATAATAAATGAAATTCTTTCATTAACAATAAAATTAAAAAATAAACGCTGACGGTGCTTTTTCATCTCTCTTTTTCGCTCCCTCTCTTTATCGCCGTCGTCTGCTTTGTGGCTGGCCATGTGGGAAACAAGTTTATTTTTTGCAAATGCTTTTTTAATGAAATATTCCAGATAAGCCCGCAACTAAACAAGCCATCAGCGGAAGGGGAGCCGTCTGCAGCGGTGTGGGGGGCAGGGCATGACAGGGCAGGGCGTAGCTATCCGCAATTAGTGCCAATCCGGCAAATTACCATATGACTAAGAGAGTTGCTCGGCTCTGAACGAACTTCAGCAGGTGATTGGTAAGAGCCGAGATCAGAACTCTCGTTTCTTTTTAGAGAATAGCTCTGCTCTCTCCGATTAGAGCGGATTTTCGCCTGCTACTCACCGGCACAAAGTGGGGCAGATTGTCGAGAACTTGCAGCTTGTCGATGCGCTGCTTGATGCGCTCGCGATGATGCGGATTCTTGATACCAATGGCGGTGAGATCCTCCGGGGTCATGCGGGCGATCGTGGGCAAGTCGTAGCCGGCGGCGATGAACAGTTGGGCGTACTCCTCGTGCTTCATCTCCAGCAGCCAGTCGATGATCAGCTCATCGTTGCGCTGCCGGTCCACGCTGCCGATCGAGCAGGAGCTGACGGAGCTGCAACGGGGCGAGGAAAGCGGGGCCCGGATGGAGGCGCCCGACGAGGAGACTCCCGTCAGGTAGGAGGAGGCACGACCAGAGTCCAGGCTGGCGGTGCTGTGTCGCGAGCCCGAGCCGGCCGATCCCGAGGAGGAGCCGGGCGAGTCGCGTCCCGGCGACTGGGTCAGATCGATGCCCTGGTCCTCCTGCAGGGCCAGCTGCTGGTGGTAGTAGACCGCCGCCTTGTGGGTCAGCGGCTCTCGCAGCGTGGCACAGAACACGGGCGGCGGGCATGGCACAATGCTGGGCAGCGGAGCGGAGGTCTTCGCGGCGGCCGGAGGAGCCGGACCTCCGGTCACGGCCATTGGGGGCCCACCACCCGCCTCGTCCTTCATGCGCAGGGCCACGCTCGTCTCGCGCGGCAGGTTGAAGCCGCCCTCTTCCAGCGAGGGCGACGAGACAATGCTGCTGCCACTCATGCTGATCCCATCGTCCGTCTGCTGCTGCTGTTGATGGTGGTGGCGCAGGGGTCCACTGAGCCGGTACAGCGGTATCGACGGCTGGTGGTGGCCTCCACTGGGCGAAGCAGGCAACTGCTGGAGTGGGTGGTAGTGCTGGTGATGCTGCTGCTGCTGCAGAGGATCCCCCGGAATCGTTGGCGGTTGAACCTTCTTAGCTTGTGCCGTGGACGCATGCGGCTTGAGCGAACGATGCATGATGGGCCTCTACTGGCCCCCGTGGCCGTACTTTGTCCGACTCCTGTTGGAAAAAAGATGGAAACTGCAGTTAGAAAAATGTGTCCGCCAGATGTGTGTGCCAGAAACGGGGAAATCTGCATAATTGGTCATAGAAATTTTGATGTGCTTGCAGCAGCTCTAAAAATAGGGCTCACACTGTGTTTACGCGATGCGGCACAAGTCAATAAACTGCTCGCCGGAATGGCGATGGCGATGGGGATGGAGATGAGACTGGGGCAGTCTCCAGTTTCTAGTCCCCCGCCACATTTATAGACTCTGCGCCCCACGAAGCAAAGTAGCAGACGTCGCAGCATCGTATTACCAGTTTCATTCACAAAAAAATGTCAACAAACTAGGTATTCGACAGCAGAGTACCCTATCTGGGGCGGATGTTTACCAATTAATTCGGTGGAACTGTAAATAAGGTAGTTTTGAGATGCTGTTCTAACACTGCTTAATGGACTCCCTTCTCTCGGGATGCTAGAGCACTGCACTACTTGCTGTCTTGCGGTATAATCTCTTCTCCTCATGCAAGCAGCCTAATACGCCCTTGAGTCCACCAAAAACAAACACACACACACACACATAACCGAGAGAATAAGCAGAACAGATGAAGAGGGAGAGAGAGAGACTGAGAGAGAACTGTACCTAGGGAGACCGAGAAAGAGAGAGGCTGATGGCATGGTAAGGGCTCGCGGCAGGCCGGCACGAGCTGTGTCAAAGTTCGTTGACTGCGCTCTGCGGTTTGGGGCAGGGCGGGGTATGGTACAGACATGGCAGCTGCTTGTCTAGTCGGCAACGTCATAATACACTTGAAAAATGCACGGGCACGGGCCTCGTCCAGCAGCAAAATCTAGCAAAAAGTCACGAACAATCTCTCCTCCTCAGCATGTCATTAACAGCAGAAGCGAGACAGAAAGCCACAATAGTTCCAATACTTGGAAATAATAAACAACAAACAGCACACAAGCTTTCCTGTAGCAGCAGTTTCCTGCGAAACAATGCAACAACTACAAAGTAATCAGAAGTGCACTCGAAAACACATTCCGAGCCGAGCCGATAAGAGCAGCAGCCACCTGTTCGATCAAGTGCCGCCCGATGAACGAACCGGCGCGGCCCGGCCCGGCCCTGCTTGGTACGGAAAGCAGTGCACAAGAGCAGGTGTCATAATCCGCTCTTTTTGTGTGGGCGGCGAAATGCAGGAAGAAAACGTAGCGGGTAAAACACATAACGGTGGCAGTAGTAAATCTCATTTACAAGCTTCACCTCTACTCCGCCGCTCCGCCGGTGCCACCGCCTTTTAATGAATTTTTATGTATGCGACGTGCCGAAAAAAAACTGCAGTCAGAGTAGAGCCGAATCCGAAGCGAGGATACGCGAAGAGAGCAAGTGAGAGCGCGCACAGCAGAGACAGAGAGAGAGGCAGTGGCAATGCAGAGCAGAGTACCGCTTGCATTGGACTGCTTGTTGTTGCTGTTGTTGGCGTAGTAGGGTAGTATATCAACGAATGTGGGTTGCATGCGGTTTCAGTTGTTACCACCCACACTCCACTCGTTCCACACTCCCCGGCCAGATGTTGTTGAACCGCCGTTTTATGCGGCCGGCTTTGCTGCATTTTTCTTTCAAATGTTGTCTTTTGCCCCCTCCGGTTACCACATTTTTATGAGTTGCCATTGTTGTGCTGTTGGATTGTAAGTTTAATTGCGAACATGCCCCACTGTACACGCTGCCATTCTTGTGGGTGGCTGAGTAATCCTGTAATGAGCATAACACATGCTCACGAATACCACAGTGAAGGGTCTCTATTGAAATCGATTCCATTTGGACAGATTCCCTTTAGCGAATGCCCATCGTATTTCTGTGTGCAGCATAAAAACTGATTGGAAGTGCAATTGGAGGCTTGGGACCCTTTTGGGTGTTGGGAAATATGTACCACACATAAATGCTCGTACGGAAAGGGAAATAGTAAGTTAACGAGGGGAGGAGAGAGCTGGTAGAGGATTGGGCAGCGGCTGAAAGATTTATTGATTGTCGTTGTCGTCACACACATACATACTCATCACATGTATTGATAAATGTACAATGAAGCGGAGTTGCGGTTTTGAAGTTGGGAGCAAAAAACGCTGAGCAACTAAAAATAATTATGCCTGCCAATACTCTCCACTTAAAGAGAGAGACAGAGAGAGAGAGAGAGAGAGAGAGAGAGAGAGCGAGAGAGAGAGAGATAGCGAACGGGGGTGGTGGTGAAAGCCACAGATAAATTGATAGAGACGAGTGACAGCATTACGTATACACTCACATTAAAGCAGTGTCGGTCGCAGTGATTGGAAAAGCGCTAGTTGATTTTATTCTGAACGGGATAAAGCAGAGTACAGCTTTTTTTCTCTATACAATCAAAATATGAATCTATAAAACTATAATTTGACTATTTCAGCTACTCTCTTAACAGTTACAGGGAGGATATATACCTACATATGTGTGTATCTACGCATCGAAACAACGTTCATACACTCATCAATATATCACCCAAACACACTAAAAGTAACTGCTACGAAAGCGTATTTAATCTTCGTTAATTTTCCCATTTAGTTGCTCAGTTTCCCCCCCTTTTTCCCACTATTGTATCGGGGAGAACCGTTAAAGTTTACTGGCATGAGTAATCGGCCAAATGGAGCGCAATAAAATGGCAAACGGTAACACGGCCAATATATCACAAGAGGCAAACCGGCACCACCAACACCACCAGAGAGGGGGTGCACCACCATACCATACCATCATCGACTTGGTTTCGTTGGCCAGTCAACGACCACCCTCTATCGTGCCACCGGATGGGACACAGGCTGGAATCAAATGAGGCGCATCTCAATCTCATGTTTATTAACGGTGCTCAACAGTAGATACTGTGGCAGATACAGGCATGTGTGTGTGTGGGTGGGTGTGGGTGGTTGCTGGTGTCATTCAGCCAGTTAGATAAAGAAGGGCTCTTTCATCCTACACAGCCCCACACATCCCCCACCCTTTGGGCTAACACTTCATTATCGACAACAAAAGCTGGTTCGAGCTCTGTGGCTCTTCTTCTTTATCATTTGCTGCGGGTGCTTTGCATATGACATGTTCATGCCGAAGCTCTTTCTCTCTCTCTATCCCTATCTCTGTTTCCCTCATTTCTCTCCCCTTCATTTTCTTTATTTTGTCCCAAAATGCAATGGACAAAGTTTTTTTCGTGTCTACCACGCCCCAGTCTGTGGCAAAGAAGAGGCATTGTACTTAGTAGAATATTTTGTCAAATATATAAAAAAAAACACAGAAGAAAAAGCAGAACTGCACAAAAGATGGTGTCGATGATGCTGCTTACTTGCCCCTTTCCCCTCCCCTGTCCTGTCCCTGTGCCCCTTAGTGCCACAGCCTGTCGATAGCTCTCGAGAGATGTTGATCTTGCAACTGCAACAACATGGCCAGAGGCAGACCAAACTTGTTTTGCCTGTAAAAGGGAGTTGTCGCTGCCGCTGCTGCTGCTGCTGTTGTTGTCGGCTGTGCATTGTCTCTGTCTCTGCGTTTTGTTTCAGGTTTCAGGCAAACGCCAAGAACAGGCAAAAACAGCACCATGACAGCTACATATATGAGGCAAAATGCATTAACAAGGCGAGGTCCTGCACTGAGGATACCCTGCAATAAGCCTTTACCCTTAACATTTATTAGGGTTCAAGTCTTCTGGTCTTAGCAGCCTTATAATAGAGTGAAAGCTGCTCCAAGCCATTTGTTAACGAAGAGAGTGAAAGAAATTAGGTACAAAAATGGGATCCAAATATATCCAACCAGTAGAGACTTATCTCTATCTCTTAATAGGAATCTGTACCACCAATCAGAGCTGTCACCTGTCTCCAGTAATAATATTATGCATTCCACACATACCCAATATACCCTTGATTACCCTGCTATGGCTGTTTGGGCATGAAAGAAACAGCAACACACAAGAAATAGCTCGTAGGAGTAAAATGCAGCGCTGAAGATGTGTCGAAGGTGTGGGCGGACGGGTGGAGGGTCGGCCGGGCGGCCGGTCGGAGGGGTGCACGTATAACTTACGTGCAGTTTAACGGTTAATGCAAACCAAGACGACAAACGAATGCGTTGCGCATATGGCACAGCCCCACAGTCGGACTGTCCGGGTGTCCGGCTGTCCCAAGTCCCGAGTCCCCGGACAGCAGAGACGAGACGGACCAAATAAGGCTGACAGCACGTACACAAGAGAAAAAGAAATACGAGTATAACCAAAGAAAGAGAGAGACACCAAGCCAAAAGCGGCCATCAATTCCTTCTTCTTTTTTTTTTGGTCAAAGAAGGCGCAAACGGAACGCGAACAAGTTGTAAGGCGAGCAATGAGTGCAGACAAAAGCAGTTACAAGACATTGACGGAGAAGAAGCAGTGCCATAAGAAGATAAGGAAAGGGAGGAGGAGGAGGAGGAGCAGCGGGAGGAGTAGGTGGAGGAGAAATGAATAATGGAGGGCAGCCACTGAGCGTTTACAGCTACATTGAACTTTAGAGACTTGAAGCACTTGCCTCGCCTTTGCCCCCACTCCCCACTCCCCCCTCCCTATTCCGCCATTACTATGCCGAAAAACTGAATGCGGCTACTACGCACACACACACTTTTGCATACATGCACACATACATATACATGCGTGGGTAAACGGTTTTTCTCCACCATCGTTCGCAAAACCAACTGTGCAAAAAACAGAGAAATTACCATTGTTAAAAGCTGAATTTGGTGAAAATTTTTATTGATTATCACAAAAGACACTGAAAATGCACAATAACCATCGAATTCAATTAAATTGCAATTGATTTTCCGCTAGAAAATTCTGTGCAAAAATATCTTCTACGCCAACACGAAAACGTATATGTACACACACACACACAGACACACGCGCGAACAAGAGCTGCGAGCGTATACCGACGTGCGAGCGCTTTGGCTTTGGCTTTGGCCAAAAAGCAAGTAGCATCAAACAGCGGCAGCAGGAACAAATTTAGCTGGCTTTAAGTGTTTAGGTTCCGAGGAGGCGGCACGGGACCGACGACGACCGCAAGCCAAAGCGTATTGAAACGCGGCTCCAGCAGCATTCAAAGCCAGGCAAAAGCCAAGTTGGAGCTAGAGTCCTCGAAGTTGCATCGGAGCGGGAGAGCCCAAGTTGTGCGCAACTTCTCTCTCTCTCTCTCTGACTATCGACTCTCTGATGTGCGGCTTGACGGGGCAATTTGTTGCAATTGAAACAATAACAATTCCACAAGGCAATTTGTTGTTGCCTGGCAAATTAGTTTGTTAATAAATGAATGAAAGATATGAGCGAAGAAGGAGAGAAAGACGGAGGGAAAGACGGAAAGGCAAGCAAAGAGGTATATTCCCTAAAGTATGAGCTACAAAGCGGTTTTGTGGTTGCCATTGGAAACGGTGAAAATGCATTCATTCGGTGGACACAGTGGGAGAAGTCAACTGAAAGACGGTCAAATAATAAAGAGTGGCTAGAAAGGAAGATTATTCATTTGTTTGAATTGGAAAAGTAAAGAAATGCTGACTTGAAGTTGGCATTACCAATCCATAATCTTCCAAATTTGTCCCACTGTGCCACACGAAGCACCAAAAAGGCAAACAAAACGCTACGCACAAACACAGACATAAAGCCGAACACACCGATTGTTCGTCAACCACTTTTCATGCTGCATAAGCCAATAAGAGAAAGAGAGAACCACAACCAGAGAGCCAGAGCCAGAGCCAGTGAGAGTTATGCTAAGCTCCAAGCTGGAAAAAGGCTCCAGCGGCAACTTTATTCATGTGACGTGCGCGCAGTGGCCCTCTCTAGCTCTCTTTCGGATATTCTCTCTCTCTCTCTCTGTATAATCTGGTACTAGCGCTGGCCCTCTCCCAACAACAGTTCTAACACTTCATTGGAGCTCGTTGCGACAACGACATCAAGTCATTTGATTCCCACACAAATCTCTGCATGTTGAGCGCGACTCTCCTCCTATCCCTCGCTCTTTCTCGCTCTCACTCGTTTTATTATGGCAAGTGAGTTATGGGATCTGGTCTGTACATATGCGTGTGTATGTGTGTGTGTGAGTGGACTGCGCTTTCTATTGATTTATATGAGTTTTATGGCGCAATCTGAGCCACACGAAAAGACTGCAAGTGCGACGACCGCTCAGAAGACATCGAAAACGCGCTCTGCATTTTACATTTAATTGCGCTTTGTTTAAAAACTAACATAAATTATGCAAATTTAAATGAAAACTTTACAAATCAGTCAAGTTCTACTCCTTCCCCCGCTTCCATTGTTAACCAGAGTTGTCACGCGCCAGACGACGGTGGCGCGCTCGAGCATGACGCTGAAGAGCTCTACCCCACCCTCCCTACAGACACGTGTTGGTTTATTAATTACATAAGCCGCACACCAGCTGCAGCTGCAGTTTTTGAGTTTTATTTATTCCCTTTCTTTTCAGAAACCCAATTTCCTGCAGATGCTGGAAGATGCCGCACAATCAAACGGTGAGAACAGCTGGCAACCCCTAAAACTGGAAATGACAGATGGCGACGTCGACGCGACGCGGCAGCGCAGGACGCGGTGTCGGTCCGGCTTCAAAACGTAAACACTGCCAGAGTTGCCGACGCACAGTCCTGGAAATGGGACCTTAAAATGCTATTACTTACTTTTAACAAAACAAACGTAGAGTAGACTATTTTCCAGCTTTTAATTATCTCTCTCCTTTGTCATAAATTACAGGCGCAACGAAAATGTAAACAATTGTTGTCGCTGTTGTTTGTCGCCTAATGAATTTCACGTTTTTATGGCATTTTCTACAAACACAAACCGGGCGAGATAGGAATAGGGGGGCTCACACAAACAAACACGTACACATACACAGATACGGTCCGCCGTCTTTTATTTTATGTCTGCGACGCGCGCGGTACAAAGTAAAACATAAAAACCAGATTAATTTCGAGCAGACGAAAATGTTTCTTTTTCGGTTTTAAGCTGTGCTGCTTACGTGTGTGGCTTTTGTAGTTGTTCACTCCGCCATTTTCTTTCTCGGCACTTGAGCTTCACTTTTCTTGGCTTTGCAAGAGGTTTACCATCACTTTACACTTAAACGCAGTAATGCTGTAGTCTTCATAACTTTCAGACAATTTTGGTGATACGCGTTTTTTCAAATTTCAAATTTCAATCGCATTTCAAACACGGCGCAGCAGCGGAGCGACGTCGACCACTCCGCGCAAAAACAAAAACAATAGTGTGACCGCGGACTTATCGTTAAAATATACCGTCAGACCCTGGGAAATATACCAACATATACCGTCTAATTAAAAATATATACCGTAAATATACTGACGAATTCAAGTTAAATTATACATATTCCTCGATTTTTATCTTCCGTTGAATATAACTAATTAAATATAACCCTCAGCGCTACCCACATAATTTTATCCAATTAATGCATCAATTTTCTACACAATTGGTTCGTTTTTAGTCCTTGTTTTTATTGTATTTTGACTACAACAAGGTTTAAACAAAATAGGTAAAAAAAAAACCGTCGCAATGTTGCTGGTATTTGAAGACTCATTTGTTGTCAACCATTTGTACCCTATTTCGTAAATATTATATAAAGATACTGTTTTCCAACCTGCTTTCAAACGTAATTAGTAAAGACCTTGTCGTAGATTGCTTTTTTAAGGCCTCTTCATGCATTCGATTAGGTTCTTGTATACAAGTCCTGATCACAGTACCAGTTCTTGGTCTCTGTAGACAGACTATGAGCTGCAAAATATCGTTTAAAACAGAGACAATCTAGTTTCTGCATTAATTAGAGCCTGGAATGACACACATTTCCGCTATTATATATCATCCATTTCCTCCAGGGTATGTGTGCATGGAATTAGCAGCATGTTTGTGTATGGAATGAGACTCATGTTGCCTACCGGATATTACCGATTCCATACACGAATCAAATAAATACCGAAATATACGGTCTCATTTTCAAACCGACGAATTATTCATATTCCTCGATTTTTATATTCCGTGCGATATTACTAGCTATAGGGCTCATGTAACCCTGCCAATTTAATTTGATCTAATTAATAAACATATTTTCTACTTGACTGACTTGTTTTACATACTTGAGATGTTTTCCTGCTACGCTTTGATTGTTTTTGGATAAATTTTGGTGCCTCAACAACGATTTAGCGTTTCGTAAATCGATAGAAATCGAAATAAGCCCACTTAAGCCCACTTTATACAGCACCAGCAACATTATCCGAAAATGATTGATCCCTACCTAAAAAAATCACACCTTGCAATGTAAATAAGTTATGCAGCACTGTTTTTGGTATTTTAATACTGCTATTTTATGTGTGCTGCCCTGGCTGAAGGCCCTATGTTAGATTTGATTTTTAAATTTAAAAACAAAGGGCATCGCAATCTCAAAATATGCTTCCGTGCATCACTTATTCCAATGGATGGCATCCAAATCCTTTTTTTTGGATATTAAGCTATTAAAACGATATTCTGCCGTTTGTTATCTCATTAAAATGACCAAGAATTGATATCAGGATCGAGATATATGTATGCAAGACACTAATCATGTGCATGATATGTGCTGAGAAAAGTTCTTTATTACGTTCTAAAAAATCTTTGAAAACAGTTTCTTCAAATTAAATAAACGAAATAGGGTATACAAATGCCCATACTCCGGTTGACAATCAACAAGTGAGAAATTAGGTGACATTGCCACTGTTTTTTTGTTGACCTTTTTTTTTAATCCTTATTTTAGTCATACAATAAAAAGAAGTCCCTAAAATTAGCCAGTCATATAGAAATATGATTCATTAATTGGATAAAATAATGTGGGCAGAGCTGAGGGTTCTATCTAGCTAGTAATATTCGACGGAATATCAAAATTAAGAAATATGGGTGCAACTTGCATAATTCATCAGTATTTTTACAGTATATTTTTAATTTGAGACGGTATATTTCTGATGGTCAGGCCGTATATTTTTATCACCTTCCGCGGTCACACTGGTCCTCGCTCCTAGCGATGTTAGATTTAATTTATTTAAACAAATTCAACAACAAATTCAAGCCATAGCCAGCGAAAAGTCTTTAACCTCAATCGAGCGCCTTCAATTAAAATGTGTGTGAACTTATAATTGGCTTTCGTTTCTGTTCTCGGGTGTGTGTGCGTGTTTCGTTTTGTGTTTGATTTGTCATTCCTTTGCGGCGTTTGTTCGTCGCTTATTTTTGGTTAAACAAATTGCGTTTTCTGTGTGTGGTGTAAGCATTTGATCTAAAGAAAATCGCTTAGAATTAAGTATTGGACGAATTGGGCAATAAGTAATTGCAGAAAGACAGCGGCACAATTGAAAAATGCAAATCTATTAAAACAGGTTGTCGAGACTCTTTCTCTGTCCCACTCCCTGCCCCTACTCTGCCTCTCCCTTTTTCTCTGTGTCTGCTAATCGTTCGCTTTGGTATTTGTTGCGGCATTTGCTGCCAACGAAGAGCGCGTGAGAGAGAGAGAGGGAGGGAGTGTTTGTGCAAGTCAATGCACGGCATTAATTATACCCCAAGTAAAAGATGGCCAGTAAAAGAAAAAGACAACTAAACTTATATGCCTTCTATTATGCTGCTTCTTCCTCTGCTTCTGGGCTGGTTTTAAGGGGCGTTTGTTCCGCTTATTTGGGGCATGAATCACTTTGGTATGTTTTGGATCCGTCTCCATTTTGTGCAGCAGCAACAACAACTACCTGTGGAATGCCTACCAAATGTCAAAGTTGACAACAGCTGTTTGGGCGCCAGTTCAAACTAGAATCGAACTAGTGTGTGTGCATGTGGGCGATCTCTTGATTAATCTTTTATCTTATTCTTCTTGCAGTTTTGCTGTTATCTTTTCGTGTTTTCGTTTGTGCGTCTGTGCGTTTTTGCGTGTGTGTGTGTGTGTTTGAGTACGTGCGTGTTTTAGCGAAAACAAATCTATTAAATAACGGTGAAGCAAATGCAGAAAATGCCCTCGCAAATCTTGACCGATGGCAGTAGCGGCGCCGGCAGTCTGAACAGCGCCAGCCTGCTGGCCAACACTCCCAACAGCATTACGGTGAAAACCGCCTACAACGGCCAGGTAATCATCACCACCATCAACAAGAATGTCTCCTACGAGGAGCTCTGCTATGAAATACGCAACATATGCCGATTTCCCATCGATCAGGTAAGCTTTCAGATAAACTTTAGTGCGGAAGAAGGTATCTACAGGCAAAGATTACTTCCTTTTGCAGGCCTTTACCATCAAGTGGGTGGACGAGGAGAACGATCCATGCACGATATCCACCAAAATGGAACTGGACGAAGCCATCCGATTGTATGAGATGAACTACGATTCCCAATTGGTCATTCATGGTGAGTTCTTAAGCCATTTACGATACCTATTTATAGGCTGTGAAGATTCCCATGATGAACATTTAGTACATAAGCCCGCATAAATCCAGCTGTGGTTGGATGTGGTACAATATCACTTATCAATTCAGGTTACTTATCTTTTGAGTCATTATTGAGTCATTACTATATATTTATATGCTGTACAACAGAAAACCTTACGACTTTGCCATATATTTACGTATAATTGTGGAAGCTTGTAGAATAATGATTATAGGTATTATCAAATGTTTCATATATGTATATTTAAAACACTAGTACTTTGTGCTAGGGTGCAGGCCTCCTGCGCTTAATGGACCGCGCTTTATCAAAAATTTTTGCCCAGATTTGCTTTAAATAAAATATGTACTGGGCGTCGACGAATACCCAAAACATTTTTATTTAATTGGCAGATATATTTATGTATCTTGAAGCTCTTCCTGCATTTATTGAAAGACCATGGGTATATGGAAGTTTTCATTCTAATTATTCGACCTTCCCCCAAGTTGTATCCCACAATTTTGATTGAATAATCCCCGAAAAGTAGGCTTCAATAAATCCATTAGCCAATAAGCAACATCATCAAAGTGCCTGCAGTGCTTGAGCTGCTTTAAAACATTTAAGCTCGATTAAACAGGACGGGAGCACAGAGGGCTTTATTAGTCCTGCTGCCATGCAGCGCCCCCCTCTGACCCCATACATTGCCGAAAGCGAAGAGCATCTCCTCGACTTAATAACATAAAATATTAATTAACTTGTACTCATACAGACACACAAGCTGAATTGCCACAGAACCTGCCTTGTGGTTTGGCCTAAAGCATACAACGTTTTTCTCTTCACTTTTCCATACAAATTCTGTTGGCTGTTGGCTTTTCGGGTTCGTTTATAATTCATTATAATTAAATTGTTTGCTCAGTGTGGGTTTAGGTTTTTGGCTCATTTTTTTGGAGGGGAGATTTTAATTTGCAACACATATGAGAACTCATTTTTTGTTAAATGGTTGCCACAAAAAGATGGGACTTGGTCTGGCAAACGCCAAACAGAGAACCCTCTATAAAACCAAAAATAAATTACTAAACAAAGATCAGAATGAAAATAAAATGGACAGAAGAAGGAATGCTCTTTAAATACTCTTCAAAAATATTATTTAGTTTGCCAAAAAATTACACTTTTGAGTGCATTATGGGACTATCTCAAAGAGTGCATCATCTTATCATCATCTTATATCCGATATGTTGCATTCCCTGTAGAGTGTTAGCTTCTGGTGAGACCCAGATTACTCCGACCTTCACATATGTCCCCCCTCCCAGCGTACCTTTGGCCGTATCCCGTATTCTGAGCGTGTACCCGGAAAGAGGAGACCTAACTGCACGGCAGATATGATAACTGCCAGCAGCACTAAACAAAGTTGGGGAAGGGTCGTTGAGGATGGGAAGGAGCTACCCTTTCCCCTTTTTCTGGCTTTGTTTTTGTGTGTTTGGTGGGCCAGGCATCCTGATATTTTATGGCCATACGGATGCAGCACTCTCCTCCTCAAAAAAGGAAATTGTGGACCATATTGTTATACCTTTGCAGGGGTTATTCTGATGTTCACCAACAGTGTGTAACCCAAGGGAGGCTCACTTCCGCCCCCATAAACTCATCCAGGTGATATTTGTATACCATTCACCAGGAAACAGACAGCACATAACGGCGCATTTAGATCGCCTCTGTCGCCAGGTGGCCTAAAGATATATCATTTCTGTTTGTTGGTTAGTGGCGTGCAGCTATAGAATCACAATGATTCTGTAC